TGTTCTTTTTTTTTTTTTTTTAAAAAAAAAAAAATTTATATTCCCACCCCGATCGTTGCATGGAAGATGATCTGGAAGCCTGCATTGAACGCAGATCCCAGTGGACTCTCTGCCGCGCCAGAGTGGTAATGGTGCGTACAGTGCGTACAGTGCGTACATCTATTACTAGTAGTGGTAAGATGGGTACGGCTACCCCGACGGCTATTAATACATACTCCACTACTCTGTACAGTTGGACGGTCGAGGCTGGTCGGATTGATTGATAGAGTAAAAAGCAAAAGAAATATGATGGAAAGAGGACTGATTTCTACGATGACTTCCAAACTCTGCCCCTTAATGGGTCAGTCACGGGCACGTTGTGCTACCGTACGGCCGTGCAGTAGGCAGATTCGAAATCATGACCAAAGCAACCACTCGGGATATTAATGATGTTTGATTTTCGAGTTCATTTGGAGTGATCCGTTGGTAGATAATGAGCAACAGAAAAAGAATTGGCAAAATAGAAAATGCCCATATTACTCCGTACTCTTCTTCTCCTCCCTAACCATGGAAGGTAAAAAGGTACCTCAGCCTTGAAGGGCTCCTTCAGGAAGCTGCTAATAATACCGGCGGCCCTAATGAGCCAAACGTAACGATCGGAGATGAGACACTCGAATTTTGTGGCAATGGTTCGGGACCTCAGCCTGCGGTTGATTGGTGTACCTGACTGAGGGGAAAGTCAATTTTCCACCAGCCAATGCCTGTGTGGCCGTGCTGATTGGCTAGACCAGGCCCAGAGTAATTTCGGCAACCGCCAAGCTTGCATTCAGGAACAGGAAACTTCCAAACATGAGAAGTCCAAGGGGAAAGAGAAGAGGAAAAATGAACCACCTTTTTGCACGGCGGCCTTTTGACGTGGTATTGGAGAGGTTCCAGACAATTCCTAGGGCAGGAGAGAGGTATTGAAATGAACGATACTAGTTAGATACTGAAAATTAGTTGAGCTTAGTAAATTAGTCAGGTTACTACCACAATTCTGGGCGGCTGTGGACACGTCTCCCTCGGCGTCCCCCACTTCCAAAGGCCCCCATTCTCAGAGGTTCTGATGGTGTTCGTGGATAGTGCCTTGGGCCAATTCCTGTGGTGTTTCCACCCCCCTATTCCTCGTATATCCACCCCACTTGTTGTGGTAGGTCAGTTCGACCGCAGATGTGTACGTACCTATATCGGGACGGTACGGTACGTATGGTACGGTATTACTCCTAAACAACAACTCTAATTACAATGTCTTGAGTCTTGGAAGTGGAACCCCTATTATTATTGTGGTGACTATTGCCTCTCTCTTTGTCTGTCTGCCCATCACTGACAGTGCCACACGCACACACACACACTCTCTCTTTAGTTTAGTTTAGTTTAGTTTAGTTCCCCCTGGAAGGGTCTGCACGTCTTGTCCCTCTTTTAGCCCCTGGGCGACTGACCGACGAAGTTTAATTCTCTCTTTTCATCTCCCTCTCAACTCCTTCTGTTCCTCGCGATCCTCCACATTTTACTCCTCCTCCTCCTCCCCCAGAGCGTTTCATTTCTTCCGCTTTCGCCTGTTGACCTATTGAAGTTTCCCATCCGACCAGAGAGACTTGTTTCTCTCTCGCACACTCATTTGGAAACCTCTTCTGTGATTCGCTCCTTGGAAATTCACTTCGTGCCTCTCTTAGATTTACAGCGACAGCACTTCTGCAACTTGAACCTCTGTACAGACCTTGACCGAAGCGCGCACCGGATTTTGCTATAACGTTGATGTATGTATCTGAATCCCAAGAATTTGATGGACACTTCCCCAAATTGCTTCTCGCCTGAATTATTGCCATCGTTCACCGAGGTGCCCGGAACGTGTGGTGGCCATCGGTTGTGCTACCAATGTCGCATACTGAACTGCCACCGACACCAATGCTTCTATGTTGTATAGTAGCATGCGCGGATAAGTGACATGACGCGCAATCTGTTCACATGTGACTCCATAGCAATTAGCTCATGGATATACTCAAGCTAACTAATGTTTTGCATCGAAATAGTCCAAACGGGAAGCAAGATTCAAATATTGAAGGATCCCGTGATTAAATCTCCAACTTAACACAAACACAATGAAGTTCAACTCGGTTATTTTCACCTTGGCGACGGCTGGCTCCCTCGTGGCCGGTCAGCACCACAACGCCCACCGTCATCACCACAAGCGTACCGTGGACACTCAGGTCATCGAGGCCAACGGCGCCACTGTTATCCAGTTCGAATATCAAGGCCAAGTGGTCACCAGCGAGTGGGTGTGCAAGCAGATCCAGGCCGGAAAGGTGAAGTATGCAGAGGGCCAACCCAAATATGATGCCTGCGAGCCTACCACCTCTTCCTCTACCACCTCTTCCTCTACCGCCGCTGCTGCTCCCACAGAAGCACCAGCTGAGTTTGTGGAGACTTCCTCCTCCGCCACTCCAGCTTCGTCCTCCAGCTCCTCAGCAACCTCTTCGTCCGCTGCTTCGTCGAGCACCCCCACTAAGTCGAGCAGCCCTGGTGCTACGGGCTTGGATTCCGACTTCCCTGATGGAGAGATTGACTGCGGTACTTTCCCATCTGCCTATGGTGCCGTCGCTCTCAACTACCTGAACCTCGGTGGCTGGTCCGGTATTCAGTATGTAACCGTCTCTGGCAGTTTTGTGACCGATATTGTCACTGCTGTGAGTGGTGACAAGTGCAAGGATGGAGCCATGTGCTCGTACGCTTGCCCCGCTGGTTATCAGAAGTCTCAATGGCCCAGCACTCAGGGCTCTACCGGCCAGTCCGTTGGTGGCCTCCAGTGTAAGAATGGCAAGCTCTACCTTACTAACCCCACACTCTCCAAGAAGCTTTGCATTGAGGGCACTGGTGGTGTTCATGCTCAGAACAAGCTCGGCGTGGAGATTGCCATTTGCCGTACCGACTACCCTGGTAAGTTTTTTCCATGAACACGTGCCGTGATAGGAATAATTTCTCATCATTGCATGTAGGTACCGAAGCTGAGACCATCCCCCTGGCCCTTGGCGACAATGAGCTTCAGCCCTTGACTTGCCCTAACGGCAACAAATACTTCAAATGGCAGGGCAAGGTTACCTCTGCTCAGTACTATGTCAACCCCAAGGGCACCAGCACCGAGGAGGGCTGCCAGTGGGGTGACGGCTCCAAGCCTATCGGTAACTGGGCTCCTATCAACCTTGGTGTCGGTGAGAACAATGGCAAGTGGCTTTCTATTTTCCAGAACAGCCCCACCACTACCGTGAAGCTCAACTTCAACATTAAGATCCAGGGAGACAACCTCAGCGGGTCTTGTAAATATGAGAACGGCAAATTCATCTCTGAGGCCGGCACTAATGACTCTGGTTGCACTGTAAGATCCCTTTCCTTTTACACTTGAGATACCTCACTCACATACTTATCCAATGACAGGTCGAAGTGTTGTCTGGCGAGGCCACATTTGTCTTCTATTAAATAACCTGACGATACTGCATCGCTGCAAACGGGCACGTCCGCTACGTGACTTGGCCACTATCAACCGGCTGGACTGGCCTGGGTAAATAGATCGCCGGCTCCTTTCATGCCATGTCGCCTTCATGATCTGAAGTCCAGTTGCTTGCTTTCTTCTGTGTATCTTAGTATATTATCTTATGTGACTTAGGGAGTTTTTCATTCTTGTCACACTTTACCGCCTTTACCACTTGGTAGAGACGATTGTGGTTAGATATTTCTTTCTCTAGTACCAAGTAACCGATTGTGGTTTTCAAATCTGTACATGTGTGTTGTATATTGTGCAAGAATGGTTAAAATATTCGTTATTATTATGGCATGTAGTAGCGGAGTTTTCGTGGGGTAGACTGGCCACCAATTTGGTGGTGTGGTGGCTGAAATTAGCAAGGTAGGAGCATACGTAGCATAATCTTTGACAATTCCAGAGGATGGACTATCTGGGTGCCTGGGTGCTTGTATGGAGTCGCGTGGTCCATATTAACGTAAAAAAAAAAAGTCGCCTGCAGTGCAGATCGGTTTCGCTGACTGTAATTGAATTCCACCCCTTTGACTAGGTATTACCGTGTTCGGTGTGAGGGACGTAGGGAGGTCAATGCACAATGGCAGGGAGTAGAGCGAGATATATTTGGTGTACGCCTTCCTACTACTGCTATGAATCCATGATGACTATAGATAATCGGAGGCTAAATTCCTTTCTTCTTTTTTTTTCGATTTACCTTACTTTTTATGTTATTTTATTTGTATTTCCAAGTTGCGTGGACCATTGTGACGGTCGGTGAGTGCATCCAGTTTTAATTGAAACGTGGATACGCGAAGGCTGGGTGTCGTGATTGTCAGGATATTCGTACCGAGTCAGTCGCGTGCATACTTAGGGCACTGCATATGTTTTGAGTAATGATAGTAGTAGTCAGATAAGTTCGCCCCTTCAAGGTTGCAGGTGGAACACGTATGTAGGGTCTACGCTTTATCCGTATAGTGAGGGAATATCCTGGAAAAGAATGCCCATGAAAAGGTCCATGGCTTGCAGCATTGTCAATTACGCCATAGATGATTATCCTACGGAACCCCTCCTTCAAATTCTTCTGTACGTATTTCGCAATAGTACTAGTACTACTAAGTAGCCTCAGACTCCACCGGCCGAGGTCCTGTCACCCCTACCATGCATCGCGCCGTCCAATGAGATTGACGAAAACCCTGCAAGCTGCACATGGCCTTTGCTATTCTCGGAAAAGTCACTGCAAGTTCCTTGCGGATGCGCGTCACGTGGTTTGGCGCGAGTCACGGGACTAGACCCAAAGAACGCGGAGCATGACTCCAGACACGGGGTACGCGCCTTTCTGCCTCGGGCACCTAGCTAAAAAAAAGTACGGGGAGAGAGGATGGCTCATAAGGTGTTTGCTTGAATCACATCCTGTTCAGTTTTCTTTTCTATTTTTTCTTTTTTTGCATGCCTGAAATATCACGTACAAAGATGCAGTGCAGAACAGAGTTCAAAATGGCCAGGCTCTGACGCTGCGCGACAGTCCGTTGTGGAGCTCCCAGACCCTCGCCGGCGCCTATCGAACGCGTCTCGGGCTGTAAGCGTGCATTTCCGCGCTGGACAAGAGACGCTCCGATCCGGTAGGCATTCCACCACACACTATCCCTCACCCTTTTCTTCATTCTTTTGTAGGCCAATTCTGTGCCTCCCAACCACCTGGACTTCGTTCTGGGAGAAGAATTGATGTTCATTCTCTTGCAGTCATACGTCTCGTTCATTTCTTCTTTTCCTACCTGCCTTTCTCGTCTCTCGACTCATCATCTATAGAAATAGCCCTTGTCCGGCCTCGACGCGACCTCGAATTGAATTCTGTCCGCTTTAGACTTATTCGAGCTTACCGAAAACCTGCTAACTGTCTGGAAGTCGCCTCTAACACCATGGAGTCTTCTCCTCCAAGGAGCAGTTCGACTGCTTCTGTGGCAGGTGTGAAGCGTCCAGCGACCTTGTTGCCTGCCTTTGAGCCATTGAGTTCTTCGCCTTCTCTTCCTCGACCCCAGAAGCGTGTAGCTCGCGATGATCATGGAATTGTATCAACATATCCAACTCCTGTTCCGACGTCATCGACCCATATCATGTCCTCCTCACCCCCTCGAATGGCTTCACGTCGAACCTTGACATCGTCAAATTCCGAACGAACTCCCCTGTCCACTGTCCCCACCATGATGCTGTTGGAGACTGGCGAGCCACTACTCATGGGTAGATCCAGTGCATCTTGCCATCATCAACTCGCTGCCAACCGTATGATTTCGAGGGTCCATGTCAAGGCTACCTATAAGCCTGCACCTAATCCCTTCGATCGAGATAGGGTTGAGATAATGTGCATGGGCTGGAACGGGATCAAACTTCATTGTCAGGGGAAAACGTATGACTTGGCCAAGGGAAAAACTTTCACTTCCGATATCAAGGACGCAGATATCATGATTGATGTCCATGATGCGCGTGTTTTGGTCCAATGGCCGCGAAATGAACGAAAGGACTACGCATCCACCGATTCCGAGCAGACCTGGGAAGAGGCTACCCCACGACGTAACAGGCAATCTCGTCGAAGCTTGCATGACAGTCCTAATGTGGAACGCCGGCGCTTGGCTTCCCCTGTCTCGCCTTCCCCTGCAGTCAAATCCCTAATTCCACCGTCCTCGCCACTGTACACTCCAACACGTGCAAAAACTGCTGTGGTTGTTTATGAGGATGAACCATCTCCCGTCCGTCGTAAAATCTCAGGGGATGCCTTGCTCTCTGAAGCTAGCCTGAAGTCTACCTCCAGTGTAGGGGACCTCTTGCAGAGCTCTCAATCGAGTGACCTGAGTGATCTCAGTAAGCCTGATGATTTGTCGGACCACGATGAAGAGAATGATCCCATCGTTCATTCCTTTGGACCCTTTGGAGACAATATCTTGCCCCGCATGGCTTCCTTCACTGCTGATGGATCACCACTCCGCCTCTCTCGTTCTCGTAATCAGCACCCCGCTGAGCCGCTCCGCCCTGCTCACTCTCCTAGACAGCCATCTAAGCCGGCTGAGAGAGTTGATCTTACACTAAGCAAGCCACTTGATGAGAGCTTTGAGAGAGTTCAGAATCATGCTATCAATCAGCTGGCCTTTTCTCGTCTTTCTTCAACGCCTTTCTCGACAATTTTGAATAACCTCCCACCCTCCCTTTGGCGGCGGGACACACATTCAAGGGAAGGACCCACACGGGATGAGATTCGCGCCATCATTGATACCACGAAGTGTATTGGAAAGGTCGCTCGGGAAGGGAAGGATGCTGCGGGGAAGCCGCTCGAGAGTGAATATTACTATATTCCCGACTATGACGATGACACGATGCGACGGGAAGCTGTGGTACATGATCTCAGGAAGCCAGGTCTTCGGAACTGCCGAAAGCAACACAAGGTATGCTTGCATAATAACTAGCACTTGTTGATACGTGACTAATCTTTAGCAGCAATATTTCTGGCGTAAACCAAAATGAACCAAGTGTCTGGAGGCAAGTTACCTTCATTCGAGAATAACCCGCAAAGCTCTCTGGATGGTTCTCATTCTTAGTACATAGTTGCAATGACCTTTTCTCTCTCTCTCTCTCTCTTTTTTTTTTTTTTTTTTTTTTCCCTTCTGGACTCGCATAGCGTGGCGTGGCATACCCTGTCTGATTTTTGTTCTATGAAGGTGTACGACGAACGGTGAACTTTTCTTTTCCATTCCTTGCTTTGCCTCATGCTGCTTACGTTGAGCGCCAGAGGTAATGTGCTATTGTCCCCATGGGACGTCCACAATTATTCCACGGCCGATCATTCTGACTACTATGTTAGCTCTGGTCTTTGCTGGAGTTGTTGTATCGACAGTGATGATCTTGTTATCTGTTTGTGGAGGTGCTGTCTATTGGCATCCCTGTATGACTTGATTTGGATTCTTATCCTGCCAGTGGCTTGCTGGTTTATTGTATTCCACCAACTTTGGACACAGTTATGATGTATGTCAGCAGAGTTTCTGTATCGAAACAAAAATTATCTAGTTCGTTTTAATTCTAGACCTTATCTGCACTCTGAGGCCCCTCGTTGCATCCGTTCATGTGTCCAGCAGCCATTTCTTAAGGCCCGCAGCAAATCCTCTTTCAGATACTCCACAATCTCGACGCCGACACTTAAACCGAATTGAATAATTATGGATCATCCTCTTCACACAAGCTCTCGACGCCACGTAAGCTCTCCACAACGGTGAACAACCTTATCCCACAGACTCGTCGCTTCACGTCAACTACGGGTCCGGCACGAAACCGTCCCACCACCCAAGCCATCGCGATGCTAGTAGACCGCGACACCACACTGCGGGTGACCAAAATAATCTGGATAACTAACAGACTGTCAAGGGTTTTGACCAAGATACTGACAGTACGAGACGCTGCAAGAGCCCATAGATGCAGGGCTTTCGCACTGCGGTGCGCAAGCTAACAATCAAATAGACTGGGGACAGTAATCACTACTTTTCTGGCCAGTTGACAAGGCCTTAGATACCTTAGGATCATTAAACGCTTTGGCTCCTATCTGTACATCCTAGAATGTAAACTGTCAGCTTTTAATCCAAACAGGACAGGGAAATATCGCCCCCCCCCCAAACACACACACTACGTCCATTGATATGCTTCTAGACAGCATGCAGCACAGTATATGCACCATGCATCAACGGCTTTTGGATATAGGGTGACAGGAAGCGGTGGTACCAGTCGACGAATGCTTTCTTGAAGCTCTAGTGATTGGAGTTGCCGGATTGTCAGGGGTTACTAGTAACTGAAGCTAGTATCTGGCCACATAGTCTCTCCTAGATAGAAATGGGGAGAATAGAAGAAGAGGAGCAGAGAGGAAGAGAAAGACATACAGGAACAAGTGCATTCTCCTGGCTAATGAGAACTTGCTAACAGGGGCATAGCCATTGCCCTCATGGCAGCGACTAAGGGCTATAAATGTATGATTACCCTGTCCGGGGAAATGTCACTGGAGAAAGAACCGATCCTCAACGCTTTGGGCACTAAGGTGGTGCACACGCCTACCAGAGTGCCCATTGAATCCCCGAATTCTATCCTGAGTGTTACCAGACGTCTGAATAAGGAGATACCTAATTCGTGGATCCTGGACCAATACAACAACCCGAAGAACCTGCGAGCCCATGAATTTGGTACTGCGGAAGGGAACCGGTGGTACGGTCACCGGTTTAACCAGGGGCCTGAAGAAGAAGAGTCATGATGTGTTTGTCGTGGGGGTCCATCCTGGTGCATCCGGAGGCACTCAATGAAAAGAAAAGTGAATATAGAGGGAATTGGATACGACTTTGTGCCCGGCGTGCTGGAACAAAGAATCCCGGATTTCTGGGTCAAAACCACCGACTAGGATTCCTTCCAGATGGTAAGAAGACTTAGCCGTGAGGAAGGATTGCTCTGTGGTGGCTCATCGGGGGCAGCGCTTGCAGGTCTAGTCCAATTCCTTCAGTTGCGCCCAGACTTCAATGTGGAAGACAAGATGATCGTGTTGGTTTTTGCAGATAATCTCCGGAATTACCTGACTAAGATCGCGGACGATGTGTGGATGGAGTAAAATGGATTTGTATTCAATGCAGTCGATAGCTGAGCCCGAATTGCTAGAGAGACTGTATAAAGTTGCTGAGCCAGTGAACACCAGTTCATTTCTGACTGCTTGCTACGTGAATATTCCAATTGTTTACCAAGATAGGCTGAATCAATGCTTGATAATTGAATATGAGGTCACTTGGGTGGAACAAGAAGCCAAGCTCAATTATGGCAATGAGGGGGGTTTAGTAATGTGCCCAGGGCTACGGATAGCCCACCATACATGTCTGGCGTAAGAAAAGCAGTTGGCGGGGGATTTTCAACACCGAATTCCTGCTGACTCCCTGACTCTCCAGCGGGATACATGAACATCTGGGCCATAATATGTTGCCGATATTCGGAAAGACACTCTGAACGTTGCCATGACATACATGGTTTATCATATCCGCGGAAGCTGGGGCCGTGGAGTCGGAACTTGGCTTGAATGGCACCCACTCGTTAGCCGACCATGGAAGGCAGAAGCGATAACCAATGCCACCAGCATGGCTATTAGGGTCACACTGGGACGTGTCCTCCGTTGAGCTTAATCCCACCCCTTCCTTGAAGAGTCTCAACTATTCAGGACTATCTGCTGCTGTTTGATTCCACGGGTCATCATCCCCATAGATAATACAACGCGCCTCCTTTTGTAACATCTCGTCTGTGATCATCTCACCTTTAGCCTGAACGTCCAATACATACTCACCTAAGCGGGCGGTGAGATGCTCGAACATTGTGGGCTTTGCCTGCACCTGCGCAGGCTGGTCCGTTATCTCCAAGTAAGAGCTCTACTGCGCATCCTTGCCTAACATGTGAGACGCGCTGAAAGGTGCCATGCCTGTCGATTCCATGCCAATCAATCGATATGGCTATCCGATGGACAGAGCTCATCACAAAAAACACATCGGTCGACTCCATTGGAAGAATCACTATAAGTAGGGCCAAATGGGGCACAGGTGAACCTCAGAAGCGCTAAATGCAAGGTCCTCTCGTGCCGTGTCCAGTCATGCTTCGTACGAAAAGTGTCGGTGCAAAACGTAAACTGGAACGGTCTCTTGGCCGCTGTTGTTTTGGTTGGGCGGTTATATGACACGCCCAGATTTCTTGTTCGCCGCCGGCGCCTGCGACGTGACGGATCATCCAAGTGAAAGCGGCCAAACAAGCCCTGAGAATGTATCGAGCCGGTGGTTGAACCCGAGCTGTTTGGTAAACCCGAAACGGAGGCTTCGGAGGAAACGAAAGATCAAGCGTCGTTGAACTTCGATGGTACGGCGTGTTGCAAATTGCATGAAGCTGAAGCAGTAGAGCCGATACTTTGGTCGGATTTGATATCAATGTCACTGAGAGCTACAGCATTTACAATAGCTTCCAAAGGTGCGGCTTCAATTTCATGAGGGGAATTTCTCCATCGATCAAGTGGAGTCATGGATGCCCATTGTGGATTTCCCTAAAACTGGTGCTCCTGAAGAAAAGTAGGAGATTCGGGTATCGATGAGCCGTTGCAGGAAGAAGCACTTCTAGTTCGGCGCAGTCGCCGCCGAGCATTTGTGAACCAGGTCGAGACTTGAACCATGCTCAACCCTGTCTGCCCAGCCAATGATCCTTTCTCCTCCTTGGTAGGATACGGACAATGTAAATGGAGATTGAGCCATTGTTCCAGGACATTCAGTTGATTCTGATTGAAGGTTGATGTGAGCCTCTTCGATCTGGAACTCTCACAGTGCCGTTTGAGAATCATAAGGAAAGGCAGCCTCCGTTGCGTGGGTTGGCCCTGGAAACATGTAATCAAGGTTAAAGGACAGATCCTCCGTAGGAACCAAGCTGTCATTCATTGACCTTAACATTTCGCTGAGTTCAACATCTGAGAACATACTGATATGGTCCTCGCCGGTATGTCGGATGGATCCGTTGACGAAGCCATTTCACCAATCAGAGATGAAGTCGCTGGATATACTATGTGATAGAGATCTCACAACTCGGGTTCCATGAAGTCGGAACCCTGTAAGATGAGCCATTCTGCAAACGATGACTTGGTTATGGTGGACTGGAGTGGACTTGGGCGAAGTCGGCGATGTGAACCTGAGGTATTATGGCACCTGGCGGGCACGCCCTTATAATTACTGTTTTTGGTATAGCGCCAGGTGACATTGTCTCGACCGACGGGAGGGAAAGCATGACTTCATTGTGATTTTGCATCTTATCTCCTCAACAGACAGTCGACATAGTATCTCACCCAATAAAATTTTTCGATTCAGTCGGTCAATACATCTCCAGGTTCGCCACAACGTATGATATGGCATGTCACTGTTACACAGTGGCTAGAGCCATATAACTAGTATCCTCGCAGACCCATATTGTGGGTTTTACGCTCTGATACAATTTACCTTTACTGAAGGGGACTGCAGTCTAGCTCCAAAACAGTGCTCGGCGCCCTCAAAGCAAAGCCTTTCTAAAAATTACGGTTACCATTGCCATACTTTCAAATATCAACGTACAACTATTCACCTGGTCAGATTCTCCTTTACTACTTGTAGTTCCTCAAAATGTCATCTGCAGACCAGAAAGGAGAAATCCCCCAAACTCATCGAACTATTCTGCTTCCTGGCAAGCCAACCAGCAGCAAGCCTCATCCAAACGACGAGGAAGCACTGCAGAGAGGTTCCGACATCGATCGAGATAGTCGAACTTCGAGTGAGGGATGGAGACCAATGATTGGTCGACGCCAGAGCTGGAATGAAGAGGACAGGAAGCATGAGCTTCAGGCTTGGCTGCTGGGAGTGGAAGAAGGGAAGGAGACTGGCTTCACCGAATCGTCGCACGAAATCTAATGAATGAATGAATGAATGAATGACGGAATGACAGAATGATGATTGAAGTTGAAATTAAAAGGTCACGAATGCTGTCTAGCATGATGTGGGTTTGTGATTAGGTGGATAGGATCAAGCTGACAGCGGGCTGTTTGGGATTCTGTTCGCGTTTTCTCCTCGAACTAGTGGCTCTTTCCCTCTCGTGTCTAGTGTTTCATTGTTGTATGCCTAGCAAATTGATTAATGACAATGTGCTCACTTCAGACTTTGATTCGGTAGTGGAGCAGGGGAACTAGATATATATATATATTAGAATCCTAGTCATGTAGGTCAAAGGAAATGAGAGGATATTTAATCACGGCACTGACTCTAGTCAGTAAAGTCTATCGTATTTAAATATCAATGAGGTTAAAGTAGTTCAAAGGAGGACATTGTTCTTATAGACCGACGCGGAAATCCCCCGGCGTGGATTGGTCTGGAAAACTAGCAACGGGGACCGCCTTCGGCTCCCACTTTCGCCGCCGCAGCGTCTCCGACACAGCTTTTCATAAAAGCACCTCAACCCTGGCGCACGGTGACAGAATTCTCAAGACATTGCGCAGCGCTCGGTCTAAGGTGCTTCACCAATGTGGTGTTCAAGTCACTTATGCGCTTTCCTTTCCGATTCTTTGAAAGGACCCCACGATAGTTAATCGACACCGCGGGATTACTACTGTGCGGACAACAGACGGCAGTAAGAGATGGATCGTCAAAGGAAGCGTACGTACCCCGCATCCCGTCTTCAACTCCCATTTACCATATACAGGTTTTGTTTCTAACCGATATTCTTGATCTAGGGGAGCTTCGCAATCTCAATGAGAGAGCTTGGGCTGGCGAGAGTGGTAATGACGTCCCAATACAATGTCCCGCACAACAGGTCCTGATCTAACCGCCCAACCTCATGAAATAGATATCTTCCCAGTTAGCAGATCCCTTGATTCAGCGCTGAAGAAAAACACCGCTTTCATCAAGCGTCTACGCACCGGAGTTAATGCTTCCGCCCAGCAGACCTTCCTGGCCGATATCCGTACTTTATCGCTCCACAAATATCTGTCAGAAATCATATCCGCTTGCTATGAAGGGTTATGCAAGTTGAAATCTCCTGGGGAAATTGCCACCGGCGTGGAAATAACGAGCGCACTGCATCAACGGTTCGGACCAGCCGAGTTCACGAGACAAATTGGTTGGTTATTGGGTCGAGGGCTTAGCACACCGGATAAGGGGCAGCTGAAAGCGCTCAGCCAGGAGGTGCGCGAACGCGAAGAAAAGGAACGGCTATCCCGACATCGAGTTTTGCTGAGAGTAGTTACAGAACTCTGGTTGGTTGGTGTGCTCAGGACGCTGGATGATATCGAACGACCGGAGGATTTGGGAGCCAAGGGCAAAGACGGTGTTGTTGGGATAGGTGGAAAGGCGTCGGAAAACCCAGTCAAAGCCAAGGCCCCGTCAGCAGTTCGAGACAGTGACAAGGAAGCAGAGCCGTTTCCCCTGGAAGTGTTGAAGGACCTATTAGGCCATGACCGTGACCATACAAATTTGCCACTCGCCGTTCTGTTTGTCAAGAGCTTCAGTTGGGATATTCTCGGAGCGAAGACTGTCGAGGAAGGAAGGAAAACAGTAGAGGCTGATGGAGCGACGACCCCTGCGGAGGCCACAAATGGCGAGGAGGATGCGGGGAATGTGACAGCAGCTGAAAATGACCCTCCTCTCACCCCAGAGAAGACCCAGGCTCGCTTCAAAAGCATTCTGAATCGGTACCTGGAGGATGTCAAGGCTCATGTGGTTCGTGACCAAAGAGCACTGGCAGCCCAGAGCCGCCGTAACGCCGAGGCTTATGTTAAGAGTGGTGAAATCTTTGAGGACCGCCAGGCCAACTTTGAGAAACAAACCAAATCTTTGGAAAAGTTGGTCGCCAACACGCAGGTCTTGTGTGAGGCTTTAGGTGTGGAAATGCCCGCCTTAGCTGAGCAAGAATCTGCTGACCCTGCGTCAAGTGGAGGAATTGGGCTTGTGAAAACGTCTGAGTACCTACGCGGCCAGGGTGAAGGTGCCGGTATCTGGGAAGACGAAGAAGAGAGGCGCTTTTATGAGAACCTGGTTGACCTCAAAGGCAAGGTTCCAGCCGTTCTCCTAGAGGATGGTAAGAAGAAGAAGACGGACTCCGATGAAGCAGGGAAAAAGAAAGACGGCGAGGATTTGGAGAAGTCTGAACCGGCCCAAGGCCAGCCATCGGAAGAGAAGGCTGCTACGGATGCAGACGATCAGTCCATGGCCATTGCAAGCAAAACTGTTGGAGCCCAAGTCGATGCGCTGTTGGCTAAGCTGCCCGATTTGCAGACGAAGGACCACGTTGATCAGTTGGCGCTAGACTTCTGTTTTCTCAACTCCAAAGCATCGAGAAACAGGCTCATCAAGGCTGTGTCGGATGTGCCGAAGGGACGTATCGATCTCTTGCCCTTGTATTCACGCCTGGTCGCCACTCTTGGGCAGTATTTGCCTGATATACCTCAGGGATTGATCACTTATCTGGATGAAGAGTTCCGAAGCCTTCAACGCCGCAAATCCAAAGAGTTTCTCGGGCAGGTTCGTATGAGCAATGTGCGCTATCTCGCAGAGTTGACCAAATTCGGCGTTGTTCCGGAGCATATCATTTTCCACTGTTTCAAGGTCTCACTTGACGACTTCTCTCGCATGAACATTGAAATCATTGGTTATCTCCTAGAGAACTGTGGACGTTACCTACTTCGCAACCCCGAGACTTCCCCTCGAATGGCCTCATTTTTGGAAACTCTTGGGAGAAAGAAAACTGTTCAGCATCTGGGCCAACAAGAACGAATGATCATTGAGAATGCGGTCTACTACGTTGATCCTCCACCCCGGCCTGCCATTCAGCAGAAAGACCGTACTCCTATGGAGTCTTATATCCGGAGACTGATCTATTTGGATATGAACAAGCGCAATTATACTAGGATATTGAAGTCAATCCGGAAGCTACACTGGGAAGAACAAGAGGTAGGAAATTCCTCTGTTGGAGTTGGAGCGTTTTCTATATAAAAGTTACTAATGCCGCTGCCAGGTTGTTGACATTATAGAGCGTGTATTCAGCAAACCTGTGAAGGTGAAATATGGCAATATCCACCTTCTAGCGATCCTGGTCAGTGCTCTGTATAGATACCACCAGGATTTCGTTATTGGTATCGTCGACAACGTCCTTGAGCAAATCACATTAGGCCTTGAGCAAAACGACTTCAAGTTCAACCAGAAGCGCGTCGCCGAGGTCAAGTATCTCGGAGAGTTGTATAACTACAAAATGATCGACTCGCCTGTTATTTTCGATACCTTGTACAGGATTGTTACATTCGGTCATGGTAAGCCAAACTAAGCATCAAGCATAATCCCCAATACTAATAATAACGTAGAGGGTGGTACGCCGATCCCGGGTAAGCTGAACCCGTTCGATCTGCCAGATGACTTTTTCCGAGTTCGCCTGGTTTGCACTCTCCTGGACACTTGTGGTCACTGCTTTGACCGTGGATCTGCCAAAAAGAAGTTGGACTTCTTCTTAACATTCTTCCAGGTAATAACTGTTGCCAAGCGCTAGTTCATTGGACCTGTTATTAATTGACTATGCAGTACTATATGACAACAAAAGATCCACTGCCGATGGACATTGATTTCCTTGTTCAAGATACATTTTCTATGACTCGTCCTCAGTGGAAGTTAGTCACCGACCTGGATGAGGCCACCCGTATCTTCGGTGAGGCTGTAGCTCAAAACTACAAAACGCAAGACGCCGAGAGGCCTGCAGAGCCAGATGATGATGATGCAGAAAGTAGCTCATCTGATGACGGCTTCGAGGATGATGTTATGCCCGAGGTGGACGAGGACGGAGAGTCCAGCGACGAAGCTGAAGTGAGTTTTAGTTACGCTGCATAGAGGCTCAAATGAGCTGTGCTAACACATGTCTCATAGGTATCGGGCCCCAATGCCGAGCAAAATGGTGACAGTGACTCTGAAGACGAACAAATCTTTGTTACACGCCAAGAGGAGGAACGAGACCCTGAAGCCGAAGCCGAGTTCGATCGTGAATTCGAAAAGATGATGGCGGAAAGCATGGATTCCCGAAAGTTCGAGCGCAAGGGTGTGTTTGACATACCTCTTCCCATGAAACGAGCTCCTCGGGATGCAGCAGGCGAAAGTGCTCCGGAGCCTAGTCAACCGCAGCCACAGCCGCAGCCGCAGCCTAGTACGATGGCTTTCTCCTTGATGACCAAAAAAGGAAACAAACAACAGGTCTGCTTATACATTTTCGTATATCCAAAGAACCGTCTGCTGACTGAGATTAGACCCGTACCATCGATTTGCCGTCTGATTCCAGTTTTGCAGTTGCCATGCGAAGCCAGCAGCAAGCTGATCGAGAAGAACAACAACGGATTAAGAACCTGGTGCTTAATTACGAGATGTCCAATGAGGCCGAAACTGCTGAGAGTGCGACAATCATCTAATCATAACTGCTGATCACTGCTAACCTATATACAGCGCTCGAGAAACGCTCCCCCCGCGACTCCAGAGTTGAAAAGTCTGGTGGCAATCGGACGGCGTTCCGTTCTCGTAAACTGCAGCTGAGCGATGTGAACTGGTAAACTAGCCAAAAGGATTCAAAATCCCCCATACAAAAGGGTACCGAGCCATCGACCTCATCAGTACAAGGTACATGAGATGCGCTTTTCGTTTTTGCACCAGTCGCATACCCCCCGCGGGACCTCCTGGCAAGTCGCCGCGTTTTCAAGTCTGGTGAAAGACACAGCATCGAAGCTCATCTGGAACCCATATCTACGAGAATACAAGTTTATTCTTAAGGGCCCAAATATGTCTTGTGCATGTGAACCCAGTCTTGCACTTGCTGAGAGACAATTGCCCAGGAAGAATTGATGCAGGATTCAACTCACTGTTATACAATCCTCGGACCACGGAAAGAACAACACGATGAGATACAGTGACGATGACGAGATGCTGTGACCACCTGCACAACTTCTCTGTTGCGGCGCTGCACGAGCTCAGTAACACGGACAAGTGACCGGGACCTGGCTGAACCTTGTAAGGATCAATCAAAAATTGCCACAGAGATCCAACTGTTTGCATGGAAAATTGCTAATGAAGATAATGCCATGTTGTTTCTTTTTAACCCTAAAATCCGTACCACGTGAACTGTAACTATTCTGTAAACTTCATCACAGCGGAGACGCTCAACAAACAATGTAACCAAGCATACTGCGGAGTAGAAAGCAGACTCTATTTCTATCAGGACTCTTTCCGAAAGGCCACAGCGTACAAGTACAATAAGTTACATGGTGAAGGGGAAAACACAAGGCAAAAGTGGGAATGGATGCTGAGACTTCACACACAAAAAGAAAAAGGAGGACAACATAGGGAAGAACAATAGAAGAGAGATGACATGAGATAGCTTTATAGATAGACACGAAAGAGAAACAAAATGGGGAGGGTGGAAGGGTATATAGTACACACAGCCCCCAGCCGATCCCAAGATATTCCTCACGGACCCAGAGCAGTTCAGACCTAGCCTCCTGAAACTTTTAACATTTATCAACCGAGATAACCAGAAGATCCGACTCTGTTCCGTTGGTCCATGTCACGCGTTTTCAAAACACACATGTAGTTGCGAATTGCTTTATTTCTCGGACTGGGTCCCGTTCTTGCTTTCCGTGTCGTGCCAAGCCTTGGGAAGCAATTCATCGCTCTCGGGGAGCTCGCCCTTCTGGGAAAGCTCTGACTTCACCTCGGCGGCAATCTCCTTCGCGCGGGCACGCTTCTCCTCGGGGTGCGAAGCCGCATCAATCTCGGTGGCTAGAGGTGCAGCGTTCTGGGCCTCACCCTCGGCAGCGGGAGCAGGAGCAGGAGCTCCCTCCTCATCGTCCTCAAGCTCAGCGCCGTAAACCTCGGGGTACTTGCGGAAACAATCTTGCATACCCCTGTGATAATAACCCAACGTTAGCTCCACAATCTTCCTCAAGGAGAAAAGATTCCACCAAACAGATATCCGGGTCCGGGTTTCAAACGCACTTAAACTTCTCAATGCAGTCCATGCCCTTGGGCTCCTCCTCAGAGTACACGAAGCAGCTGAACGCAGCCTTGAACTCCTCTCCACAAGGGCCGTGAGCCATTCCACCCAGGCAGGGGCAGTCCCAGTTGATCTCGCCGGTCTCGGGGTTAAAGGCGGCTTCTTGGCCGGCCTCCTCTTCGAGCTCCTGGGGCGACTTCACGGCGCCCTCGCCGAGGGAGAGCTCTTGTGCTGGGGCTTGTTCGGCATTGGGCTTGGGAGCGGCGGATTCCCTTTCTTCGCGGATCCTGGGCTTGATGGAGTCGAGGGTGGGGAGGGGTTCTTCGGCGGAGTTTTTCTTAAGCTGGGCGTTGAGGGAGACTGGGGTTGTTGTTAGTTGCGATGTTGATTGATTGAGAAAAAATTGTTGTATAGGACTCGGAGGAGCAAGGTAGAGGCTGTTTAGCTCCAGGAATTGCCTGGTAGATTTAACATACAGGATGGGTTCTCCGCGAACACATTGCTCGTGTTATAGTAGTAGATTGCGCCAGCGGCCAATCCCAGTCGTACAGCGGTGTTCTTCCAGCTCCTCGATTTGGACTCGGCGGGAGCGGTGCTTATCAATCGCCTGCTTGCCGGGCCACGGGCAACGGCCGGCGCACGGAGGAGGGCTCTAGAGGCGGGACGGAACATGGTGGGAGAAAAGAGTGTGAGAGAGGAGTAGAGGTAAGAGAGGTAGGGCCGGAATTGGAAGTCACGACAGCGACATGAAAGGGAAATGCGAAGGCGATTAGAGTAGACCGGCCAGAACCGGCGGAGAAAGTCGATGTGGAGGAGTTCGCGATGGTTGGTGGCCTCAGGCGAGAAACTACTACTTTGGGGTTGGTCGGTCACGGGTTCCAGTGGGCCAATCATATTTAGGCTGATGACGATGAGTGTACTATACAACTCTATGAACGAGTCAATCACTACATGCATGAACTAGGAAACTGGACTTGAATATGATTCTTACACATTTTTTTTTAGAAAAGGGCTAAACCAGTGGTACCTCGGTTATTGGAACTGCATAGAATCGGAATAGCAATCGACAGTAACAAACGATCATCCAGTTGTATCTATGCCCGAAGCCATTTCTTCTCCTCTTGGGACCTGTCTCTGATGGACCAGAGGATCGGGATTCAGAATATGTTGGAGGTTGCCCAACAGTAGCTCTTTGATCCTGCGGAGGCTGCCATAGCGGCCTCTGACGGTGGTATCCAGCCATGCAACGTATTCTTCAAGAGAGTTTCAATTTCCGATTAAATCATTAGAGACCTGACCAACTCAGGACATCCGTCTTCGTTTGCGTCGCATTCTAGCGTTCAGCCCGAAGGATCTTCGGATCCTGGCTTGACATCATTCCTTGCCAATATCAACTCCACAAGCTCAACGCGTCCGGTCCGGCACGCGTAGTATAGGGCGATTAGGCGATAATCATCTCCGTGATTGATATTGTCCATAGCATCTATTAGCACGCGGATCACGTCTTCATGCCCGTCCCTTACAACGTGCCGGACGTCCTGAGCCATGAGCCGTTCCAAAGCGATATTTGCAAAGTCCCTCGTTTGGCTCGCCTCAAACAGTAGTTTCACCATTGTTACCTGCCCACACTCAACAGCTGTTTTCAATGGCGTCGGCTCACTAGCAAATTCAGTGGCAATATCAACGCCAGGGTGATCCAGTAAGAGCTTAACGATGGATGGACGTCCAACTCCAACGGCCGTAACGAGAGGTGACGGATGATTGGGCAGATTCATATTTGCATCCCTTTCTAGTAGTAGTTGAACCATAAGTTCATGCCCACTATAAATTGCGCTCACCAGTGGTGTGCCGCCGCATCTATCCTCGCTCTCGATTGATAAGCACATATTTTGTAAGATAAGTCTCGTGAGTAGCTCGCTTGGTTTCCACGCGAGTAGGTGTAGCATCGTCCTTCCGCATTCATCTGTGCTGGCAACATGTCGGGGCGTTAGTAAGTTGACGACAGTAGGAAAGACCTGTAAGTATGATAACTGGTCTTTTGGCGGTAAGTATTCCAGTAAGAGAAGGATGATCTCGACCGGAACTCTCTCAAAAGTACACATTGAAGGCCTGCGAATGTGAGCAGAGGTATATGGGGAGTACATGATCGGTAGATCCAGAGGAGTAGCTTATATGTAGGTGAGGTTGAGGATGTGTAATGCGAGAAGAGAGCAAATAAGTGATTAGGGATCCCTAATGAGCACATGAGATTATATAGTAGTTAACAAACAGTGAATACTCCGACTAAACCACCGAGACCCTTTGTTTCGAGAAAGCTCTTTGTGATGCTTCGGGGTCTTTTGTATAGTTTTCCTACCACATTAATTTTAGATAGACAAGCTTTCCCATCTTTCTCATACACTCAGCTTTCTATACCTATACCTAGTAGGATAATATACATTTCTAGCACACAGTGCTAGGTTGGTCTAACTGTAGTTGCCGATTGAGAACAGCTTTCACATCCCCTGGAGCTACGAGGAGCTTCACCATATCAGTATCTTCTCGACCCACGGCAATCCCCAGCAAGGTTTTACCATTGTTGTCTTCACAACCTGCATCAATACCATCCTTCGTCAACAGCTGTTTCGCAATACCCCTGTGGTCTTTAGTATGTGTACACCAACACGCTCTGCCCGTTTTCAATTTTAAAATTGATATTTCCAACACAGTTAATTAGAACTTCTATAATATCCTTACACCCGAAGTTTGTGGCATACCTGAACGCCATGGCAGCAGCAGGTTCCAATTGTTCTTTGGGAACATGCTCTATCATCAACTTTACCATAGTTGCACTCCCAGTTATGGCTGCCGTTGCAAGGGGGGTTACTACTACCTGCTTCTTGTCAGGGCTATATTCGCGAATGGGATCAACGCTACTATGTACTAATAGCCGTTTGACGATGGCTCGATTTTTAAGACCAACAGCTTGTCCAAGTAGAGTTACCCCCTGTATGCTTGGTATATCTGGTTCCAAGTCTCTTCTCTCTAGGTGTGACTTTGCCATCTCTTCGTATCCAGATCAGCTGCTATCCCTAATGGGGTGTAGTCATATTTGTCACGAATATTGACGAGGATGGCTTTATTCTGGATGAGACGTCTGACTATCCTGTCCCTGAGTTTTGGGTCCTCGGTCCGACTTTTGGATCAGCGAGCGAGTGCAAAACGGTCCGTTGATGTCTATCGGTCATAGACAAGTGATGATGTGTCAACAGATTTGTTATCTCCGGAAATGTGAATAATAACGATATTAGATCCTTAGGGTGGAGTTACTCTGCTAAATGGCAGTGAAGCTCTGGTGGAATAGGTGTGAGAATGGCTATGGGATATATTTTGAACGAGCTATGAGAATGTATGTAGATCTAGCGAATAGTGTTATGAGCACTTAGGCGTGAGCAAAGACCGCTGGATAGAACGTAAAGTCCCAAGCTGGGTTTATTTGCTCATGTGTTAGAGACTAAATGTGCCATGCATAAGTGAAAGCGTCTTTTATACGTCTATCTACCCCTGTACTGGGCAATAGTCCATATCTTTCCTAATGTACTCATAGTCTCTGTGTTAGCTCTTTGGCAGTGACAACCTTATGCCCTTTTGTTCCTTTTTTAGAGTACAATACAATTGACCTTTGTCCACAGAGTGCTTTAACCTTTAGTCTTTGAGAACCGGCAAATCAACGATACCATGCGGGATTCCGGGGCTGCTGACCAAGAAGAATATTCATACATCTGAAACTATATTGGGGCTTTACTATTGTAAAGCATGGCAATCTTTCAAGCGCGACTAATAATATCGGACTCGTGCATTGTATGTACAAATTTTAACCCTTTGTCTTTAGAGACATTATCATGCTTTGCGGGTCACATATGCTCACAAATCTTCAATATCAAATCAGAGTGATTGCTTTTGTTCCCATGGTTTGCCATAACTTTTCGAGACTACTGGGCCTTTCCTCTTCATAGAACACTCCCACTCGCTCATAGGTTTGTAATTTCACATCAACTTGCCGTAGGCAAAGATAGTAGCTTTCAGTCTTATGTTCGCCCTTACACATATCCCCGACGTGAGGAATGTAGAATGTGAATTTCATTGCTGAGCTTGACCAGAAAAGAGCGTCTGTGAAGAGGGAGCCATCATACTGATTTTTGCCAATGGTAAGCGAATTCCCAGGGTATTCCCAAAGAGCTGGAATCAGCTTCCCTATGACTGTCAAGGACGCTAATTGAAGCAGTCGGGAGAGCGAGAAGACCTAGCATTCGTGTATCCGGTCTGTAGATACTAAAACTATGGACATTTGTCTGACTAGATGTTTTTTTTGGCTTATATTCCTGATCAAACCGGACAAACAAAACATATTTTCCCTCATGTGGCGCTTTCAATAACTCAAGTGTGACATCACTGTTTAAATCACCACTTGAATTAGGTCTGAAAAAGGGCTCGTTGGGAATGCCCCTAAAAGTTCCAACTCGAGTACCCAACATCGACGGAAAATGGATGGCTTTTGGGTCCCAGCTCTAAGAAGTCGCGGGAGCGTTGCAGCCTGGGATCATTCCTAAGTGAGTACTTACCTAAAACAGAGGGATTCAAAGATGAATGGAAAGGAATTTCCACTTGAGATGGGAGTGTCGTTTCAGAAACCCGCTTGACACGAGTCGCCCTGCGCAGCACAGACAGTCAAGAATGAGTGAGAGTACACGTTGGCCATGTTCGCGGACTCTTTTCCCCAATCAATCCTACCTCCCTGGATGATGCATAGTACATCTGCCCATAGATACTGCACTCCTAATGCTCGACAGACCAAAATCGCATCCAACACTGTTTATGGTAGTGCCTCTATTGAAATCTCCTGAATATGACATTTGAAAGAGTCTCTCGTAGTTTTCGGTTGCTGCTCAGCCTCGGTGCAAGAGTCCTAGCAATAGCTGAGAGCAACGTAACGATGGGCGTTGTGTCCCTCATTCTCCTTGAGAAACGGAGGAGGCGTCTTCGAAGCCACAAGTCGTGGTTTATGTTGCTCATCACCCACAACGCATCGGGAGATAGCGCCCATCTATATTGAAGTCACACCTGGGGATGGCACGATTTATCAATTCCCTCATTCTTGATATACTAGATTCGGACAATACACTTGACGCAATAGGCCTTCTAAATAAACCTAGTCAGTTATACCATGGATCTAGCATATTAGTTAGCAATGGTTGGAATATGGAATATAAGGCTTACCGGTAGGTTCTGCCTGTATACCAAATGTCAACTTGCGCACATGGTCATCACCTAACTTGAAGCACACTAACAGCCCATCTAAACTTAGCCCGCGACTTGTAGAAAATCGATCAAACGAGCGATCGACCGTGATTTCAAATTCAAGGATTTCCAAGGTGGAGGACTGCGGATTCTCCTCTTTTCCAATGACAAGAAATCGCTCCCTCATAAGTGCGCACATTCCACATTGCTCTGCTGCAAGTATTGGCAGGTCAGGGAAGGTATCTCTGAGGCTGTACTTGAGAGGCAACTAATCGTAGCGGTCAACTTCCTCAAACTTAGCGCAACTTTCCCCGGTTGTCGGTACTATTATATGGCCGCCTAGAGCCTTGTCGTCGAAATCCAGTACTCTGCACCTTTTACAAAGTGGTGAGTTTCGCGCCATATCAGTTGCCGTGGCAGCTTGCAAAGTAATTGCTATTTCGATCAAGTTTTGAATGATAAAAGGATTCCAGACATACTGTTGGGAAGCTGAATGAGTGGTAATGCAGCTCGTTTGTCAGCGATGGTGGGACAATAGCTTCATTTATGCCTTACTGGAGGAAGAGAACAGACCTTGAGGAATACCTATCAGGTGATTGATCATCAGATAGACTGTATCTTGGCTCCAATATGCAGAGTGAATCACGGGAAAACAAATGACCTAAGGATTCCATAGAGCCTCGCATCCGAAGGCGGCCAAATGTACAAGGATTAAACTAGGCTTATACCTGGGTGGGCAGTTCCAACACCAACCAACAGCCCTCTTCTTTCCTGCGACCTAATTAATACGCAAATCATAAGTGCTCGACCAGCCCGTTCTTCATCCGGCCTTTTCCTTCTCCTCTTACTCAAAAGAAAGGGAAAATGAACGGCACACGAGCAAGGATGCAGCATCATGGATCCGGATACGAAGAACATGAACGCGCTTGTATAGTCCGCGAACGTTGATTGGCTCCTCAGCGAAGTAGACGCTAAGCCCAAATGGGTCAGCTGTCGCGAGGTCTCCACTGCGCCTCACATCTATATTCTTTTATCGGGTTCAGCAGAAGCTGAGAAAGGGGACGGTGTGGATATAAAAAGGGTGTCTGGTGGCATGTCCAGTTGATCTCCGTCACTCATTGCTGAGCCTCAACTGTCTATACTCAATCCATCTCTATAAAAACAATTTGGATTTCTCTCTCTATACACGCATTGTACATACACTCAACAAGTGCCCTACCTCTCGGAGCTCTTTTATACAGAGTATAGAAAGATTCGTAGAATATGTCACTCCTCGCCTTTCCCCCAGACAAGCGCCCCATCGCCATTGCTGAGGTCGTCATCTTCTCGCTCATCCAAATCATCCAATGTACCACTCGGTTCATGCAGGAGTGGAAATACTGGCATCATACCAAACAGAAATCTGTGCCTCGCTGTATTTTCTACTCGTGGTATGGCTTGATTGGATTAGTGGCACAACGTAAGTGAGATCCTGCCGATGATCATGTTGCATCGCCCTGATCTTCGTGGACGCTAGTTCGAATTGCCGGGTCCGGAATGGTGCTCTCAGGCTCTAAGGACAAGAAAGTGATTATGACAGAAGCTATCCTACAAGGCATTGGCCTTTCCCCATTGTTGTTTGAAGTCAGCCTCGTTATGCTGAGAAGGTCTGTGTCGTCCATTAATCCTTACCTCTCAGTCTTGGAGTCTAACGTCTGTGCTGGAATAGTGGTCAAACAGGTAGAACCGGCCCTGGAAACTCAAGATATCCCAAAACCATCCGCTTCTTACTTCATTTCTTCCGCTTCCCCGTGTTCTTCGGCATAGTCCTGATCGTGGTGGGAGAGAGTGCCGCCGTCTATGCATGCAAAGTGGTTGGATCTGTGCTGCTCGTTCTCATCTTCGCGTTCGGGTGCGGTCTGTTTGGCTGGCTGGCTGTGGCTTATCGCTCTGTTCTTCCCAGAGCTGGTCACCGCTGCATTCTGTTGGTCCTAGCGGCGCTTCCTTTCTTTGTTGTTAGGATCGCTTATATGTTGCTGGCGCAGTATGGACCGCAAAGGTTCGACCCTGCTCATGGTGATGGGGGCATTATGGTTGGGATGGGACTATTGATGGAGATTATGATTATGATTATTTTGTTATCGGCGCGTGCAATGGCAGAACCGATTCGGGGAGCAGTTCACAGTGATGTTGAAGAGGCTCGCGCATAGATTGTTGATTATTGACAGAGTCGCTTGGTGTCATTATCTACTTCATGCCATGAGGATGTGAATTATGATGTTTAATGTTGTGACAAAATAAACAAAGTTAGCTGTTGTGGATATTCACCGTTCGTAATTCTGTGGCAACATAACTTTATAAGTCTCTGAAAGACGTTGTAACCAACCCTGAACCCACAGCTTCGTCGGAGGATCCGCAAACTCATTAACCACAAGTAAGGGAAAACCCAGTCGAGAGGGGCCCAAAATGCCTTGAGCGAGATATTCAACAGACATACAGATCTGGTCCCGGTAGTATGCAACCATAGCCGCATGTTCGCCGGGGTAGTGACATACTCCCAGAATTGCATGAACAATCACCATATACGAATAGTATGCAGCGAAGATTGTTGCAGTGTCGATATCTGTGAAGGAGTACACTACTGGATACAAGGTATCGCCCATCGATGAGAGGACTTCAGTTGGAAGAGGTGCTGTATGGCTGAAGCTATCATACCAAGTGATCAATCTGGCTTGCATGGCGAGGGCATCGTTTAGAAGCTTGCATGCCTTAAACTGCGTCGTTTCGTGCGCTGGTTCGGCCTGTCGGAGATCGAAGAACTGGTGGATGAAGCACGGTATGGTAGTGTAGAGAGCAAAGAGCTCTTCTACCTGGGCGTGGAAGATGGTAGGCAAGGTAGAGTCAAGCTGCTGCTTCATCACAGATTGCCAATCGCCAGAGGCGAGAAAGCATTTCTCTTTCGAGAATAAAGAGTGCATGATCTTTCGTTAGTCAGTAGGCAGTTTGTATGATGATAATAGTGGATGGATCGTACAATTAAACCACGGGAAGCCTTGAGTAGGGTATGATCGAACTCAGTCTGGTACCTATCACAGCCTCTAAATCTAACAAGCTGACTCAACCCCTTGGCGTGTTTAATCCAGGATGTTGAGTCATGTGCATTGGCGAAGAGCTTCACAGTATTAGACCAGTAGCAGAGCTGGGTGATGGACAACTCACTTCATAAAAGCATTGAAGCAGAACGGCACATAGGATCTCAGATGAAAGACTTTCCCTCGGGTTGTACAGAGATCGCTGGAGCCTGTTCAGAGCTTCCACATATGTGGACCTGGCATACATGATAGCCTGCTTATTTCCCGCCATCGTGCCAATATGATGTGCAACAAAACATCTGATGGAGGAATCCAGAGTTCTATTCCTCCCATATATAGAGGGAAGAAAGGTAAACCAGCGAGCGGTTGTATAGGTTGAGGAGGCAGGAAATGGGTGGGAGACATCGCCAATTAAGATCTCAAGACTCTGCATTACATTCGTGTTTGCAGACATCAACCACAATGAACTGGCCCTTCGAGCTTGAGATTGCTGCATAGCCTGGCTGGCTTTTCCTGAGCTACCCTCTGCGAGATCCGTGTCATCCTCCGCTGTTTTCGACCCCTGATGCCGTCTGGAGCGATACGGCTTCCCTGTGACAAACTTGAAGCCTCGGCCGTAGCCGGGACAGGGCCTTCCATATTTCGCGCATCTTGCACATCCAGGGAGCCCCTCGTCACACTGTAATGCCAATATCAGTCATCAATGCAGCGATGCCTTCAGAGATAGGAACACCGACCTTTACATGACGCTGCACACAGAGCAAGCAACCATTACTTCGAGGCACGCCCATTTTCAGGAATATTGAGATGGGTGTCAGTGAGCTACATGTCGGACACTGTTTATAGATACTACTATAGTAATGAATACGAGGCAAAAAGCCAGTCAATAGCTGACTTCTGTTCTGTTTGATTCTGCCGTGATTCTTAGTCAGCACCAGCGATTGATTCTATTCAATTATTATTCGGGCATACAGCTCCGGGGGGGTCAGGGTGGGGCGGAGAAACCATCTCCGAGGGGGTCAGAAGAAATACTGCCGCTTCACGTGATATTTTAATTTCAGACCCCCTTAGAGCTCTATCACGTGACTATTCCAGTTTTAAGTCTTTCTTATTTAATAATATATAAGATATAAAAATATATTTAGTTTCAATTTAATTTAAATAATATTTAAATATAATCTAAAGTTTATTAACTCTTAAAATTTTTCCAGTTTAAATATAGTTTAAAATAGCTAAAATCAAAGCTCTAAGAGGGTCAGAAAACTATCTTAATTCTATATAAAATCTGAGTCCCTTTCAGGTCCTATCATGTGACCAAGGCGGTAGATCTCCTAGGGTCAGACCCGCCCACTAAATTCTGCCCCCTCGGAACTGGGACCCCACTACCGAATACGTTAGAGGCTTGGCATTAGCTGACTAACACGTCTTCGATAACTAACGTATTTCATTTTCCTATTCGAGACGCTCTCGAGCTTACCACGGATTGGACAGAGTATGCTGCCTCAACATGCGCCTAATATTTGAAATCCAGACCGATTGCGTTGGCGATAGGCTTATGACATAAACACCGATTTTGTCATGTTTGCACTTTTGTCTTCCCTTTTCCATATAAACTGGTTGCGCTCTTTGCAATCCCCAGAATATCACCGACCATGGATGAAGCCATTCGTCCGAGTAAGGCGGTTTTTGACCGAGCTCTCTACGAAAGTTCCAAATTATGGTCTTCTTATCTCAACACATCCAATACTACAACCCTACTCCCGTTTGATTGTGTGGACTTGAAGAAGCTTCACAAGCGAACGCCTTCTTTTCTTGGATGCGGCCTGCTTCCCCAAGATGCTCATACGCCCTTGAAACTCATAGAAAAAGGGTCCAGAGAAGGCCATTATGGCCTTACGTTGAGCTGTCGCTCGATCTGGAGGACTTCCTGTAGCAAATGTCCCCTCTCACCTAAGACCATGCCCTCTCACCTAATACTGGGAGTTCAAAGTTCGCTCACAGTGCAAATTTCCGACTCGGCTCCAATGGCGGAGTGGCCAGGTGTCCAAGGAATATTGGATCATGACGAGGGCAACTACCTTACAGTCTTATTCCTTGCCTGGGCTTATATTCTTTCAGCACGATGGGCAGAGCTATTAAAGAGTGCATCGGATTGCCAAATAAAATTTACAACAGATAATGTTCCATCTTTTATGGTACCCAGCCATCAATGTGCGGCTGAGATCGACTTGGGATATCATGCCGGAAAAGACGAAGCTGGTTGGTGGGCGGTCATACTATCTTCTGGGGGCTACCGGCACATAACAGCAGACTATAACCAGAAAACATACTTGTCTCCGTGGTCAGTTACGATATCGGATACGTCACGCATTGGTGTTATGGGAGATCCTTCTGTTGCTGGTATTGAGCTGCCGTCATCCAGCACTGCCCTTGCATATCTAGCTCGGTTTTGTTCCCGTCATCGCCTATATGGCCAATGTTCTGCGGCTCTGGCTGCGGTGCTTTATGTTCCTTTCCTTAATGGGAGATTGGTATCGCTTCCGATGCCAAAACAGGTCCAACGATCACAGTCGCCCGCAATATTCGCACAACCAGATAAGGATATCATTGGGGAGCATGGAAGACTCCTTCCTTATTATATGACGTTGAGCTCCAATGTGTGGGGTGTACGGTCTCTGCTCTTCAGCACTTTCTTTAATGCAGATATCGAATGTAACCTGGTCAGCGCTTGGCTAAACCCTGCATTCACAATAATAGACCCTCTCCTTGAAGCAAACGATATGCCTATGCTCGCGAAGGTCCTGGCAAACCGAGAACCTAAGTTTAGCAGTCTGTGGCTCGGCGCAATTATTATGGACATTGCCAAGGCTACCTTACGGGATATTCGGACTGGTCTCACAGCGCTAGATCTTAACGCCGCTGCCTGGACCGGGACAGTACAATCTTTTATAACATTGAAGCCAGGCCTTAGCGACGGCATAACGATACGCCGCGAAGATGAGTGTCGCCTTCTCTTCATTACAGGCTGCGATGGATTTATTAGAGTTCCAATTTACCCTTGGAAGCCTTTTGGTGCCATTCTTCTGCATGACACAGAACCTCAAGTTCGGCAGCATGCATGTTGCGGATGCCATTGTTTAGAGTATCACTCTTGGAACTGGGGTCTTGCAAATGGCGAAGAACTTGAAGATCTGGGCATAGATCTTACTTCTGATAATGAAAATGGTTTAAATACACATGTACCGGAACGATACCCATTAGCACAACACGACCTTAAATTGTTTTCGGAGTCATTGTCGGAGGCGGCTACACGCGGAATATTCAGTTGGCTACGGTCAACAGGATATCCAGCTAATGAGAAGCCCATATACCAGCACTCATGGATTGATATCGAAAGCTCTGACGATGAGGGCGTGGACGATGTGGAATCTGGTACTATCGAGTTTACCGGCTCACAGGAATTCATCGATGAATGGCTTAGCAAGGTTGACTGAAGTATATTCATTGTGTCAGGTCGATCCACTCCATAAAGCCATCGGGGCCACCTGCGGGATGATCTTTGCATTTCGAACATATGGCGTATTTTCCGAAAATTCCGTGGTCGCCAGTTTGGCAAATCTTCCACTGTTTCCGGCAGCCAGCTTCCTTGCAGGTGAATCTATTATGCGCGTCATTCCAGTGGCTGCATTTCGAGTTCCTGCAGGAGCCTGCTTGTCCAGAACTTGCTGTCATATCGATTTTTTTTCTCGCTAGTATTGGGAACTACCCTTCTTGTTAGCATCATTTAACGATCTGGTCATGTAGGTCTCATACTCAAGCGTCGTTTTAGTTTAGTACGGAAGGAGAAACAGATGGACGTTTGACACAGCAAGAACGAGAAATGAATGGAAACTTATAGGCTCAAAATGGTCTTGGGAGTTATATACCATTTCAACCCCTGCTTGAAGGGCTGCATTCCCTGGGACAGCATAGACCTATGGCTGAAACACAGGTACCTATACTTGTTCATTATTGTCGCGTTAAAAAATGCTCCATGATAGGTACTGGTAATGGTAGAATACGGAACTTATGCGAAGCTACCTGTCCACAAAAGCCTTGTTAGACGGCGGTGTCCAATAGCTGAGCTACAAAAAACATCTTGAGGGCCTAAGCCCTCGAGATAAAAAAAACCCCTTTGAGTCCATTGGCTGGTCACGTACGTCTAATAATATTAATCCAAAGTACTAGCCTGTGAACAGAGGGCCACAAAAACGTGAACTAATCACTGGTTTGTGATGTTGCACTGCTAAGAAAACTTAATATCCAAGAGTCTTTGTCTACACTAGCACATCCCCTGAATTTATTGGCCTACAGGTGCCGTCTTATGCAACTCACAAAATCTAGGCGCTCATTCCACCTTTAGCATATTGTCGGTCTCACTTGCAGCCTGCGGCGATGCGAAAATTGGACTTCGATTGGCTAGTGGTTCATCCATTGTCAGGGAGATTAGTATTACAGGGCGGGAGTGAATGGAATGATGATTGGATGGACTTATAGCCTCCAGGGTCCAAGTGTCAACCATCCGAATAGCCAATACAAATGGCTGATCCGGAAGCGCGCTACATTCTTAAGGGTCTGTATACGATAGTATTATTAGAGAATTCGTTCTTTGTTTCTCACAGTGCACCACAAATCCTATACAACAGCACTAAAGAACGTTAGGGTCGCGATCAATAATGCCGCTACCCCAGAAGTGTAACTTCCCGCAGTAAGCCCCGGCATCTAAATCCCTCGTAACAGCTACCAATAGAGCATCTACCTGGGTAAATATAGTATCTATGCCACTGGTGCCATCGTCACCAACATACTCTTGTACTCCTACTAATTTGCGGACCCCTCCACTAGCCGCTGCCGATATTTGCTCCTTAAGCATCCTTACCGCTCGCCAATTATTATCAAGTATTGTATTCGATCAATTTGCGTTAGCGCCCTTATTATTGACTGTTACTGTTGGCTAGAAGGCCGGTATTTCTTTCTCCTAAGTGCGGGGGACATTCCAAAACGTCAATTGTAACATCTAACTACTATGCTAGATGTTACAAACCTAATATGATTGGCTGTTTTTGAGCTCCACCTTGGATAAATGCTCCGAGGACGACGAGCATAAGGCAGAAGGCGAATGTACAGCATAGAGGCATATCCTGCTCATCACAAAAGTCACGTCTACAATCTAGACACAAGACCCCCTCTAGGGTGTGATTGCCTCTTTGCGGTATTATACAGCATATGCTACTTTGGTAAGCCATAATCTAAAATATCCTGAAGTGCCCATCCTGAGTCCCAACTTTCGAGCCATTTTCCCAGCCTCTTCGGGGATCCAGGCTGGCCTGGGAACGCATCATTAAAATTTTGGACCTTGTAGGGAGCACCCTTGAGCCCCTGCGCTGGATACCCGATTTTGTCTGGCTCACAATTTTTCTACTATGCTTGATATCGACGTTTCCCGCGAAAGAGTCTCCTCCACTTCCCATTCTTTGTTATCAACTTGTTGAATATACCGACCGGAATAATTACAGAAACAGAAGGTAGTTGTTCTAGTCTTTTAGTATAGGCGTTCAGTTGAGGGGTAAAGAGAGTGAATATACCTTGAACATGTCTCTAAGAAATCGGTCAAACAGAGTTGATATCAACCAGGACTGGCGCGCTACTGACTGAACCTCCTTATAAGCTCAGTACTCTATATAGCCGGCCTGATTGGTTTTCCTACTGAGAAGTTGTTATTCCGGGTACTTTATATAATAGCTGTTGAAAGTCAAAGTACACAGCCGGGTAATAAGATTGATCTCGGTTGCTTGCTCCCTATATTGTAGTCGCTAGTTTAAGTCAGAGTAGTCGAGTACGGTTATCTTTATCGTCTGTACGGATACTATTACAGTAGAATATATCAGAATTAGTATCTTGCTAGAAACGAGACAATTGTTAACTCTTTATATAATTAACCAATGCAAAATAGACAGACTAATACCAGTCCTATTATATAATATCTACTTCAGAATCTATTCGAGTAAGAGTATACCGGGAGTATACAGCGCTACATATTATAACTAGATAAACTCTATTGTCTACTCCTGAAGAAGTTACTATAGAAGTAAATAATTAAGAATATATATGAATACTTATGTATATACTTAGTTTAGTTCTTTGTGATTAATCTACTCAGTTACTTAATATTTATATTCTATATTATTATTACAGAGTTATTTTTGGTAGCAAGATTAGTCTCAACTTATTTATACTCTTCTAATTATTAGATATATATACTCAATAGATCTGGCTCTTTAGACTCGAGTCTAGTATTGACAGCAGTCTTGTGTTAACACCAGTCCAACAACGACTCCTGTAACCCATTGAAAACAGAAGTAGAGAGCAACTTCAGGTTAGTAACTTATTAACACACGGTCCGGTAACTGGTCACAGACCTGACGACGAAGCCCCGGGCGTAACATGTACCTACTCACCTAGCCAAGCCCAACCTGGGCTCAGCTCAGCTGAACTTGAAGATTCCAGTGAGGAGGTCAAAGCATTCGCTGAGCCAGCCAGAACCACTACTAAATATTCAAACCCCTCATTTTATTCAAACTGCACTACAACAATAAGCGGGGGGATTTCTGAAGCCCAGCACTTATAAAAGCTTGGTCCTGTATCAGGGATTATTTTACCCTTCTGGTAAGAAAATCAATATCCTACTACTTGGTGTCTGACTCTACTCCAAAGAACAATTTTACTGAACCTTAACCTGACAAACGACTTTTGGTCTTTGCAAATATGCCTTCTGGGGTGACGGTTAATAGTGACTGCCTAGCAAAGTTTGAGGAGATCAAGCTTGCGCGAAATACCGATATGTCATCTACAAAGTGATCGCAGACAAGGAGATTGTGGTTGAGAAAACAGGAAGCACTGACTCCACCTTGACACATTCATTGGTGAACTACCTGAGGATGACTGTCGATGAGCAACTCGCAGCAAAGATACATTGCGCGGGAGTTTCAAAAGGGTCGCAATGGAAATATCTGGAACATCTCCCAGTGATATTTCTTACGAAGTGGGTATGTCATCAGAAGAGATAATAAGATAATACCCTCCGAAGTTATCAGTCGCTAAATGGATCTTGGTCTTGGAAAAAGTCAAACGAGGCGGTCGTTGAATAGGCGGTCCAATAACTGCTCTTATCAAGGAGAATAACTGCCTGAGGGTATTACGAGCCTTTGGATAAACCTTTTTGCATTCTATTGACTTTCATTCTTCCCACAGCTCCTGTCGGCGTCAGATTACCAACTTTTACTTATTATACCACATTGTAAGGATCTACTCTCGCAAGCAAGTTAAGACCAGCTATTAGCGACCAGAGACGACAACGGCTGGTACTCACCTATTGTATTCTTAGGACTGGTGGGCTCAGAAGCTACACACTCTGGCCTACCAGCTCCTCCATGGGAAAGATGGACATCACCCCTGGACCACAGGTATCTTTTAGATTCACCTTAAATAGACGACGTTCCTAGTACAACCTGGTATGTAACTGACAAGTAATAACGAACGTATTGCGGCCTGTTTCAGGGTTTCAGTAAGCCCTAACCTTTTAGTATCGTGTGGTGATTATCCATGTTCGACTTTAATCTAAATAAGAGTTTGTTCTACACTTGCCCTGACTAGCGTGTGGATAGTGCGCTATTAGGGCTAACCTGGAGTACCTGGTATATTAACAGGCAAAAGCTGACTCTATTCACACCCCATCCAACTTGCACTGGAGCAAAACATCCATCTAGTAGATGAAATACATATCCCAAGTGAGCTTCGTCTACCGCCTTTGTCTTCAACCTGCAAAGACGCGTATAACATCCAAACCGGAGTAGAACTATGTGCTAGTACTGCTCTTAACCATTCAGTAGATATGTGAGCACCCCAGACCGTGTTTTTACCACAAATCTTGCACATGTGCAGATATACTAATATTTTTAATGTGAAGAATCGGTGCGGTGATGGAAAGCTTTTGTTACACATTTATTTTTGCCCTTTTGTATTTCTTCCTTTTAACTTCATTCTATGAGTTTGGTATGCATTTAACGTGTATTCTTGCACAAAATGAACTTACCAGCTTATGTGGTCCGTACATGGTACCTCATGGAGAATTAGGGTTGTCTCCAGACGAACAGGCAACAACAGCTTGAGGTGAAGAATACATGGTAAGAGCATATCCCTCGACAAAATCTGCTTACGCAGAGTTCAGCTCAAAGGACATCTCCTGATTCAGGAGCTAAGCCTAGCTTTTCCATAACTAAAGTGACAAGGATCGACCAGGTCACATGACGGCCAGAACCCAAGGAACGGACATTAGTAAAGACCGAGAGGGATTATCGGGAGATAGAAACACCCGAGCTGATGTTGTAAAAGTCCAGATAATACCCATAGTCCGAGACCTGCATCACGACGTCTCTTCGCCTCTAACGGTGTCATCGATCCTGAGTAGAGTGGGCTTCTCAATCGCCCGCCGAGTACTCCAGAAATCATGTCGACGCAGGACCCCACAACTGTCTACTCTCTGGCGGCGGTGTCCCCACGATCTGCTACGAGGCCACAACGGGTCCTTTCTTGCGTGCTGTGCCAGCAGCGCAAGGTCAGATGTGACCGTGAATTTCCATGCGTCAACTGCATCAGAGCTGGCGTTCAATGCATTCCTGCCACTGGTGCGCGCCAGCGGCGTCGCAGGTTCCCCGAGCGAGAGCTGCTGGAGCGTCTGCGGCGCTACGAGGCCCTGCTCCGCCAGAATAATATCCCATTCGACCCACTGCACCAACCGACAGTAGAAGGGCTGTGCCAAAGTGAGCATCCCGGGGGATCTAGCACCCCAGACGAAACAGCAGACTCCACTGTGGGAATGGATCAACTGTCAAACGAGAAGAAAACAGTAAAGTGTGAATATTCAAATGAGGCCAAGTAAAGCTTGCGTTAGAGATATATACTCCTAGACGACTAATCACATTCAGGAATTTCTGGTATCTTATGAATCAAATGGTATGAGTATGAACACCAATGGGTTGATGTTTTACTGACAATGTAGAAATAGTCCCTAGGTCCTGGGGATGAGGATAACGATGATGAGGACACCGATGGAAACGGTAGCAGCCACCCGCAAGACGATGTGGGTGAGACTGTGGTTAACAAGGCGTGGGATCAGATATATCAAAGCCACGAGCAAAACCTTCTCTTTGGCTCATGTAGCACAAACGTCGATATATCTACGCTGCACCCAGCTCAGGTCCAGATCTTCCGGCTGTGGCAGGTCTACTTGGAGAATGTGAACCCTTTGCTTAAAGTCACTCATACCCCTACCCTGCAACCTCGCATGATTGATGCTGCCGGCGATGTAGCAAATATCAGCCCTACATTGGAAGCGCTAATGTTCAGTATATATTGCGTATCCATATTGAGCCTTGGTGAAGACGAATGCCGTGCCAATTTTAGGACGCCGAGGGATGATCTTCTGAAAAGGTACCGGGTCGCATGCCAACAGGCTCTACTGAAATGTGAGGTTTTGCGTACCAGTAGTGTTGAGTGCTTGACAGCATTGTATTTGTACCTGGTAAGCGCACCAAGTCGCGATCTTGCCTATACCCTACTAATTCCCACAGGTCTCGGTAAGACCCTGCACAGACCCGCGGTCTGTATCCTCAATGCTTGGTATTGCTATCCGTATCGCACAACGTATGGGCATTGAAAACGAGACATCCAATGCCAGATGCACTGCTCTCGAGGGTGAAATGCGTCGACGGCTGTGGTGGTCACTAATTAGTTTCGATAATCGTATCTCCGAAATGTCAGATCACAAGACCACAATGCTTATTCCCACCTGGGACTGTAGGGCGCCCCTGAACGTGAATGACTTTGATATCCGGCCAGAAATGACAGTATTGCCACAAAGTCACGACGAACCCACTGAGGCCCTTTTCACTGTCGTACGCAGTCAAGTGGGCGACTTCATGCGCCACAGTGCTTTCCATCTCGACTTTACCAACCCCTCCTTGAAGGCTATCATTAGGGATAGCCCGCATGGCGCTGGCCCAGAAGGAGAGAGAATGATAGCCTTCGAGAAGACGATAGAGAATAGATATCTCAGATCCTGCAATCCAGAGAACCCGCTTCACTTCATGACCATTTGGACGACGCGAGGCCAGCTTGCCAAGAACCGCCTATTAGGACATTATTTGAAATATTCATCCATGCAGCAAACAGATGAGCAGCGCGATATCGCTATTTCATATGCGTTAAATATCATTGAGTGCGATACGAAGCTCATGACCTCTCCTCTAACGAAAGGGTACCGTTGGCTTATCGACTTTCACTTCCCGTTTCCCGCATACATCTATATCCTGAAAGACTTGCGAAAGAGACCTACGCTGGAGCATGCTGACAGGATCTGGAGGACTATAAGCAATGACTGGGAAGCTCGCTTCAAGGATATGCAAAAGGTGAACCCCTTTTTAGATTTCTTCGTTAAACTTGTTCTCGAGGCCTGGGAGGCGCGTGAGGCGGTGTTCAGACAAATCAAGAAGCCACTACAACTACCGGGGATTGTATTGGGCATCCAACAGGTGGCGCAGACGATGGGAGATATACAAGGGAGCGATCCAAGACAACCCAAGGGCAGACTGAATATGAACACTGACCAGTTGTCAATGACTATGCCGATGAACTTTTGTACCCATGACTTGCTCTACAGCATGGAAGGTCAGGACCTTCTGGGCCCGGAGCTTGGGGCCTACTCTGGCATACCTGAACCTGGACAGGCGACAATGAATGTTGAGGTGAACCAGTCAGATTGGACTACAGTAGACTGGTATCCAATGCACACTCATAGCTGGTGAGGCTGCTGCTCAAGTGGTATTAAACTTGTTTATTTAGTGATAATTTTCACTACCATGATAATGACTAGTCAAAGCAATAATTTATCTAGTACCGCCTTGAACACTACGTTTAATCTGTCAGCACCTTACTACTCATAATTCTGTAGAAGCTTGTTAAATAGACTCCCACCCACCCTAACTCCTAGGTTTTACCAAGTGCAGAATGACCACAAGTCCTCTCGAACTGTACTGCGGAGCAATAGCACCTGGCTACAATCATTGTATCTATATAACTGTAACCGACCTAAATTGTACTCCTGTGTCTGTAAATATATCATACTCGGCTTATTGATCACAAAGCACACCGCAGGGACGTAGGCAGAAGACTGGTGCATTTGAAATAAACACAGCAAGCAAATGTAGAAGGCGAAGAAGGTTCATTCACAGATATTTGTAGACATAGCGAAATAAATGCAAGGTGTCTAGCTTGTACGGTTGTACCCAGACCATTTGCTTTATCTTGACCAAGAATATCTCAAGCACCAGGATAAAAATAGTACAACCACAAGAACCCTATACCTCCAATATTCAAGTGGAATATCTGATGCTGTGCTCGTGGAGGTACGGGCAGAGGGCTATACTGAACTAGAAACAGTCGAGGTTGGGAAAGGGCTAGAAGCCAAGTTTGTAATTGGGTTCAACGGTATTAATAATATCTGCTATAATATTATAAAAGGAACTCTCACCACACCTGACATAAGAATCCGAGCCAGGGTACGTAAGTATCTGAATATGTGGGTTCATTGCCAATTTGTGCAGATCTGTTGGAGTGCGGAAAAGTGATTGTCTAACAACCGCTCCATCGCGTAATCCATCTAATGCACCAAGGGTATTTTCGACAGCAGCTAAATTATTAGTAATTCAAGACGTACCAGTAGGAGCTTCAGCTGCTCCGACAGCAGTGTTGATTGCGTTTATTAGCTCTGCCAACAAGTATCTCATGCGGTGTCCATTGACAAGCATTCCGCCAATATGGGTATCTTTATAAGATCTTCTGGTTATAATCATATCAGCAACTGGATTCCAGAATCTATAATCCTTGGCATATACTGTGGCAAAAGTAAAACAGAAAAAGAATGCGAGATGAGTAAAGAAAGTGATAGTTCTCATGAAGATACTCATGAACTGGGTATATCAGGAAGCATCAGTGCTCGTTCCTTTTCCTTGGTGAATATTCCTGTTCTAGTGAAATATCATAAGCGCGATATAGATCAGACGGGGCTGTAGACTGGTGAGTAATCTATAAATTGTAAGGTATAGAAATCGTCATAACTATGCTCTAGAACCTGTCCATTGGACTATAAATATCAGTTTATGTACGCATCTTGAATCACAGATAAATAATACTTGGATGAACTATATTGCTCTAGTAGTTGTCATACGATTTCATCTCGTGAATCAGGAGACTCCAATGCTCTGGACCTACGGTTCTCATCCGCTGGCAGGTCATGGCTCAGATGCCTAAGAACCCAATAAACCGGCACCAGCAAATCAACTTTGGCAAGATATCCACTTCAGATGGCTCATGCGAATGTCTGGGAGACAAGATATCCGAACTATGGTTGGAGATGTTGCTCAAGGCATCAACATTCACTAGAGAAAGTAAGCTTTCCAGAGATGCGGGTGGTCTAGGACTATCTGTTTATGTAGCAAAAAAAGAAAAATAAAAAAAAAAAAAACTTATAATGATTTTAATTGCTGATGGTTTTTGCCAAATCTGTCTTTAAAATATTCTACTTACTACAAGCACTACTTCTCTATAGTAGTAGCCTAAGCCTATATATGGACCACCATGTTTAGGTAGCCTAGGACATACTAATGAGTACTATGACTACGACCTTTCCTCCTCTCAGCATATCAAGGAACGTATGACCTACCTCATAGAATAGATTTAGGGCAAGCTTTACGGATCCGTGCTTTGAACTTTCTTCAGAGTCTAGCCGGCTCTATTCTGTGGACTTGATTGCCGAGCGTCCATTGAAGGCGGTTCCCGTACGCCACTCCACTCGTATCGAACTCTATGCGATAAGGGATAGGTCTAGGCTGGGGGCCTCTAGGAAGGTATGATCCGCTGAATAAATCAATATACTTCGTGAAATCTACTGCGATATGAACAGACGCCATATAAATATGAGCCCTCACTGGAAGTCATGAGCAGATATTATGTCCATCCGATTAGATAGTATCCTCATTTCGATCAACTAAACCGTACAAGATCTACACAAGATGTCTTTCCCCACAACCCCAGTATTCCTAAGCGCAACTAAAGGCTGGGAGCAGGCACGCATCCACCCAGCTCTAGCCTGGATGGAAAAATGCACGATTGCCTGGGACACACGCGAGAGCTGGTCAACACCCTGGTCGGACTGGGTCGCGGACGATTACACATACATTAAGTCCAACGGCGAACGGTTCACGGGCGGCGAATCCGCCTGGGAGGCGACCAAGGCTGATTACAGTGCATTCAAGTTATCCTACCATGAACCGAAGTGGGTGTGCGTTGCAGAGAAGGCAGATGGATGGGAATTTATCGGCGAGGCGACACTCTTCATTGACCTCCCGAAGGAAAGTGATACGAAGAAAGTGACAGATTTGGATGGCCGACGTTGGGACTTGGGTGTGGGGTCCATGTTTCGGTTCAACTTTGTTAAGGATTGGACTGCTAAGCATGATGGGATTAAAATTAAGAGCTTACAGATGTATAGCGATAGTGGACCGGTTGTGGCGGAGATGTTAAGGAGGGGGATTATGAAAACGGAGGATCTTTTGAGATGAAGGGTTTAAACAAAGCAGTGATTTATAAGTATGGAGCTGGGGATGAGGAAACTGACTGCATCTCGTGTTGGTTGCATATTGATTGCATGTATTTTTTCCAGATAAGAGGTGCGTGTCTATACATAGTAAAGAAAATATCTCCTGGATATAATGCAGCAGGTCACGCAAGTTCAGAATTTGCCTTATGTTTCACGCTAGAAGGATATATACGCCATTACTCACACGATGGAGAATAACCCTAAAAATATAAAGTCTTATTCGGTAGACAATCTGATGGACAAACGGTCTTTTATCTGAGGGACTTCAAGAGCCACCTATTGTATGAATACCTTTATCTTACGGAGGTAATGATTGGCTTACTGTTTGTACTCGCTTGATTGAGGGATGAACAGCATCCCTGTCTCGGGATGTGCTGGGCCGAGCTTCATATATGTGCAAAGCTGAACATTTACAAGGATTGTTTCTCGAATAGCTGAAAATCTAGTGTTCTCAGGTTTCGTCTAAAGCATACACATCCATAGACAACTAGCCGTATCGGACGCTGTCATGTAGCTCCTATGATACTCCAAAGCTTCGCGCGAATGCGGAGTCGCAGCCCTACCTATCTTGAGGCTAAAGTAAAAAGGAAGTTCATTATCTATTAGTAACTATTCATTAAGTCTCCTACAAAGGCGAGACTGTCCCGTTGATCATCACAAAGTCGCGCATATTCTAGAAGAAGGCGATATACGTAAAGCTGCATATCCTCCTGTCGCAGGACCTTCTCAGCCCAGCTCTTGCCATCCATAGCAATTTTCTCCGCCTGCTTGTCATGTCTATTGCGTCCCTTGTATCCTATAAAATATTGTAAAATGCCGTAAACATCCATATATAGCGAGTCCATGGGCACAAAATGCGCCCATGGAATCAGTCGTGAATCATGCCATTCTTTGTAAACCGTTGCTTTGATAGGCAACGACGTAGAGAGTAGGAACGCACGGTACCGTCCACTGAAGGAATTGCCATCTACATCGGGCAGATATTTGAATGAATATTGTTCCTTCATGGGCATTCCCGAGACGAGCTTAAAATAAGGATCGGTATAAGAGCAATGTGGACTGCCCTCGAGCGGGAAACAACAGAGATCCAAGAATCCCAGATCACAGTGCTCATTCAAGAACTCGGGCAATGCGCCCTCCAGTCCCGCCGTGACTTGGTAGTACTCATAATCGGGTAGACGGAAGTTGAGCCCATGCGATGTCCCGTTTGTCAGCGCGACTTGTGTGCCATTCAGCATCGACACTAGTCTATGTCGTTGATATCCCGTCCAGGTATCGACACGGTTGCGACCGCCGCTTGCAATCCCACGCCAGAAAACGATATCTTTTTTCTTGGACCACGGGCCGCCGTGATTGCTTTTCCCACCGGAGTAAGTAGGATTGTCCTCCCAGTACACAGCGGGTGGGATGAGGATCTCGTTGTTGACGGTCAGCTTAGAGCCCCCGAATAATGGAACCAACTCGTGTGTAGTCGATGTAGAGGTCGGTTCGATAAAGCTACCATGCAATGCCTGCAGTTCCGGCCGCCAGCAGGGGTCCTTGGAGCGCTCGAAGTCTTTCACATATCCATTTTCAGAGAAGGAGCTGCGGTAGTTGAAAAATTCGGCCGGGGGATTGGCGAAATCGACTTTTTGGATATTGCTGGTGCGGCCGGGGCTCTCGGGAGAACATGCACCGCGCATGATGTCCCAAAACGGCTTGTCAGCTCCCTGGAATGCGGGCGGCGAGTATTCCCCAGAGTTTTCCTGAGCCGACAATGTCATATATTGATCAACAGCCAGTTTCGGATCGAGTTGCTGTTGAAGATCCCGGTCTTTGGCGCGATACTCTGAGACGGTTTCCCACGGGACGATGATGCGCGGCTCGTCCATACCATTAAGTGGAATGTCCATGTCAGGTAAGAATTCCTGGATCGTCGAGATCATATCCATCCAGACCTCGAGCCAGTTAACGCCAGTATGGCCCACAGAGGACAGTGTATGGTTGCGTATAATAATACGTGGATCGGAGTGCGTTGCCTGGCGCCGAATAACTGGAGGGTTCAAACCCCAGTATGGACTCAAGTCATCATATATTTGATCGAACAGGTCTTCGATAAGTACTGCCTTTTTCTGTTTCGCGATGGCAAACCACTGATCGAAGCCGGGCGGCGGGTGACGGCCTCTTCGCTCTCGATATTGCTTAGTTGCATCAGCGAGGGAATCCACGCGCTTCGACAGTAGATGATCCCATTTCGCTTGGGCATCGCGAATCAATCCATCGATCGGATGCGGCGCAGCGTCGTCAAGGTCCGGTCGTTCAGCTCCTTCTGTCTCCGTAGAGCCTCGAATGACGCTCGGGACGGGGAGAAGGTTGAGGTAGAGGCCGTTGAAGATAGCGAGGAGAACGATACCCGAGACGACCAGAAAGATGTACCGGCGTTTAAGCAGCTGTGGCAGCGGAATCATGGCAGAGATGCTGTCGGAGCAGGCTCAGACAGATAGAGAGTGGAAGGACAAACCCTTCAGGGTCTGGGTAAGGGACTGTCATGGTGGATATGTCGCAATCAGTAGTTAAGCTGAGAGCCCCAGAAGAGGCGACAATTACAGCCAATTATGGGCAAATATCAATGATAAACGGGGTGGTTCTTTATCGATGAGGTTTAGTGGGCCCGTTGGTTCGTTCGCCGGTTGGTTCAGGGCTTGATAAACCACGCTGAATAATTACGGAAATATGGAGACTTTCCTCACATTGGGGAAATTAAATTTATTAGTCATATCCTTATGGTGGGACACCCTCGTGGAACCTCCCAAATTGAATGCTATTAGAAAATTTTCTTGTGTCCTGTTCGAGTCTATTCTCCGACATCGTGGGGCTGCGGAACGTGAGATATCAAACCCTCATAAGGCGGAAATGCATCCCTACGTCCTGTCATAAGAAATGCATACGTAACAGGGCTGGATGCACAACTAACTACGGAGTAAGGTAAAGGGGCTAAAAAATAAAATAGTATAATAAAAAAATAAAGTGAAAAATAGAAGAGAAAAAGAAAAATTGAAAAGGGTGGGGTGAAGCCAACCAAAAGTAGTCAAGATCAACGGTACCTGGCGACCAACTCAGCACTGCGATCCAATGGGTGCCAGGTAGTGGAACGCTGTGGGTCATTTATGTATTTTAACCGGAGCCACTATCACTCTCCGATGTCGCCATGAGCCTTCAATCAAAACCGATACTCGAGTCATGCAGTACAGAGAAACATTGTCGGCAAATGGGATTGGCTTGGTGCTCGATGTGACTTGATAAAGGCTACACATGTACCTGCCAGCATGTCAGCATGATACCCCAGTTTTATTTGGGTGTCCTCGTGATATCCTTGTCGGCTCGGTCCGTGAGACTTCACGGAGAAATTTGTCTATATCGGTCTGGGCTTGGGGAGGCTGATTGGCAGTGACCTCGTCCAAAATTTCTAGCACGCATTGACAATTTGAGGGCTAGAAGAGAGACCCGAGCGGAAACCAATGGACAGGCAAGCACAGGGTATGCCTTGAGATGATGTAGTTTGCCTACCATCCATTAGAACCTGTGGGTAGTTAGGATAGTCAGACCTAGAGCCGGAAGCATCGTACAAGAGTCGGTGGCCTAAGCGTTGCACTACTTTCCAACTGAAAATAGAGGGATCCTATAGAAGTGTCAAGTTAAAAATGAGCCAGATCTTTGCATGAAAGCTGCCACTTTATACTATTCCCAAGCCTTCGAGAAAACAAAGAAAACGGAACGGAACCAAGGAAACGAGCCTTACTAGCGGTAAATGCTGCAGATAAGGAGTGCCAATTGGTATGATTTATCCTCGTACATCCCATCTATTGGCGGGTGTTCATGCAATCTCACCATGAGCCCCATCATGTCAGGAATTCTCCACGCCTCTCCAACCAATGGGAGGGCACTGTTAGCATGCTGCTGTCCATGTCCTGAACTCCTGATGGTGGTATATGCACGGATCAATATACCTCAACAAGAGACTTATACAGCTCATCGATCTCAGACTTCGTTCCCCTTCGATAAGAAAACTCCCTTCTGTCCGACACACTGGATAAGAGCTTTAACTCACTCCCATGTAGTACTCCTTATGCTGATTAGATTTTACGGAGAAGTTCCCCCCTGGAGCTCTCATGCCAACCCAGCTGATCATTATTATTCTCTGTCGATCGCAGGTCGTGGTTTGCTGCTCTCTCTCCTGCCCCACAACTCAGAAACTGACAAAACTTGAACATGTTTCATTTCTACGAGGCTCAGACTCACAAGGAGATAACTGAAGGTAAACAGGTCTGTATGTGGGTCAAAGTCTAGTATGGGTCATGCACTTATACAAAAATAAGCTGGGATGCTCATCACAACGAAGCCCGGATTTTGTTAGACGAAGGACTGTGGAGACAAGCGAGTGGCCCCCATTTTCGCAAGTTCACGCCCTAGAGATGGTCTAGAAAGTGATTTAACGAAATAGCCAATCCTGTTAGACCTCTCGCCTCCTTCTCCGAGCTATCCTTTTCCTCAACGCGCGTTTTCAATCCCACTCGGCATGTTAGGCTACAGAGTTGATGCCCGGGTCACAAAATCAGTGGACGGGGGCGATGAATTTGATGGCATCGCATTATTGACATCTGCGTATTCATAGAAGACTATCAGCCAAATTCGAGTGATTACAAGTTTTGTTCTGGACTTGTAAGCGTAGCCTAAACTATTCAGTGTAAAGACTAAGGATGTACGCTTCATGCAAGTCCAGAGCACCGCCCCAATGCTTTTTTCGAACTAAGTAGCAGCATTGACCTACACTGAGGTAAACCTTAGTGCTAGGACTCGTACCCACGTTGTTGCGAGCCTCCCCTCACGTTCATATCTCTGAGGCGACGGGTCGCTGTGTTTTGAACTCCAGCGATTACCAGGACTCCTGTGGTGACTCTAGCGTAGCCATCCGCGTCGGAAACTTCAGTATGACAGGGGTGGTTGTATTCGCTCTCTATTTATATACACTGACGCAGTGTGTCATCGCGGCAGAGACAAACTGCAGTCGCATATTCCATTCTGGTACGTCGCAGTGGCCACTCCTGTATCAGCCGAACTGACATCCTGCTCAGCCGTCGTCACCAATGGAAAACTTTACATCGATGGCGGTGAAATGCACACAAGGTGGCCGAATGACACAATCACCACCAAGCCAAGTACGAATCTCCTATTGCTGTTTACGACTTGAATTAACGTCCAACAGTTGATGATCTTGAAACCATTGATTTAACAAAATCCTGGGTCAACTCGGACACCGATCTATACACCTACATCCCAAAGCCTCTCGCTAATCATACTGCGATATACCTGGATGAGGGGGCCGCCTGGTCGGATAGTGAAAACCTCTTCTTCTATGGTGGCTATAGGAGTGGTGTAAATGGCCCTTCGGTCCCTCCTCTCGGAACATGGAAGTATAACATCGCATCCAACGAATGGACCCATGGCGGATTTTCGGGAGCTGCACTTGTACGACTCTGTCAGGGAGGCGCCGTTCAGTCCTCAAGTAAGGCCTATTACCTCAGTGGTTCCTTGAGCCCCGGCGGCAACCCGACCTTTGCCGGTACCGCAGGAGCGGATGTATACATGGACCCAGGGTTGATTACGCTCGATATGGATACATTAGAATGGACGAACACATCGACTGCAGATATGAATGAATGGGGGACCATAGGCGACGGATATACGAGCTTGATTGAATCAGCGGGAGACGAGGGCGTCATAGTAGCCTTTGGCGGGTATAAATATCCGGTTGGCCAGACAATTTCATATTTGGCCTATAACCAAAATGAAACAAGGCGTCGAGTATGAAGCCTAGCACCGTTTTATTCCATTGCTAATGCCTCCAGAATTCAATGGAAATGGTCCGTGTTTACGACATCGCGGAGCAGAAATGGTACAGTCAGAAAACCTCGGGTGATATTCCCGGCTGGCGAATGTCGGGCTGTACTGTTGTTGCGCCTGCCCAGGATCTATCATCATATTCAATGTAAGTCGTCTAGCCTGCTAATACAGCCAACAATGACCGTCTCAATACTAATCAATATTGCAGTTATGTATTCGGTGGAATGGCAAACACGACAGCGCTGTCAGATGGCAATGTCTACGTTCTCTCAGTGCCATCATTCCGGTGGATTCGGGTTACTGATGACAACAGCATCCGGATTAAACACAAATGTGTACGGCCTCAGAATAATACCATGATAGTCGTGGGAGGGAATACCCCAGTCACGAATCGAGAATATGACCCTTTGCCACAGAATTGCGACAGCGCTACGTTTGCCAATGGGATAGGCATCTTCGACCTACACTCCCTGTCCTGGCTATCTAACTACAATGCAAGTTACAACGATGCGTATATAATCCCTTCCAAGGTCTCCGACGTTATTGGTGGCAGGTACGTCAACTTCATTTCATGAAAAGTCTCCCTCTGTTATTAATCTCCTGGTAGTGAAACTGGCGGAGCAACAGTAGTTTCGCCCAAGGATGGATTCAATAGTACTAGTATGGAAGCTTTATTCAAAAAACGAAATAACGTCACGGATTCCAGTACTTCATCGACTTCAGCACCCGGTACGACTGGGGAAAGCTCTAGGTCATCTAAGAAAAGCCTCTCCGGTGGCGGTATTGCCGGAGTGACGATTGGCTGTGTCGCTGGTGTGGGCTTGATTGCTGGCCTCGCATGGTTCCTCACCCGAAGACATCGAAAAGCAAAAGCTGCGAGTAGCTCTCGACTGGCATGGCAGAGCGACGCATCGGCTATCCCGCCGCCGGATCAAAGCTCTCGGAAAGAGCTGTACGGCAGCGGACCAGAGGTCCATGAGATGGGAGTCAGGGACCAACCCCGCTTCGAAATGCCCGCCGAGGGGGTTAAACGATGACCACCTGATCCAGATCTCCGCTAAGTGAAGTTGTTCTGAGATAAATTCTTGCGGCAAGTCGGTGCTTGTGTATGTTCGTCTATGTCGTTTCAAATTTCCAGGTTTACATGGTGATATCGTTGCTCGATGCTTCGGTTGTTGACATAGTCTTTATGAACTGGATGACCTCAATTATAATCACAGTTATGAGGGTATATACTTCTATGTATATTACTACATTCGAAAGATATTATACCAAATCGGATTATAATAGTGAATAATTTACCCATACGTCGTCCAACATATGCTAGACCTTCTCGAATATACTACTACGTACAGAACGCGGGGTGCTGTTGCCTCATCATAGAGCTTGTAGCTAGGGACTTCTATGCTAATTGTGCCCAATTTCAAGGTGGAAGAAGCATCCGGTTATGAGCCCTCAGAATATATTCCTTATTATATTGATGATGATCTGGGATCTCCTGACCTTGCCACGAATGGGCTCTGGGAATGTGGTACGTATATTGTTAAACCTGTCCAGACTTTTGCATCGTTTTAGGCACATTATGCAACTCCTCAGTATTCGGTAAATATCGCAGCTACTATCGTCGATGCCATGGCCGAATCACTAAACAATAGCATGATTGAGTACAGTAATATGCATATCTCAAAACACCTCTCAGTCACCATACCGCCTCGAAGAGATCCTAGCCTCTCTCAGAATCTCAACAAACGTCCGTTCATCATGGTCCCGGGAAGAAACGGAGAGTAGGGGTGCTGATGTCGATGCTGTCGACAATAATACATAGCAGCGAGGACAATCCGACTGGGACGGATATCTCCAATCTTCTAATCGGGAGCAGAAAGGCCGATTTGTGCAGAGGATAACGTCGGTGAGCATACGATTGCAGCAGTTATACTTCTTGTATATGTTTGTGCACATTATGATTGCTGAGATAGTATTAGGTGTAAGTTTCTTTTGTGTAGTATAAGGAACCGCTGTTACTATTATGTCGTGTGTGTAATTTTGGGGTTTCTAGATGTGGTTGGTGGTGTGATAAGTGATGTCCTGAGTGGCTTTTGAGGAGTAAAGTAGGAGCGTATACCATCGATTAGGTAGATTTTTATAGGATATTGCAAGGAATTCTGAATGGGAATTTCGAAACGCTAAGACTGTTTCATTCTTTATATTCCTGTTCCACTCACGCTAGACCCCTTCATTCTACTGCTTCTTTACCGGCAAATGGAGCGAGCAGTGTGGGATAATGAGAGTGACATGGCACGTACGCGAATTTCTTCATATAACTATGTATAAGAGCATGCTAACATGCACTATAGTATAAATGAGGGTAATACATGCGTGACACTAGCTCTTTTATATTCAGTGCAGTAGCCGCAGTCACTGTATATAGGGACTAATAAGTGAAACTATCATAGGGGCTCACAGGCTCATTCAGTCCTTACAGGAGTTAGTATTGGTACTGAACTAAGACCTGTCAAGCATGCTCTTTTAAAATCGACCATTGAGCATAACAAAGATCAAACATACAGGCGTCTCAAGAATCATTCAAGCAGATCACGATGTTCTCGAACAAAGCCCTCCACCACATCGAGAAAGCCTTGAAGCTCCACTTTGCTAGTTCCCAAGATCAAGCTCAACATGCCACGTCTGGCGATCCAATAGCCGTTACGCACGGCATAGTACCAGAACAAGTCTTTCAGGATTGATTCCACTCCGTTCGACTCTGTTACCAAATCATCCACAGAGATGATTCCTAATTTGTCGACTTCTGATGTAAAATGTATGTTACACACTGCCCCTAGCCCAGTGACTGTCATTTTAGTACCTTGGCAGCGCGCCTGCAAGCCCTGGCGGAACCAGTCGCCCAGATTGTTGAGTTCTAAGCAAGCCTTCGGCGTAAAGATATGTTCAAGGGCTGCTAACCCAACATTCATAGCCAGGGTATTATTATTGAAAGTTCCGGAATGGCTGATTTGAACCTTCTTTTCCGACGAGTCTGACGCAGGCCGTGGGTCATACGCCGCGAGAAGGTTCTCACGACCACCAAAGGCGCCAATAGTCATTCCCCCGGCAATCCATTTCCCTAAAGTAGTCATATCAGGTTTCAACGATACACCATCGTAGGGACTCCGGATAACCGATTGAAGTCCACCCGGAGCAAGTCGAGAAGTCATAACCTCATCGAGAATAAACATCATCCCGTTAGCCCTGGCCTCAGTCTGAATTGTGTGCAGGAATTCTGCGGTACCGGGTATACACCCTGCGGCACCTTGCATGCCCTCTACAAGCACTGCTGCCGCTACATCTTTGTTTTCTGAAATGAGTTTCTGAGTCCCTTCCACATCATTGTAAGTACCAATGATCCAATCTTCTCTGTCGACATTGTTTTCAGCAACTCCACGGGCAAAGGTCAGAACGCCGCCATGATAACCACCCTTGAATACAATGATTTTAGATCTTCCTGTCACACTGCGAGCGATGCTGAGCGCATGTAGATTTGCCTCTGTGCCAGAATTACAGAAACGTAATTGTTCTATAGCCGTGATTCGCTGACAAATTGCTTTTGCAAACAAGGATTCTGTCCTAGTTGTCGCGCCTAGATTCAGACCTGTTTTGGTAACTGTAGCGATGATAGTGTCCCGAATGATCGAATTTGTATGACCGTATAGACCGGCGGTCATTTCCCCAACCAGATCCAGATATCTGAGAATGGGAAGTCAGCTTCGAAAGGGCGAAGATAAAAATGCAAATACCTACTCGTGTCCATCCACATCAACCAATTTATTACCTTCACCTCTGTCCATGCAGATTGGGAAAGGGTTGGTGTGAAGTATTGAGCGAGTGTTACCGCCTGGTAACACTTCGCTGGCCAGTTTATGCTGGGCCTTGGAGGTCGGGTTTTGATTGACAAAGGTTTTCTCTGCGCTGATGAGCAACCTTTGCGCCTTTTCTAAGGTAAAGTTTGAAGCTTTTGATGATGCGGTCATTTTCGAAGAACTGGTCGTCGTATGGTCATTAAACTACAACGTGTAATCAGAGTGCCTGTTTTGGGATCGATATGTAATCAGGTACTCTAAGGATATAATTACTTGGGTAGATCAAACTGACCAAATGCTGCATTAAATGTAATCGTCATTTTGGTAAGCCGCATCCGAGAAATGCTTACTTTCGGGTCTCGCATTTCGCATTTCGGGTTGATATCAGATTCCCGCTATCTCTACCCCGCACGTTGTCGCTCAAAGCTATGTGTATATCTACGAAAAGAAGAGAGAAGCCACTAGTCAGGGAATTGATGCACAGGTTCTAGTGTAGTGGTATGGGAAGAAACTTATATTACATGCGACCAGTCTCCGGAAGGGTCAGACAGCATTGCCATCAGAAAATCTGTGTCAATCCCGGGGTTATCATCCATGGCCTGTGGCTCGTGATCTAAGCCCAAGAGGCCTGCCTGGCTTTGTCCTGTGGCAGTATTATGTACTTCTTGGAGTCGAACTGTGTCTTGAGTAACCAAAGGCTGTGGTCCCAAGTCTCTTCCATTTCTCGTAGTCCCGGGGTGGGATTGACAAGACGGTCCTGCAAAGTCAGGCGATGCGTGTTGTGATAGAGCAGCCAGAGCATTCACAGTTGAAGATTCTGGTTCTGCAAGACGATGCAAATTATCATGGAGATCTTGGAACTGCTCCCGTCCAAGATGTGGGAAATTATGTCCATCTGTTTTGAGGCGCGTGAATATCCCCATGAGCTCGCCCAATGTTTCATACCAACATTTCGCAATCTCCCACCTTTCGCTGGCAGTTCCCAGCCAATCGAAACTCCATGTATACTTCTTCTTCGCATTCTCGAGTTCAGGTGCCATGTACGGCCAAGTGTCCGCATATAAAACTGTGCTGGCGGCACTGAACATACAGAAGGCTGTGAACGGTGTCTGAAACTGTACACCCCGTGCTTCAAGATCTTGCATCAGCTGTATAATAGCCGAAGCAGCGTGGAAGAGTTCCTGTGAGCTGCGGTGCCACCAGCCATGAGGAGGTGTCTGCTCCAAAAGTGGAGGGTCGATCGGACCACATGGACGCGACACCCTGTGCGGGAAGAGAGGGGTATATTCTCGATGTAGAAATAGAATGCTCACATAGTAGAGCAGGTTTAATAAAGCGAAGCCTTCGACCTGGTTGTGCAGCATGTGCGCCTGTATCTGGCCAGCAGACCGCGAGTATACCAATCTGGACGAATGAGTCGCTCTCCAGGCTTCCACCGAGGTGATAGAGCGGTTCCAAAAAGATGTGTCTTTCCAAGGAGGCTCTATGGACTCGGGAGATGGGTACCGTCTCCCACCTCTACAGATCCACGTAGATAAGGAGGAAAAGATGCCAAATCCCTCGATTACCAAGGAAAGGATTCGCTGGGGTCCAGCTATCTTGATATAGCTACCTGGAGCCGTAACTGATGTATCTGTTCCTAGCTGTGCTAGGAAGCAAGGTGTCAGGGTCGACTCGGGGCCAAATTCGAAATCATCCTCGTTCATCGGCAGCGGAATATCGGGTACCTCGACTTCAGCGCGTTGCGGACCATATCTTCCACAGCGTAGGATACAGTCAAGCACAAAGCAGGCCCAGACAGTTCTGATAGCCGTTTCGTACTTTTTGGAGCTTACATTTGCAGTATCCTTTGTGTTTGCCTTCGTCTGCGAGCAAATACCTTGGGCCATTCTCGTAGCCATGCCTAGACGTCAAATTGTTGAGACCCAGTCGGCACCTTCAAAGTTTGCATCACACACCTGTATATATCCATGCCTGAAACCCATTACCCTCTCCCCAGTCGTACAAACTGAGTAAAATCATGGCATGAACGGCGTCGATCCCAGGATGTTGTGCCACATAGCTCATGATATTCTCACGTACAACGCTGGCGAAATATTGAGATGCTAGATACGGACTGCCATACTGATCCACCAGTTCGGGAATATACCGTGCACACAGAGCCAGGATCGCGCAGAGCTTTATGACAGGGATCTCATCTGGCAGGCCGTACTCAAAGAATGTTGGCTTATGGACAAAGCCGAATTCAGGGAACTGCTGGACAAATATTCTGCTTGCACGAATGACCAATTCCCGATCCACATTATCGAGGGCATTTTCAGGTAATACTAAGGTTTTCGGTTGTTTCAGTGAAGCATTACCCTGCCTTTCGCAACTGCTGTTTGCATCAGAAACTGCAGTATGCGTTGAAAAGGCCGTTGGTGATTGTTGATTTTGTAAGCCAGCATTTGTCTTCTCTATTCTTCGAGATGTGGATATCTCCCCTATAATAGTCTTTGATACACGATTTGCACGAGCCGTGTTCGCTGGGGAATGAGACGACATGCGCCGCTTCCTACGAAAGGTAGGAGTGCTCAGGCTACATTCTCTACCCGGATGAGCCCTACATGATTTGCAAGGTGGAATACCATCGTGGTGGCACTTGACTTTTGACTTTCTAGGGCAAGTAAGCGCTAGAAACTATTATAGGAAACAACAATTGGTTCTCGTGGGGCAACATGTATTTAGAACATGATGAACATGATGTGAATGCCAAGTCCTAAAGGGACCCAAGGGTAGATATACGGAAACCCATGGACAAAGAATAAGACTTACCGACACCACTGGCAGGCCAATGTGGTCCTCATTTTTGGCGAGATTTAGAACTTCGTCGGGTGTTGGGAGTGGCATCGGGAATGTGAACAATTGTTGCCAGTAGGTTTAGGCCGAAACCCGAAGCGGGCCTTGGTTCGAATTAGGTAAGGCTTCGTAGTCTCCACTCCTCTCTTTTGGTGTTCTATACTTAACGATACTACTGGATTTTCCCTTTCAACACACTATTGGCATGAGACATACTATCAAATTTTATGACATCTATATATGTATAACTACACAACAAGAAGATCTAAATAAGATTGTGCGCGTGGACTAATAATCACGACGGACCTAAACGGAGTCAGTTTGGCCTCGTACATATGCCAGACAGGCGAACCAGGAGTGCATCTTCAGGAGTAAGTTGATCAGTGATAAGCGATAACATGGGTCTCTAGGCTAGATTCTATCCTTGAAAATTAATCGACAGTTATAGGGCTCGAGGGAAGCATTCTGCTTTCAAGTCAGCAGTTATAACAATGCATTTTGTAGCACGTCTACGAGTTGGAACCTACCTCCTTGATCGAATAATGATAATCCGGGGCATTGGTGATTTCGAAATGACGGACGATCTCATTAAGAGTCACCCGGAGTTGTAACAATGCAAACTCAGATCCAATACAACTACGTGTCCAAGCGTTGAATGGAATATAACTCCCTCGCACCTGCTGCTGGCTAATCGCTCGTTGGATGGCATGGACATCATCCCCCCATCGCTCCGGGTGGTATTCGTGCGCGGTAGGTCCCCAGGTATTCGGATCGGTATGGACGCCATATGCCGTCCATCCCACCCATGTTCCTTGAGGAATGGTTATGCCATTTCCTAGATAGACGGGCTCCAAAGTTTTGCGATTGATTAACTGGCTGACTGGGGGGTAGAGGCGCAAGGTTTCAGAGAGCACAGCGGTGAGATAGGGCAAATTCTTGAGGTCGTCCTCGTCGGACGAAGAAGGGCTATGTGCTGCAATCTCCTGGTATAACTTTTCTTGTATTTGAGGGTTTTGGGACAGCTCCCACAGGGTTGCTATCAAGGCAAACTTGACGTTTTCGTGGCCAGCGAAGAACATCATTTTAAGGTTCGAGCGATAATGGAATTCGGACATGAGCCCATTATCGCGGGCTCGCTTCAACCGATAGATTAGCTTTTCGGATCGATCCGGCGGTGTTTCGGTGTATTTGAGTTTCTCGGTTACGTCGATCAGTGCCTCCTCGAGCTCTCGGATCATGGAAAAACAATGGGGTCTTGTTGGACGTAGAGGCCAGCCAATTCTTTCCAACAGCGGGAAATGGTGGATGAGATGTCCCCCTAGGTTCCAGAGGATGGCCAGAAGAGCATCTTGAGCCCGAACAGTGCCGCCATTCAAGGCGCCAAAATCAACGTCAAAGAAGCTGTCCCCAAACACGTCAATCGCCCACCGTTCAATTATGTCATTGATAACAACCCCGCGATCCGATGGCGCCTGCTGTTGCTCTCGTCTAAATGTCGCTAGAAGCTTAGACGAAGCGATCTTGAGGGAGGAGATACTCGGAGGGCGCTGAATACCCGGCTTCATGATCCCGGTGAACTGTTTCCAAAGCTCTCCATGTGAGTCAATGATGTTCTCGCCAAACAGACCGGCTAATGTACTATGAGGAGCCTTTCCATAGAAGCCACCTTTGGCCACAACGCGTTCGTTGCGTAGAATGCGGACCACATACTCTGGTTTAGTCACTAGGACCGCCCATTGACCCGAGTTCCAGATATTGACGGCGCCGTGGGTTTCTAGCACGGGGCGCAGACGAGTGTTATGAAAACCAATTTCAGACACACGGCGATATGCATCATAAACCGAGATGTGAACAGGAATCGAGGGAATGCCAGGGCAGTACTGCGTAAAACCGTGCAGGATTTTGGTCGTGACGACGGCAACGGTCAAAGTCAACAAGAGACCGACAACCGATTTATAGTCAAATTTGATCACAGTCAATGCCCAAGTGGGATACTCCATTGTTGGAGGGTGAAATGGAACACTGAGATGAGAAGAGAATCTACTTTTCGAGTGGTAATAATCGCAACGGGGTTAATTTCTGTTTTGTTTCCAGGTGGTTGTCATACTACTTCATACTGTATTTACATTACACTGTAATGTAATGTGGCTGGCGTCGTGTGCGGTAAGGGGGTTTTGTCAATCATGCAGGATCTGGACTGACTGGGACTATTACTAGTATTGACACCGGTGACACCCAACCCACCCTATGGTCTCGTTCCTACTATTGGTATACCCCTAGTTGATGAATCCGGTTTGAACCAGTATGGAATGTGATGAACTTCTGCATAACCGCAACCAATCATCACCGTCATCGTTACCCTCTCAACCTCTCCTCCTCCTCCTCCTCCTCCTCCTACTACTACTACTGATGCTACGGGTTTTATGGCATTTGCTATGTAACAGCACGGAATGATGTTCGATGACACTGGCTTTCTTTCCTGACAGATTACAGTACCCTGACCTTACACAATACATACCATGAGAGGATCGATGATCACCCAACATAACTAATCTATCATCAGTATGTTCCCGCAATCCGCATGTGTTGAAATTCATTGGCTGTGAGATATTTCTGCTCTGAATCTCCGTTTAATAAGGGCCGAAGGATGGCAGCACGGTCAGGCTTCGCAAAGTATGCGATGGAGAAGCGCTCCGGCACCATTCCATCGCTTTGCTCTTCGCTGGGAAGATGGACTCGATGGCGCGCACTATGCAACCCGGTCCACTTTTGCAGGCAATCCCCCACATTCAAAATACACTCGTATGGCTCTCCACTCTCGATGTCCGCGAACTGCCCACTGTGCGGTGGGACCTCCATTTCTGCCCCCCTGCATTAGCACAACAACACGAACCCCGACCACTGAGAGAATCGAATTGGAGCCAAAGGCAAGGAAAAAGAAGGACAAGAACTCACGTAATCCTCCGACTGCATCTTGGAATAACAGGGTGATCGTCCCAAAGTCGGTGTGCGCAGCGATGCGTGTCGCATGCGCAAAATCCCCTCGGGCGACTGCAGGATAGTGCGTGATGCGCAGCTCATTGGTCTGCTCTGCGTGAAGCTGACCGAGTGTTTGTTCAGGTAGCCCTAGTCCGATCGACAGAGCCTTGAGGATGGTCAATTCGGTGCGATAACCGGCTTCGAAGAATGAAATGAAGGTGGGTTGGAAGGCATCGTCCACTCCCGAAGGGGGCCAGATGTTCTTGTAGAGTGGATCACATTCGGATCCAATGTCGTAGGATTCCTAGCAAGGGGTTAAAATAAAATATTCTTTCGAGGTAAGACACAATTACCTTCATGTCTCGGAGGTAAGGCGATTCGGTTGCGCGGCCATAGTTGGAGACAGCTCCAATGTTCTCCAGCCCGAGCGGACTGAAGCCTCGATGGGGATGTGCGGTGGGAGGATGAGGTGATTTCAACTTTTGTTCCAAAGGGAGTTGGAAGAAGTGGCGTGCCTATGATCAGGTAAGAATATACGTCTGGGAGAATTGGAGAGTGGAAACCAACTGCTGCAAATGCCAGGTCAATCTGGGCATACGGAATGCCATGATTGATCAGTTTCACAAATCCATATTCCTTCAATATCGAGACGAATTGGTGACAAAATTGCTCTCGCTGCGAGAGTTCATGGAAACGAGAGAAATCCAAAGAGGGAAACATGAGGAATTGTGATGTGGATGACTGATTGTTGCCGGGTGGGTGAAAGGAGTGTTCTGACTCCTGTCATATATACCAGCCCGGGGGTTTGGTTATAGTTCCCTGCCAAATGCCATGCTTGGTTATTAATAAAATATGCAGGTGGTGAAGATTGCCAACTAAACCGGTTATAGGTTGCTTCTGCATCCGTCAATCAATGCCAGTGGCTTCTCATTTTTCGGTGGCTGACGGTATGTGAAACTGACACCTAAATTTCTGCCTCGATGGGTCTTGTCAGGAAATGGTTCCCTTTGGGCATCCAGGCTTTCTTTTCTTCTGCAGCAGTTAATGACACAGGAATCCTTCACTGATTCTCTCTATCCCCTCCAACTAACAATCTCATTTCGCCACGATGTCCCATACCCTGGGTCTTGATCAAATTTGGAGCTGGAATGCTGAAGTCCCAGAGACTGTGCCGGGCTGCGTGCATGATCTGATTGCAACTATTGCCGTCCAGCATCCGGATGCCTTGGCTGTGTGCGCCTGGGATGGCGATTTAACGTATGCTCAACTGAATGCGCTGTCGCGCCGCGTGGCCCAACGTCTGGCTGCCTTACAGATTCCCCGCCAGTCTAGCATTCCCTTGCTATTTTCCAAGTCGCGATGGACCTGCGTGGCCATGTTGGGAATCATCCAGGCAGGTTGTGCGGCCGTTGCGCTGGATGCTACGCAGCCAGATACAAGGTTGCGCTCGATTGTGCAGCAAACACAACCGAAAGTAATCATCTCGTCGCCAGTGCATACCACCAGAGCATCTGGACTGGCGGATGCTGTCATCCTGCAGCTGGATGCTGCCCTTTTCGACAACGAGACTGAGGAGCTGACGAATGCACTTCCGGTCCTTTCCCCATCTGATATAGTTTATATATCTTTTACATCGTATGTAATTTCCAAGTCATGCGCTAGAAAGAAAGAAACACTAACCCAGAAAGTGGAACAACCGGTCAACCCAAGGGTGCATGCATCAGCCATGCGAACGTGCGCAGTGCCGTCCATCACCAAGGCAAGAAGTTGGGTTTTGATTCAAGATCGCGGGTTTTTGACTTTGCCCCCTACTCATTCGACGTCGCATGGAGCAACTTCCTGCACACCCTCTGCGCGGGAGGATGCATTTGCATTGCCAACGAGATGGATATGTTGAACGATCTGTCCGCTGCCATTACTGCATTCGGGGCCACATTGATTAATGTGACGCCTACTGTTTTACGGACTATAAACCCCATTCCACCTACCCTCGAAACGGTTCTGTTGAGTGGAGAGATGCCGTACCGAGACAACATCACCCGCTGGGCTGACAAGGTAAAATTGCTAAATACATATGGCCCAACGGAATGTACATTTAAATGTGCTTTTTCCCTCCTTAGTTCACATCTCGAAGGTCGTCCGGATATTGGCAGGGGAGTTGGTCACTGCACATGGATTATCGATGTCAATGACAGCAACAAATTAGCCGCCCCAGGTGCGACAGGCGAGCTGTTCCTAGAAGGTCCTCTAGTCGGTCAGGGGTATCTATCGGACCCCGAAAAGAGTGCTGATGCATTTATTAATGACCCTCCATGGCTCCTGGCAGGCAATAACAATGTTCCTGGTCGACGAGGCAGACTCTACAGAACAGGGGATTTGGTCAAATACAAACCCGACGGGAGGCTCATGTTCATGGGCCGCAAAGATGCCGCGCAACTTAAAATTCGAGGTCAAAGAGTGGAAATTGGTGATGTTGAGCATCACGTCCGTGCCTGTCTAGACGAAGATCTCACCGTGATTGCAGACGTGGTTATGCCGCGTGGGTCCGACACGTTGTCATTAGCTCTGTTTGTTCAGGCTCAATCAGATGATAGAGAACGGGTCAAGCGCCAGATGGACAGCCTTGAAGGAAAATTGCGTGAGATGTTACCTTCCTTTATGATACCTACCGTGTATCTCCCGGTCGATGTCATTCCAATGGCCTCAACTGGTAAGGCTGACAGACGACGACTGCGGGAAATGGGCAATGCTTTGGACTGGAAGCAAATTGTCGAGCTTCAATCATCCATCGTATCCCCCATCGAGTATCGCGAGCCGACAACTGATGCGGAAATACAGCTGCGTCGCATCTGGGCCCAGGTTTTAGAGCTGGAGGTTGATCGAATCAGCACAGGTGATAGCTTTCTACGACTGGGCGGAGACTCGATTACCGCCATGTATCTGGTCGCACAAGCGCGGCAGGAAGGGCTATCTTTAACAGTTGCAGACGTGTTCACCTTTCCAATTCTAACCGAATTAGCAACCAAAGTCAAAAGTCTTGTGCAGAGCGAGGTTGTGGTCCCGTTCTCCCTTCTGACGGGGAAGAGCAGCAAGAAGAGCTTGTGTGAAACGGCTGCCACACTGTGTGGGGTCGAGGTTGGCGAGATTGAGGATATTTATCCATGTACTGCACTACAGCAAGGGATGTTGGCGGTCAGTGCGAGAAATGTTAGCGCCGACTATACATCACGCACTGTCTTTGACCTGCCAGAAGACATTAACATGAGGCAGCTGGAGAGAGCCTGGGCAAACACAGGTGCAGCAACACCCATTCTGCGCACTCGGATTGTCGAGCTACCAGGAGAAGGTCTGGTTCAGGTTGTTGTGAAGTCCCCAGTGACATTGCTTCGATATGAGTATATCCGCGACTTTATGACCACCAGCTCTCAAGCTTCATATTTAGGGAGACCACTGTGTCGGGCCGGGATAATTGAAAATGAAAACCCCCGTTTCTCATTGGAGATTCATCACTCGATCTACGATGGATGGACCACAATGCTCATTCTGGATACTCTTGAAATGGCGTATCGGGCGAATCAAGCTTTCTCGGCGCCCCTTTCGTTCCAGCCATTTGTCAAGCATGTAATGGCCATGGACACCGCAGAGGCCACAGAGTTTTGGCGTGATCAGCTCATTGGGTCAGATGCAATTGTCTTTCCATCTTCCAAATACTCTCCAAAGAAAAAGCTCGACTTCAACCATGTTATTAGTGGGCTGCAGTGGCCCCGTACAGGCACTACTCCATCTTCGGTGGTTCGATCTGCACTCGCGATACTGCTAGCATCGTTCACAAATACAGATGATGTAAAGTATGGAGCTACCGTCAGTGGTCGGCAGGCCCCTGTGCCGGATATTGAACGCATCGCGGGACCAACTATTGCCACAGTTCCTGTGCGGGTGAAGTTAAACTGGGATCAGACCGTCGAGGATCTGCTGCAGCAAGTTCAAAGGCAGATGGTAGAAACGACAGAATATGAGCAGTTTGGCTTACAGCACATTCAGCGGATCGATGAGGACATTGAGGCAGCCGCCCAGTTTGAGCTGCTACTGGTCGTCCAGCCAGCTCACCATGGGAAGAGTCAAAAACCTGGAGGTCTTTTCTCCCGAGCACATACTGTGTCCATACCAAATATCTTAGAAGCGCACAGGCAAGGTGACCCCGTACTAGTAGCTAAGGATGGTCAAAGTGACAGTATAGGGAACTATAATCCTTACGCAGTGATGATTATATGCCAACTGGAAGAATCCGGTGCAGAGCTCAAGATCAATTTCGACTCCGGGGCTATTGACGAAGACGAGGTGCAGCGGTTGGCCCGGCAGTTTGAGCATGTATTGCGACAAATGTGCTCAGAAAGGTTCGGTCAATCTAAGCTAAGAGAGCTCAGCCCCTTGACTAGCGAGGATCTTGTTGACATCTGGGCATGGAACCGATATCTTCCGCCTGGCGCTACTGAGTGTATAACGTCTCTGATTGCGCAGCGGGCTGCTACCCAACCGGGAGAGGTGGCCATATACGCATGGGATAACAAGCTCACATACCGACAGCTGCAGGAAAAGTCGATTGCTCTTGCATGCCGAATGCGAGAGTATGGGGTTACCCCCGGATCTATCGTTGTGCTGAGCTTCGAAAAGTCTTCCTGGTTGGTTATCACCATGATCGCTGTTCTTCAACTTGGATGCATCGCATTGCCTGTTTCTGCGCCGACTCCAGGCCAACGAGCCAGCCAGATTGTCAATGCTTTGCAGCCAACACTTGTCATAACATCGACCGCATCGCACTTATGTTCCTTTACTGGCATGGCGCCTATTGCTACTAATGATGAGCTGATGAAAATTCACGTTGAAGACAGTCCAGGTCTGCCGTTACCGCAGCCCCGTGCCTCTGATCCTGCACTTCTACTCTTTACATCTGGCTCCACTGGAACGCCAAAGCCTATTCAATGGAGCCATGGGACGCTATCAAGCAACATTGCGGCGGTGCAAAAATGCTTTGGGATTGAATCTACCAGCAAGGTTTTCCAGTTTGCAGGATATGATTTTGATGTCAGCACAGTAGAAACACTTTCGGCTCTCGTTGCAGGTGGTTGTGTTTGCATCGCATCTGAATCTGAACGGACGAATCGACTGGCCGAAAGCATCGTTCACTACAATGCAAACTGGATTTGTTTGACACCATCTGTTGCAGAATCCATTGCGCCTAAGGACGTACCGTCATTAAAGACGATTACCTTTGCGGGTGAGAGGCTGCAACAGAGAACGGCTTTTCACTGGTCTGAGTATGTGAACGTCGTGTACAATTGGTATGGGCCAGCTGAGGCGTGCGTAGCCACTTCATATAAATTTGATCCCAACAAATGGCAGTCAGGAAGCATTGGAAAAAGTCAGGCAGCCTGTACCTGGCTCGTCGATCCCAAAAATCCTAACATTCTTGCTCCGGTCGGGGCAATCGCAGAGCTATGCATCGAGGGTCCGATCGTCGCCAGTTATACAGGGAGCTGTGGTCCTGCCCTGAATGGAAAGCAATTCATTTCCCCTTCCTGGTTGCAACAGGGACATTGGAAGGTATCGGGGCGATATGGGCCACTGTATCGAACGGGGGACCTCGTCAAATATACCTCAGCTGGCTCCCTTCTGTTCCTGGGTCGAACCCAGGATTCCCAACGCAAGCTTCGAGGACAACGTGTTGACCTTGAGGACATCCAGCGTTTCGTTCAGGAGTTTCTCAATGGAAGCAATAAGGTCAAAACTGTCGCAGAGATCTTTACTCCATCACTCAGCGACAAGGACTGCCTGGCTCTCTTCTTTAGCCCCCGGGATATAGCAAGCAAACCCACGTTGCCAGTCGACGAACTTGAAGCATATCTGGTGACAGTGCTGCCGCCTTATATGATTCCGAAGCTGTACATCCCCATTGCCACAATCCCCATCGGCAAGACGGGAAAGACTGATCGCCGACGTCTGCGTCAAATCGGTAGCTCGTTCACTATAGAACAACTGGCGGCAATGCAGCCATCCCGGAAGAAGGCAAGGGAGCCCTCCAGCGAAAATGAGAAGAGGCTTCAACGACTGTGGGCAGAAGTTCTTGGTGTAGCCGTCGACTCAATCTACGCTACAGACAATTTTCTCCGTCTAGGAGGCGATTCTATCATGGCAATGCGCCTCGTTGCCCTGGCCCGCAACGATGGATCTGTGCTTACAGTTTCAGACATATTTGAGGCTCCCGTGCTGGAGAGTATGTCAAAACGACTTGGAAAAGGAAGTAGTGGTACCGAAGAGGTTCCTCAATTTTCTCTTTTAAACTCACGCGTTGGCAAAGAGGATAGCCGCCGGTATGCTGCTCACCGCTGCAGGATACCGGAGGAACAGGTTCTCGACATCTATCCCTGTACCGCTCTCCAAGAAGGCCTTCTGGCATTAGGCGCAAAGAACCATGGCCAATATATATCGCGGAGTGTACTTGAAATTCAAGCCACTGTTGACCCAGACCGACTACGACAAGCGTGGCTATCCACCGTGCAGAAGTTACCCATCCTTAGAACGTGTATAATTGACCTCCCGGGTCAAGGGCTGGTTCAGGTCTTAATTAAAAATGCCTCGTGGCGTTTTGGCACTGACATAGATACGTATGTGCGAGACGATGAACGGGAGCCAATGGGGATGGGGGTGCAACTTTGTCGTGCTGCCATTGTGGAAGGAAGCTTTATTCTCACTATTCACCATTGTACCTACGACGGTGCTACCCTGAATATGATTCTGGATGAACTTGAACATCAATATCTTGGTCAATGCGGCGCAGAGTTTACGCCATTTCGCAACTTTATCAAATATTTGCAAAAGACGGACACCAAAGACAGCGCAGAATTCTGGAAAGCTCAACTTTCTAACGCTGAGCTTCAACACTTTCCGGTCCTTCCCTCCTCAGCCTACATCCCACAGGCCAACGAGGAGATGAACCACTCAATTTCGGTCGACTGGCCGCGTGCCGGAATGACGCCATCAACCATCCTCCGTTCAGCGTGGGCTATCCTCGAAGCGCAGTATGTGGCCTCGAACGATGTGGTCTTTGGGGTCACAACAAGTGGGCGACAAGCAAATATGGCTGGTATCGAAGGCTGTAGTGGCCCAACAATTGCGACAGTACCCATTGCGATCTCTATTAATTGGGACCAGACAATACAGACATTCTTGGGCCGAATGCAACAACAAAGCATCAACTTGATACCTCACGAGCAGTACGGACTGCAAAATATTCAGCGAATTGTAGAAAACTTTGACTCTCCGTTATTCCAAACGTTGCTAGTAATTCAACCAGTAGCCGAAGGAAAGAGCCTACAGGACGACAGTCTGTTATTTAAAGCACGACGCTTCTCATCGAATCTTGACACTCGAGGAACTGATCCATTTAATGTGTATCCATTGATGTTAATTTGCCAGCTTACTGGGTCGGGGCTGAAGCTGCACATTAGTTTCGACAATCATATTCTCGATCACAGGCAGATTCAACGCATCGCTTGTCAATTCGAAAAAGTCCTTCGACAGCTATGCACCGCAGACCCAGAAACCACAAAGCTTGAAGATGTTCAAACGGCATCGGATTTCGATATTGCTCGATTTTGGGAGAAGAATTCCAAGGATCTGGGAGAGCCGCAGGCATCAGTATCCGAGAAGATTTCTTTCATTGCAAGCAAACAACCTGATTCGATCGCAATCGATGCCTGGGATGGTCAGCTATCCTACAAACAGTTTGACGAGCTGTCGACAGACTTGGCCCACAGGTTGCTTAGACTGGGTATCTCCAAAGGGTTGACAATCGCTCTAAGCATGGAAAAGTCTAAGTGGGTCCCGATCATGCAGCTCGCCGTCCTGAGATCTGGCGCTGTCTGTTTGCTGCAATCTGTCGCCGTGCCAGAGCATCGTGTGGGCGCCGTCTTCAAAAACCTCGATGTAGTCATTGCCGTGGCTTCATCATCGCGAGTTGACTTGATAAAACAGCTTTCGAAATGTTTCACTGTCGAGGAGGTGCTGGAGACACCTATCTCATATAACCCACTCCCTTCTCCGAGAATGTCTGACCCTGCCATTGTCTTGGTATCTTCTGGCAGTACTGGAGAACCCAAGCAGATTCTTTGGAATCATCGAACGTTGAGCGCAAACATTCAGGGTGCTGGTGAAGTATTTGCGATGAGCTCGCTGTCTCGTCTGTTCCAGTTTGCGTCGTACGATTTCGACGTTGCGACGGTGGAAACACTGTCCACTCTGGCTTACGGGGGCTGTCTTTGTATTCCTTCTGAATCCGAACGGCTCAGCGACATGGCCAGGGCGATCAACCGTTTTGAAGCCAATGTTCTCCACTGCACCCCGTCAACCGGAAGACTGCTTAGCCCTGAAGCGGTGCCTACTGTGTCGACGCTCGTCCAAGCTGGGGAGAAGTTGACCGAAGAAGACGTGAGAAGGTGGAGCGGCAAGTGCCGTGTTATCAACTGGTATGGACCGGCTGAATGCAGTTTAGCTGCAGTTTCCCCTGCCACTCGGCCCTCATGGTACACCGGGGTAATTGCGAGCCCCTCCGAAGAGGTTGAATCCCAATACCTCCCTCGTTGCTGGCTAGTTGACCCGCACAATCATCATCGTCTGGCGCCATTTGGAGCTACTGGAGAGATCGCTCTCGAGGGACCAGCATGTGCAGTGGCCTATATTGGGAACCCAAGATTGACCGAAAGGGTGTTTTGCGAGAACCCAAGGTTTCTCTCCCTTAGCCAGAGTGGGAAGGAAAGAAAACGAACGAGTCGGATCTACCGAACCGGCGATTTAGCTCGATACGACAGCAACGGTAACCTGATATTCATCGGGCGCAAAGATGCACAGCTCAAGATACGTGGCCAATTAGTTGCCCCGGAAGAGGTTGAATATCATATTCGACAATGTGTAGACGTAGCGGACATACCAGTCGTCGTGGATGCTATAATCGAGAGGGATACTAGCCACCTCACATTAGTGGCCTTTATTGTGGCAGAAGACGTAGATTCCATCACAAATGGCCTGAATGAAAAACTTCAAAAGTCACTCCCTCGTTATGCAATTCCATCTTACTACATTCCCGTCCCGGGCATTCCGACTGGGCCAACCGGTAAGGTAGATCGCAAGATGCTGGGGGAGATTGGTTCTGCGTTCACAACGCAGGTGCAATCCAATGTTCAACAGAGAAAGCCAACAACTCCAGCAGAGATCAAATTGCAGAACTTGTGGGCGGTTGCTTTGGGGATTGATATGAGCAAGATTTCTGCGAACGATAGCTTCCTCCGGCTTGGTACCTCGATTGAAGCAATGCGTTTTGTTGGGCTCGCCCGCGATCAAGGAATACGCTTGACAGTGGCCCAGGTATTTGAGAGGCCCATACTAGCCGATATGGCTACTATTATTCAGAGCACGACGAATGACAAGGATAGGCAGGTTGGGCCCTTCACTCTGTTAGGCAAATCTGTGGATATTCAGCTGGCCCGACAACAAGCCGCTACACTGTGTGGTATCTCTGAAGAGAGCATCGAAGACATATTCCCATGCACACCACTGCAAGAAGGCCTACTGTCATTGACAACAAAGCGTGATGGGGACTATACAGGTCGAAACATACTGGAACTTCGTTCTTCTGTCGATCCTGGCCGCTTTAAAACCGCATGGGAGCAGACAGTGGCGAGGATTCCAATTCTGCGAACACGAATTATTGATCTTCCCGGTCAAGGGCTGGTTCAGGTAGTAATGGAAGAAACCAACGTATGGACTGAGGCGGAAGGAGTTCAGGACTATATCGAAAAGGAAAAGCAGCTGCCGATTAGATTAGGATCACCTTTGATGCGATCCAGTCTATTCATGACATCTCCAGGGCGAAAAAATCGTTTCTCCTTCGCACTTACTATGCACCACTCAATATACGATGGTGTGAGCACAGGCCTAGTCCTGCAAACCCTGGAATCGCTCTACCATGATTCAAACCCTTGTGAATTAAGCACACTCCAGCCTTTTGTACAGTATATCAACCGTCAGGATAAGCAGGCCGAATCCGACTTTTGGGCCTCGCAGTTTGCCGGTCTCGAAGCATCACAGTTTCCCGCGCTGCCACATGCAGCCTACGAGCCTCATCCGGATTCGAATTTGGAACATTCCATTCATGACATCCGTTGGAGAACAGATGACATTACTCCGTCAACGACAATACGTCTAGTATTCGCCTTGCTCTACTCTCGCTATTCTGATTCATCCGACGTTTTGTTTGGGACTGTCGTCAACGGCCGTAGTGCACCGGTTCAAGGCATTGATAGATTGGCCGCTCCCACCATTGCCACTCTCCCAATTCGCGTGAAGTTGAATGGCCATGAAACTATCCGATCAATGCTGATTGGCTTACAAAGTCAAGCAACAGAGATGATTCCATATGAGCAGAGCGGACTGTCGAGGATTCAAAAGATCAACGACGAAGCACGGCAGGCCTGTCAATTTCAGTCCTTTCTCATGATTCAGCCACCTGAGACAAAAATGGACGAGGGCGGTTTATTCTCACCCCAACAGTCGTCCCCGGAAAATGAGAGAGATCGCTACCGTGGGTTCAGCTCATATGCCTTCTCAGTGGGCTGCACACTTTTAGAAAATGGAATTCAACTACAATTCACATTCGACCCGAAAGTGATTGACCATACGACAGCTGGCACAATGGCGCACCACTTTGAGCATCTCTTTCGGAAAGTGGCATCCCATGAGGTCGATCAAGTTGCTGTCGGTGATCTCGAAATGATCACAACACAAGACTTGAGCCAGATCTGGCGATGGAACTCGCAGGCATACAACAGTACCAACCTGTGTATCCATGATCTTATTGCAGAGAGGGCAGAGTCCCAGCCGACAGCCACTGCCATCTCAGCCTGGGATGGGGAATTGACATATAAAGCGCTCGACTACTTATCGACTCAACTCGCCCATGAACTAGTAGATCTGGGTGTTGGTCGAGGTATGATTATTCCATTATACTTTGAAAAATGTCGATTCTCCTTTCTTGCCTTTTTAAGCGTCATTAAGGCTGGAGGTGCTGGGCTATTTCTAGATCCCGCTCTCCCGGAATCACGACTTCAAACAATCGTGCAACAAGTGAAGCCCATCCTAATGCTGGCGTCACCCGCGAATGAATTACTGGGCTCCTCTATGGTGGAGCATGTTATCGTAGTGAGCCATGGTTCAATGCGCTCGGTATCTGAGAGACACGAAAAGACCACACCACTACCATCCGTGCATCCATCGGACCTGCTTTATGCCGTGTTTACGAGTGGAAGCACTGGAACTCCCAAGGGTGTTCTCATTCAGCATCGCCACTTCTGCAGTGCCATTTCCCATCAGCAACCGGTGTTCAGGCTTGGCCCCTCGACCAGAATGTACGACTTTTCTGCACCCTCGTTTGATGTGACCTATGGAGCCGTGCTGCCTACTCTCGTAGCCGGAGGCACAGTGTGCATACCTAGTGATGAGGAAAGAAAAAGCAATTTGACAGAGAGTTTACGTCGTTTCGAAGCGACAGATACCCTCTTAACCCCATCCATAGCTCGCTGGCTTGACCCCAGTTGTATCCCAACGCTACGAAATATATATCTCGGCGGTGAAGCCCCGACGCATGATGATCTTGCGCTGTGGACTCCCCATGTCACCACTGTCAATTGCTATGGCCCAGCGGAATGTTCCGTTGGCACACTCTACTGGAAGGTTCCCAGTCCCATCCCATCCAAGATTCCAATCGGCAAAGGATACGGTGTATCAACATGGGTTGTCGACCCACAATCGAGCGAGCGCCTGTCGCCCCTTGGAACTATCGGGGAGCTATACCTTGAAGGTCCCCTAGTTGGGGAGGGTTATTTCATGGATAAGGAAAATACTGCGTCTGTATTCATTGAAAGCCCGTCTTGGCTGCGCAGGGGCGATCCCAGCGGTCGGGTTCCTGGCAGAGATGGGCGGCTATATAGGACCGGGGACCTAGTCAAGTACGACCCGGTTGATGGGACATTAGTTTTCATGGGAAGGAAAAATACCCAGGTCAAGCTCCGGGGGCAACGGATAGAGCTGGGGGAAATCGAGCATCATCTCCGACAAGTCCTTGCTGATATGTCCATCGAGGCCTCTGTTACTGCGGAAGTAGTGACCCCTGAAGTGACCGGACGGGCTGCTCTTGTAGCCTTTATCGGGTCGGACCCGGCAAGGATTTCCCAGATGTCGGACAATCTGGAGAATAGAATGGCAGCACGAGTGCCCACCTATATGGTTCCAGTCACATTTGTCCCGATCAATCCAATGCCCTTGGCTCCCAGCGGCAAGACAGATCGCAGGCGTCTGCGAGAGATTGGATCACAATTCACATTGGAGCAGCTTGGTGGAGGACGGCGATCACATGGCAGGTCTCCATCTACAGAACAAGAATGTTTGCTACAGAAATGGTGGACATCAGTGATCGGTGTTCCAGCTGATCAAATTTATATCGATAGTAGTTTTCTTCGACTTGGTGGCGACTCCATTTCTGCAATGCGTTTAGCCTCCTTAGCTCGCAGTCAAGGTATTTCTTTGACCGTACAAAAGATTTTGAATCAGCCCCGGCTATGCGACATGGTACAGGCAATGGTTCCGTTGGATCCAAATCAAGATGATGCTGGTCAAGGCGGGGTCTCCCCATTCTCCCTTTTGAAGCATCCAGAGGACAAAGAAATGACCCTCGATTATATCTCTCAACAATGCAATATCAGCAAGTCGGAGATCCAGGATGTCTTTCCCTGTACTGGAGTGCAAAAATCCCTGTTATCTATGACGGCAAAAAGTGACACTTCGTACATCGCCCGGTTTCCCCTTCGATTGACAGAGAACGTCGACATACCTCGCCTTAAGAGCGCATGGGAAGAAGTCAGTCAAACTAAAGCTCCTATCCTACGTTACCGCATTGTGGATACGCCTACAGAAGGCCTGGTGCAGGTTGAGGTAAGCGAGCCTCTGGAATGGGGGACGGGTGATAGGATGTCCACATACATCCAGCAAGACCAACGAGCCATGGGCCTCTCAACCCCTCTTACTCGCCTAGCCATCGTCGGAAAATCCGCGGGAAATGAGCTGTACTGTCTCCTTACCCAGCATCATGCGATCTACGACGGTTACTCGTTGAACCTTCTGACCCAGGAGGTATCGAGAGTCTATACAGGGCTGGTAAACCACACACCCTTTGCACCCTTCCAGTCCTTTATTAAGCACATCATGGACATCGACCAGGAGAAGGCCCGAGAGTATTGGCAGAATCAATTTGCAGCCTCCGAAGCAGTTCCCTTTCCACCCCTACCATATGATGACTACCATCCCAAAGCCGACAGCACTGTCAGGCGTGAGTTTGTGGGCTTCCACTGGCCTAAACGGAATGCAACGGCATCAACCAGTAAGCAATTCTGGACCATTTGATTGTGACGCTTTCTGTGATTGCTAACGCAACTTCAGTTATACGGGCGGCATGGTCGATCCTGTCTGCTCGCTATACAGATACTGACGATGTGGTTTTCGGCACCCTGGTCACTGGGCGGCAGGGCCCTCTGTACGGCCTTGATCAAATGATTGCCCCTCTCATCAACGCTGTCCCAGTGCGAGTGAAGCTTGACCGGGAGCAAGACGTGGAAACCTTTCTCAATGCCATTCAGCAACAGTCCATTGATATGATCGCCTACGAACAGACAGAATTGCTAGATATCCGACGCATTAATACGGATACAGAACGGGGCAGTCGATTTAACACCCTCTTGGTGGTACAGCCTGCCCAGCAAAGTGGGGACAATAAACTAATCGACGGTCCCTTTGATCAGAACAGGATAGGTTCTGCTAATGATGAGTTGGATGACTACAATCCGAATGCAGTAATGATCCTGTGTCAGCTAACCGAAGACAATGGTCTAAGTATGGAGATCAGCTTTGATTCAAATGTCCTGGACGTGGCGCAAATGGAACGGATCGCATCACAGTTTGAACATGTTCTGCGTCAACTAGCCATCTTAAGCACAGAAACTGTCGAGTCAATTAATGTTGTCAGTCCACAGGACATTACACAGCTGTGGCAGTGGAATGCGGCAGTTTCTCAGGTGAGAGAAAGGTGTGTTCATGAACTTATTGGCGATACTGTCAAACGGCAGCCAGAATCCCCCGCTATATGCTCTTGGGACGGCCAGCTTTCATATCAGGAGCTGGATATGCTTTCAACTTCTTTAGCATCTCAGCTTGTCGCTCTTGGGGCCGGAGCAGGGACGATTATTCCACTATGCTTTGAAAAGTCCATGTGGCACTCGGTGGCCGCGTTAGGAGTAATGAAAGCCGGCGCTGCATGTGTCGCGATTGACTCAACTCAGCCTGAATCGCGACTCCGGTCAGTTATACAACAAGTGTATCCGAAGTTCCTTCTCACATCCTCCAAAAATTATGACCTCGCTCGTAGTCTCTCCGATGCAAAGGTGGTGATAGTCGACCGCTATCACCTCCTTGTCTCTCCCGTTGTCCATAACGAAGCTCCATTGCCACAGACCCATCCATCAGATACAATATACGGTATGTCCCGTATTTACCTTTCAAATAGCTAGACTGACCCATTCAAACAGTTGTTTTCACCAGTGGCTCAACCGGTACACCGAAGGGTGTTGTCACTACCCATCAAAATTTTGCATCTGCAGCAACACACCAGCAAGAAATTTTGCATATCCGGTCCTCTTCACGGGTATTTGACTTTGTCTCATACAACTTTGACGTTTCATGGTCCAACCATCTACAGACCCTGATCTGTGGGGGCTGTCTATGCATTCCGTCCGAATCAGAACGAAGGAACGATATCCCCGGCGCTTTCAATCGCATGAAGTGTGATTATGTGTACTTTACCCCTTCTGTTGCTCGCTCTCTGGATCCATCATCAATGCCAGGAATTAAATGCCTTGCCATGGGAGGAGAGCCTATCCAAAAGTCCGACGTGGTGCGTTGGCCTCAAGTAGAGGCTATGATTGGCATTTACGGACCGGCTGAATGTGCCCAAGCTCTGTCGTTTACTCGCCTCGATAGGGATTGCCATAATAACCATGTTGGACGGCCATTTGGTGCAAATATGTGGCTGGTTGAGCCAGGATGTCCCGATCGCCTCGCCGCTATCGGGGCAATTGGTGAACTCATTATTGAAGGCCCAACAGTCAGCCAAGGATATTTCGCAGACCCAGACAAGACCACAGCAGCATATATCAAAGATCCCTCTTGGCTCCTGCAAGGCACGTCTGCGCACCCAGGACGGTCGGGGACGTTATACAAAACTGGTGACCTTCTGCGCTACAACTCCGATGGGTCGTTCGACTTTATCGGTCGGAAAGATGGAATGATCAAGTTGAGAGGTCAACGAATCGAGTTAGCAGAAGTTGAATACCACGTTCGCGTCTGCCTAGGAGATGCAAGTGTCTTTGATGGTGTTGCAGCCGAGATTATCAGACCACAGAATGGCAATCCTCTATTAGCTGTCTTCATTAGCCTAGCTGGTAGGATCAGAGAATCAGAGAAGACACCATCCGCCTTTACCGGGCTCATGGAAGCCCTGGAGCAGAAGCTTATCGATCGTTTGCCTCAATAGTAAGTGCTTCCCCCAGGTCTGATGCTTTCTAATTCAAAGATGCGGTGCTAAGCGTAATTATAGTATGATACCCGGCGCTTATATTCCAGTCGACCAAATCCCAATGACGACAACAAACAAAACCGACCGTCGAGCCCTTCGCGAGCTGGGCAATGCGCAAACTTTGGAGAGGCTAGCTGAACTCCAATCTCATAGCCAAAAGCATCGTGAACCATCCACCGAGATGGAGAAAAGACTGCAAATCCTCTGGTCCTCTGTGCTCGGGGTGGCACCTGCCAGTATCAGCGCTGACAGCAACTTCTTACGTATCGGTGGTGAATCCATCGCTGCTATGCGACTCGTTGCAGCTGCACGGCTACAGAGCCTTTCACTCACCGTGGCACAAATATTCAAAGCCCCTCGTCTATGCCAGATGGCTTTGTTGGTTACGCAGACGACGGAGGAAGATGAAGCGTCGCAACTCCAGCCGGCATTCTCGTTTCTGAAAACGGACGACCACAAGACATTCCTCCAAAATTATGTCGAGCCCTTCCTGTATGATCATGCAGGTATTGTCAAGGATGTGATTCCTTGTACCGACTTTCAAAAACGGGCAGTCATAGACGCGCTGCAGGACCCCCCTGGGAGACTGCCGATTTGGATCTTCGGGCTCCCCCACAACGTTGACTTTGTCCGACTGGAATGGGCGTGTGAAGCACTTGTCAATCATTTTGACATACTCCGTGCAGTATTTATTCAAGCAGATGGTCGGTTCTGGCAAGTTCTTCTAGATGGGTTCAAGCCTATCTATGATAACTTTGATGTTGATGACGATGTGGAATCTTTCACTCGTGAACTCTGTGAAGAAGATCTCAAGAGACCGCGCCAGTTAGGACGGTCCCTCATGCGCTTTATGGCTATCCGACACCAAGCTGGAAAGCATCGTCTGGTCTTCCGAATTGCACACGCCCAATTCGATGGATATACCTGGGGCATGATGATCCAAACTTTGGCAGGCCTATACCATCAACAGTCATTGCCAACACAGTCTACATTCCGCCAATTCATAGCGTTCACAGAGCGCAAGAAAGCACAAAGTCTCCCATACTGGACCTCAAGACTCCAGAACTACTGCCACCCCAGCTGGAGTCCAGCAAGTGGTATTGATGCGGTATACAGCACTTCCGATCGAATGACAGTAACCACATCCTTCTCAATGCCCAACATCCAGCGCCACGAAGGAATCTCCAGCGCAACCTTCTTTCACGCAGCCTGTGCCATTGCCCTCTCTCAACAATTTGGACAAGAAGATGTTATCTGTGGTCGCCTAGTAACGGGACGCTCCATGCTCCCTGGTAGTCTACAAAACGTCGTCGGGCCTACCATGACTGAAGTGCCAATCATCGCTTCCGTCGGTCCCAACGACACGATCGTGACTATCGCACAGCGATTGCAAGCCCAGTTCATCGATGACTCCGCTCATGAGTCTCCAGGAATGGAGGAAATTATTCGAAGCTGCACCGACTGGCCGGCGCAGGTGGTCGACTTTGGTTGGCGAACGGCATTCCAGCAGGAAGATGAAATGGAATTCAAGTTTTTAGACTCCGAAAGCACGATTACTGTCCACGAACATGATCTGCTGCCTCGAGGGCGCCCAGAGATATATGCCACTCCACGGAACGGAAGGCTACATCTAGAATTTGAAGGAAACCGACGGCTTATTAGTGAGGATACTGTACGAGAGGTGTTGGCTCGGATCCAAAGTGTTTTGGGTGAAGTGTAATTAGCGGGTCGTTTTATTGAACAAATCCGCACATGTCTTAATCCAAATGTCTATCTCCATTTCCTATTCCAGTAGATGATTTAAAAAAACTTGGTTATGTGACACTCTGAAATTGCATGAACACAGTGACATGCACGGCGCCCCTTCCATCAATTTTAGCTAGGTTCTAGCTCCTGGTTGATAGGATTTATGACAGTCCTTAGCAACATTCCCAGTCTTGTCCGAATGCATCTAATACAAGGTGCGATACTTCTTTAGCTACTTGCCGACCTGCTTATTCTGCTAGGGTTGAGTAATGAAAGTGAAATACCTTCGCAACCTCTATATATGTACATTGAAAACAAATCCAAAAACGCTGAGCTGGGAACATGCGCCAAAACTCCTAAATCAGATGCGGACTCAAACTCCCCTCCCTATCAATTCATATTATTTGCGTTAATCTAGCCACCGCCACCGGTTTCCAAATTCCGACAACATTATCCAACATTGCTTATTGCCCATTCCCCGATGCTGATTGGTATCGGTTCTGAGTGCATGGAGTGTAGGGCTGCCGCATATGCTTTTTCCTTGATCTCTTCATACCTATGCTGTCATCATACAGAAAATCAACGCTCGAACATGCTTGGTCTGTATGATGAAAACCGGTATTGTAAGTCCAATACCAAACGGCAAAACATTCTCTGGACGTGCATAAATTACTCTGCAGAAAGTTGGAAGGATAGTTATTGTGGTCAAATGACAAGATAGACATGCCTCATTCCGCCCCTCAACAGAATGATACTAAGGAACATGACACCTCGATCATTCGATTTGGCTGAAAACAGCCAATTTGGATGTGCCTTTGCGGACTGGAGAAACGTTTGATGCACGCTGGAAAACGGCAGACCGAGACAACATCCGGTACAGTCAATGAAAATTCGATACTGGATTACGACCAGGTTAACCCTAGTCTCATCCACCTCATCCCTACTTCCACTTATCCTTACTTGAAGGTATGTCAGCCAGCCATGCAGTGGATACAACTTATAGACCACGTAGGACATATATAGCTAGCCATTCGTTTTTCTTACTGTGATTGGCAAGCAATGATTGATCAAAGCGAACTACTTCAAACCCTGGATTGGAGTCGTTCGTTCGAAGACATAAAATCCCACTCACTAGACGCCGGAACACTCACACTCCCATCCAATTAACCATGACTATTTCCGCCCAAAGTCCCGTCCATCTCACCTTCGTTGGAGGAGGTCATCTCGCGCAAGCCATAATCAGTGGCATTCTCTCCTCTACCAGTGCCTGGACCCTGCAATGCGACATCGCAGTAACCGCCCGACGGTCGGAACATATCCAAGAACTGCGATCCCGATACCAGCAACTTCTGGTCACCGACAACAACCTCGATCAACGCATCTGGCAAGCCGCCAGAAGATCCCAGCGAAGCTCTCCCCATGACCATCCAACGCCCCCCATTGTCTTCATCTGCACACGTCCAGCAGATGTGCCCACAGTTGCAAAACAGCTAGCACCTACCCTCGCATCCTTTGACCCGTCTGTCCGTCCTACCGTTGTGACGATGTGTCCCGGCATCACCGTCAGCCAGCTCCAGGATTGGCTGCCGACAGGCACGGCGATTGTTCGGTCCATGCCCAACACCCCCGTGGAGTTCAGGCAGGGTGCGACCGGTCTCTTCGCATCCGAAGATGCCACGCTTCGTGTCAATCATGTCAAAATAGTCCTTGAGGAGGTATCTCCCCTTGTCACTATCGTGCCGGACGAGTCGATGCTAGATGTTGTCGCGGCGGTGTCGGGGTAAGTTCCTGTCGTTCTTTCTTTTTCTCTAAACTATATATATCAACCAATCAATGGTCCCATTAACTGAATGAATGGGTAGATCTGGTCCGGCGCATTTTTTCTTCGTCATCGAATCCATGGTCGCCGCAGCAGAGTCCATGGGTCTTTCGAGGGAAGCTGCTGAGCCGCTCGTCATTCAATCCTGTCTGGGCGCTGGTTATCTCGCCAGAGCGTCCTCAAAGCCCGTCGTGACTTTGCGAAAAGAAGTCTGTGTTCCCGGGGGAAGTACAGAAAAAGCAATTTCGCATTTGGATCAAAGTGGGGTTCAGGAATTGTTTAAGGTGGCGATTCAGAAGAGTTTGGATGCAAATTTGAAGATGCGGTTCTGTTAGTGTTGCAAAGTAGGTTGGGCATCGCATTGGACATGGGAAATGTTTCCAATCATGCCTTTATTATTATTATTATTTTCTCTCAGTCATGTGTAGTGGGCGATTTATTATCGGCATTCATCGGACTAACGTCGAGAATAGAGAACGAAACTATAGAAAGGAGCCAAAGGTAATTTATTAAATTCCAAGAAGAAAAAAAAAACGCGAATAATTTTCTCACTACGATCATTACTGCTAGCCAGCTGCACAGTGTTGCATGGGAAGGGTTCACCAACTCTTTCTCCACTTTTATATCTCTATAATGTCATTATAAGATACAACCAGGGCTCTCCAAGCTCGACCAGATCAAGGCACGGAAAGCGGAAGCCAAACCCCGCAAATCAACTGTCAAAGGTTGACTTAAATCCGTCCCCATGGCGATCCATGAGACCGAGTACGTACCAACCAAAGCCCTAGAGACAAGAGTAGTATACTAACAAAATGAGTGTTCAGTTTCCCGGCCATCCGCGCCTGCATTTTCGACATGGACGGGCTTCTCATCAACTCCGAAGACATCATAACTCTATCCACGAACCAAGTTCTCGAAAAGTATAAGAGGCCTCCCTTTGACCGATCGATTCGAGCCCAGCTCATGGGTATCCCAGACTCGACCAATAGCGACACGTTCCACAATTGGGCCAATTTGCCTATCTCCCGCGAACAATTCGCTCGTGAATCGACTGAAAACATGCGCCGACATTTCCCGACTTGCAAGCCGCAGCTACGAATTGAAGACCTCGAGGCCGGAAACGAAACGCTTGCTGGGCTTCTTTCCGCCTGACAGACGGGTCTTGGGTGATGATCTGCGGGTACGGCCGGGGCGAGGGAAGCCAGCACCAGATATATATCTCGTGGCGCTGCAATCGTTGAATTCAGCGGCAGCGGCCTGTGGCGCAAAGCCTATCTTGCCCGGTGATTGTTTGGTGTTCGAAGATAGCGTGATTGGAGTAGAGGCCGGAAGACGGGCTGGGATGAGAGTTGTTTGGGTACCGCATCCAGATGTTGCGGTGGAGTACCAAGCAAGGCAGAAAGAAGTCCTGGCGGGGAGGATGGGCATCATCGAGATCGGAGACGAAAGGCAACTCGGGGAACTGGATGACGGCTGGGCCGAGAATATACCGAGTTTGGAGTACTTCGATTATGGGAAGTACGGCATCGATATACCACCGTGAGTATTATTTAAGAACCTGGATGGTAAAATCAAAGAATATCTAGAATTAATTGCCCGGAGCTAAGAAAGGTATATAGTACTCAATTTATAGCAACCACTGTGGACTTAGGGTTCTCCGGTAATATGGCTCTAATTTCAGGACTTTATATCGGATCGTTCGGGTCGAGAAAGGCTATACATTGATCGGCCCACACATTCCACCCTCGTAGAAGTATATGCAGTCTCACTATTTACTGAGTAAATATACACAAACAGCTCCAATTACTTCTAGATTACTTTAACTTAGGAAGTAATCTTCGAACAAATCCAGCCCAGTCTTTATTTTGATTTATATAATTAATATAGATTCTCTAAACCATATATAAATTAACTCTAAATAAGTAACAAGGGTTCACTACTAAATAAACAAACTGAAGATATAATATTATAGTGTAGAAAAGTTCTTACAGAGTATTTGTATCTACTTTTAGGTTGAATAAGGATCTATTTGAAAATTAAATATTCCTCTTAATAGATTAAGTATTACTAGTAATACTCTAATTTCTATAATAGAAAGAGTACTGAGTTTAAGAAGTATGATATAGGATATCTTCTCTCAATAATCAGCTAATGCTATAAGATAATAACTGCAAAACGGCACAGAAACAACAATAGAGAATAACCCGAGATGCCCCAAACACCAGACCCATACAAAATGACTCCCCCCGTCCCTTCCCAACACTTGACCCAATATCCCAGATATGCTTACCCCTATATAGCTAAGTCCAATGGAAACGCATCAAGCTGTCCATATCCATTAATGCCCACCCTCCGGTGCAAGCCCCGACCAAACCTTTGTCTCAAACGGTTGCAGCGACCCGCCCGAGAACGGACACGCCGAGTGCGATGAATGCGACGAGCATGGCGCGTGCATTGTGGCGGCGGTGCCCTGCGTAGCGAAGGTGTCCACCGACCGCGTCTCCGAGAACATGCTGGGCGCCTCGGAGCACTGCGTATTCGAACGCGTCATGTACGAGGCCGCATCGTCGTGGTGATGCTCCTTCTCCGTATGCTTATCCTTGTTGTGAAAGGCCTCGGCGTCGTTGTCCTCGAATTCCTCCCCGTCACGGACCCGCCAACGGGCGAAGAGGTCGTTCTGGATCCAGATCACCTTGCTTAACGCCCTGACAAGCGCAATCTTAAAGGTGAGCGTGAGCTGGGGGTGACTGAAAATTCCGTCGATGATGATGTCCTGGATGAAGCCCAGGCAGGCGCCGATGTGGATATATTCTACGTTGAAGGCGAGCATACGGTCTTTGCCGGTGTGCATTCGGCTGGGATGGGCGGTTAGTGTACGGCTTGAGGTCCAGAGGGTGGGGGGGGGTTGGGGACACACACCCGACTGTGTTCAGGTACTCGTAGAATTCCGGCTTGGTGGGGTCGGTGCACAGCTTGGTCATGTACCAGCGCAGGAACATGCGGCGACGCTGGATGTACGGGCTGTCGAAGGTGGGATAGTCGGCAACCTCATCCTCGGAGGCGGTGCTGCGCGTGCGAAAGACCCGCGCCGTGATATCATTCTCCAGGAGCTTGACGTAGACCCGGTCGATCAGGACAGGCGCCAGCGCCTTGATATATTTGGACCCTTGGTTCAGAGCGGCGACATCGTCTGATCGTGGCCGGGATTAGCTGGGGCTCGATCCTTGATTTGCTGGGCGGGATGGACTGACCGGCGCTGAACTCTAGGAACTTCTGCAGATAGTGCACGCGGGCTTGGAGATCGGTGTAGAGGGCTTTCCGTTCGACATGTTGGGGTTCAACTGGTGGCTTTGCGTGGTAAAGGGGCATGGTTCTGGGCTGGGGCCAATACGTACAGTTTGACTATAGAGAAAAGAAAGAAACAGGCATTGAATGCTCAACACAGCAAAGGCGACCGACCTTGCTATTTACGATGAACGAGGCCACACGAATCTCGATTTTAAATTTCTCAGTGGGAGAATTTTTATTTTTATTTTTATTCTTAATTTTTAATTTTATTTATTTTTGTCCTTGCAGTAGTGAGTGTAGCCTTGTAGTGGATCAACACTGGATTGTGATGTGTAAGTGAATCCATCCCTCAATCCACTTGCCAGGCTCCCACTAGAAGGATGAACGAGGAGATAATAGACAGATCCGAGTCTTGCATGACATCTGTCACTTGAACGGCTGGCAATTCACTGTGGATCTGAGTTTTATCCACTCAATAGCCGTCATTTGTTCCCCCTTTCTAATCTTACCGCTCCTTCGTGACCTCAGCGATATGTTAGTGTCAACGCCTGTCGAATCGTATCCACCACCCAGTGGGTGCGGCCAAATGGGACATAGACGTGGCTTAGACAACTTGGACCGGCCCCGAAAGATTTCCTGGTCGACTGTTGAGATCCGGCAACCGCCCGACGTTACGATGGGGATTGTGGATACAATTCGACACGCCCGGCGTTTGCCGTGAGAAGCTCCACCGTTCGAAGCTGGGCCGGCCGGTCCGACAACACCGTGCCCAATAGTTCGATCGGCATTTGCTAGAGGAATGTCCCTCCAAAAGCCAAAGTGAGGTGGTGGTGGAGTGCACCGTTTTTTTTTTTTTTTTTTTTTTTTTTTTTGGCGAACGGACTGACTGCTGCTCTGCCGCCGCCTCATATAGCTTGCTCGGGACACACACTTGAAGGGAACTAAATAACTACCCCCTTGTTTTGTTTGAAACTCCTTTTCCAATCACTAATTCAATGAATATGTTGTGTGGAAACCAGAGGAATTGAGGCATGGACCTCCAGTGCTAGGGGCAGTCGTTTACATGAGCCAACATTTTCCATAAACCTGAATCCTCTCGGTACCATTCTCGTGATGGGGAGCCGGAAAGTCTCTGATTCATTCATAGTTATTCTATTCTGTTTTACTTCACAGTGTAGCACCTTCAATTTCTCCCCTTGCAGCTGATCCTCAAAGCGTGTTTTCATCTGTATCAAATTAGAGACTGTCATACTTCTGAATTCACGCTATGTATTTCGCGGCACTCCGCAATATTCCCACGCCCGGGACATTGGGCCAACTACGCGGCAGGGGATTGCCAGAGCTGTGGGGACTGACAAGTGTTTCTTCATTCTCAAGCTGGTACCGATCTGTAAGCAGGTCCATCTCATCAAGCAGCACAATCTTGGTGCCCTTCCAAAATTTCCAGCCCAGGAACATGGCTGCCATGACCGGGATCTCAACATAGTAAGACACGAAACTGACCGCATCGAACCGTGGGCTAAAGCAAGACCAACCCTGGATCAGGACGAGGAAGATGTTCAGTGCGACGGCTAGCGCCGGACCGACGGGATACGTGAAGTTCTTGAACGGGAGCAAATGCTCAAGCTGTTGGCGTCGAATGGCAGCACGAAATCGGAGGGAAGCGATACAGATACACGTCCAGGAAATCTGATTGGATACCCCGACAAGATTCTGTAACCAGGACCACAGTTGGCCAGCGCCGGCTTTACTGGCACCAAAGCATAGCGCGCTGATGACCGTAGTGGTCAGCACCGCGACCCAAGGAACTTGGAAGTGGTTCGTGTGGCTCAATTGTCGAGGCGCGTATCCCTCCATGGCCAGGGTATACAGGAGGCGGGATCCTGCGAAGAGAGCGTGATTGGCAGCTGAGATTGCACTTGTCATGACCACAGCATTGACGAAGCTGCCTGCCATCGCACTGCCGGCTTCGGCGAAAACGATGGTGAAGGGGCTGGTGGAGCTATCAGCACGGGAGCTAGCGAGACCGGGATAATTGTACGGCACGTCAAACCCAATGATAGCGATTGAGACGACATAAAACACGACAATGCGCCAAAAGACGTTCCGAATCACACCGGGATAGGTGCGCGCTGGATCGCGGGTCTCGCCGGCAGTCATCGCAACGTTTTCCGTGCCGCCGCTAGCGAAACGTTAGCAACCACCAGTTGGCACTGCGCTCAGGACCGTTAGTTCGGACTTACTATGCAAATGAGGCTGTCACGAAAACAGATGCCATGCCCCCGATTCCCCCAACGAAGGGGGCGTCGCCAACGGAGAAGTATTTGTCGCCGAGATACGTATGCTCGGTGTTGGCGCCACAATTCACGACAATGCCAACTATTATAAAGGCCTAAGTTGCGTAAGGACTACATCGGGCGAGGCTGATTGTCAACTGCAAACTTACTATAATCGTCATGACTTTCAATAGGCAGAGCCAGTACTCGGCCTAGAGGTGTCGTCAGCTGGTCTCTATTAATATCTGGCCAGAATCAGGCTATTTACCTCTCCGAAGATTCTCACAGAGCATAAATTCAGCCCAAGCACAAATATAAGGCAGATAAGGCTCAGCACCCAACCTGGAAATTTGTCTGTCCAATATTGCAGTAGAACTTGCAATGCGATGACATCCGAGGCAGTGGAGATTGCATCATTGGCCCAGTAATTCCAGGTCAACGCAAACCCTAGACCTTCATCCACAAACCGCCTTCTGGTATCAGATAAGGCTCGAAGGCCACCGGCAGGGGGTTTCACTTACCCTGCAAATGTACAGAAGGAACCGCTAACAGGAATAAAAGCCACCATCTCCCCCAAGCTTAGCATCGTCAGAAAGACAATAGCACCACAAATCGTGTAGGCCAGAAGCATTGAGCCCGGCCCTCCGGTTGCTAATGCCCTGCCGGTTCCAAGATACAATCCTGTTCCGATTGTACCACCGATGGCTATCATCTGTACTTGGCGAGGCGACAGCTTACGGGCAAGATTATTGCAGTTGATATTCTCCGATGTTGTACCGGGGACAACTGAGGAACTGGTCGACCCAGTCGCAGCCGCCTGTTTCTCCGAATCATGGTCTGGCATTCTCAGTAGCGGAGAGGGAGAGGGATAGATTTAGTAGGCTTCGAAGAAATGCTATCCATTCTGGCGGGCAACGGACCTGATTCAAGAACCCTGGCGCTTGCTTTATCAAAGATTCGGGACAGGGTGCCTAGAGTTGAGGCTTCCGATACGATATGGTGTCATCTGGAGCACAGATGAGCACTGCAGAGACGAAATATGCTTGCGAAGTAGTATGGACTTGTGAACGCTAGACCGTGCGTCATTGGAGCAGACCTTGACGCAGAACGTAAGCCGAATATTTGGAAATGAGCATCACTCCGGGCTGTTACTCCGGTACCTGAGCACGTCGACTTGAAAGACCCACAAGGCTCGTCCGCGGATTAAGCTTAGAGCTTAAGTAACCAGTAAAACGTCGATTAGATGAGCAATTCTCCTTCGAGTTCACGTCAGGCGCGGATTGTGCTCGAACACGCCGAAGGTGCTTCGGCGTAATGAATTATTGAAGAGAGTCCTTGCTTGCAACCTCCATTCCCGACTACCCATCAATCACTGAACAACCAATGGCTTACGTTGTGCATCGCACCGGGTCAGCGTCAAATAGTCTGCTACAGGGTCGTGGATAGCCACTCTCGCCTATGTCAGGCGAAGTCCCCACGGATTATGAATCTCAGATTCTGCTCTCTCTATTCAATCTACACCAAGATCTACTAGCAACGCGTAGTTATATCGCAGGAATACGTCAGTTGACATTGTACATTGTAAACTATACCCCTCAATGCCATCAACACAACCGACACCTCCGGCGTTTTGACTGCCGTGGAGCATTGGTCATGAGAGTCGAAGGATGCCGATGAAACAGCATTGCTATGTGAAATGATCAGTTTTGTTCGGAAGTACAGAAGCTAAACGTATTATATTTGTCCTTTTCTTGACATGCTAACCATTGAGAAACGGGTGCTCCGCAAGATTGTGCCAGAAGTTAATCTCGAAATCCTGGAAACTGCTGTCATCCCACAGCCCCCAACTTCCATCATTTAAGATTGCCATATTATGTGAGGCGTGAAAGGGAGTAATCATGCGATCAAGCAGACATTTAATCGTTTGGGTTGCTTGAGAGAGCAAGGCATAATTGGGCGAGTCAATATATACCAATGTTCCACACTCCACCTCACCCACCAGGATACTAAGATCTTGGAATACGCGGGACATGTCCGTCTGAAGCGTCGTATTGGCGTAAGATTGGTTAGCAAGGGTGAGCGATATGAACCCAGCCGCTGACAATCCGTAATAGACGACCTGGAGTTGAGGAGTAAGGTCAATGAACAAATTCAGCGCGAATGCCATGATCTCTGACATACCTTCCAAACTAGTGATGTGCCAGAGTTGATGATCTGGTCCTTCAGCATAGTTGTCTCGATGACAAGGCCAAGCATGTCCTTGGATACCCTGAACAATTCTGGAGCCGGCGCCGTGGACATTGGCCGGAGCAATGCTCGCCGCAGCAGAAAATGTATGTGGAGATAGTTCAGTTTCATGTTAACCATAAAGTCACGCTCCACCGGTCGCCGGTCGCATGCCTTAACGCTGCTTTGAAGACGATAGTTTTCAGGGACCGCATTCCATTGGGCCTGGGCATCGGCATCAATAAGCCTGAAGTATAAATTAGCAAAAGGCCCGGAAACGGTAGATGCGAATAACACACGTACTGGCCTCGTCGTGCTCTCTCCTCGTACTTCTCCTCGGTGAAAAGATCCAATATATCCTCCTTCAATATTCCACATACAGCAGCCCACTTTGAATCGGTCACAAAGTTCGGCTTCTCAGTGGAATCCCAAACCGCTGGCCTGCGGGAGGCCCTCTGAGTAGGCTGCGTAGGTGTTCCAGGAAGATAGAATTGACAAAACTTCTGCAAGATTCGAGGAGGTCGGCCCAGAAATATTGAGACATTTTTATCAGCCGAGTATGTCCGGCAGAACGCTATTTGGCGAAGCTCACGAAGAAAGCGAGGTGCGCTGCGAAAGGCCTCTGTCTGTTGTTGATGGTATCCCAGAGCGTAAAGAGAGGCTGCAACGTCTCCTAATTTTCGCCAGGAGAGGTAGCCTACAATGCTCGTCAATCCTCTCGAGCCAAATACAGTTAGGGCCAGAAGTATCACCCACTCTGATCGCCATCCACCTGTGAATGGGAGATAAAATTTTCGTATTGCAGAAAAAGCTGTAGGTCGTTCATGCAATCCAGAGGTAGACAAAGATCCAAGCACTGATCCGAGTACGAAAGCGCGAGCTTTTGGAGCTTACGGCGTTGTTGCTCTGAATCATACAATGGCTCTGCATAAGCCAAGTCTACAGAGGCTCGGCAGATGGCAGTGAGAAATATGCCAAAGGTCTCCCACCGAGTACTTTCCCCAGTGAAGTGAGTGCAATATTCGTCAAAACACGTTTCTTCGTTCACAGGGATGGGTTGGTAAGAACGATAAAAGAGGTTTCTGGAAATCGTTCGCGCGCTTGCATGTGTTCCATCGCACTGCAAGAGTTTGTAGTCAACCGCCGATGCACAGGGTTCGGTGAGAGGCCCAGCTAAAGCGAGGTTTGCCCCCGTTGACACCCATTTCCGGAAGAGATGGGAGAATGACTGGAGCGACAATTGACGATGCAATTGGAGAATAAGCTCTGCGCCCTTGGCGATACAGCCGTCATCGACCACGTAATCGTTCTGACCACTTGAATTGATTGCACTTGGTTGACTCGGAGCGCCAATATCTGTGTCGTTCTGGAATGCCAGCTGGTCGAAGAGTGTCGTATGGCTCGATGAGCCCAAATAGCCCGGGTTCGGATATTGAACCGACGAAGGTACCAGTTCTCTAGAGCCATGTGCATTTGACGTACCGGAGGCTGCGCTATCTTCTCGGACCCTAAATCTTGGTTACAGAAGCCTTGGTTGGCCGTGAAGACTGGGCCACTTGCCTCTGTTCCTGTGAACTGCGGCTTAGGGGCCGTTTGAACGGCCTCGGCCGGTATGCACAAGCAGCAGCCTTGCCATTTTCTCTGCACCTGGAACAACTTGGTTTTCCATGGTCACATTTCACCTTCATTGCCCGACATGGGTCGCATGCCGGAATCTTGCGAGGCTTGGACGTCACAGTCGGCATGGCGGGAGTAGACTCTATATCGAAGTCGGTTGTCGTCGGTGTGGATTTCTGTACTCCGTGAAAAATGGCGATCGGGATTCTACCACTCCGACGCCGACGCCGACTCCGGTGAGTAGACTGTTTGACTCCGACCTCGACGCCGACAGGACGACGCGTCCATCTTTTCAACTATATCGACCATCGCATCCTATGACAAAAGCCAAAGTATGATAGCCAGGGTGGAGATATCTCGTATTATGCATGTATTATGGCGGCATCGCTGTGCCTCCATTCTGATCAAGCGATCTTCCTATTAAACAAGCCTGCCGTCGCGGTTTTCTAAGTCCTCGGGTTCTTGTCTCCAGCTTAAGAGTTAACAACCATTTACCCGAGCGACCATGACTGTTTCAGCTAAAGGACATGTTGGGATTGAGTATATGCCCGACTATGATCAATACCTAGCCCGCGTCAAGCGCCGGGAAGAAACAGAGAAGCTCGAGCAGCACCTTCCCAAGGGGTTTCCATCCCGTCTATCTGGCGATCTTGTTTGGGGAGGCAAGGATTTGGTGGATCATTACAACTGGAATTATTCCCTGACTGCCGAGGATCTGGGTGAGATCGAGCAAGCTCTTCAACACTTTAAAGGTATGCGTTTCTTTGGCCTGGCTAAGTAGTCACTTGTATGCTAACATCTTGACCACTTGCGTAGCACTCGGGAAGCCGATGGGCGAGCTCACACCAGAGACTTTCCCATTGCCCAAGTTGAATGCTGTGTTGCGCGAAATTTCTAACGAAGTTCACAACGGTCACGGGTTCAAAATCGTTCGTGGTCTTCCTGTGGACTCATACACCCGTGAGGACACCGTCATTATATATGCCGGCCTTTCATCCCACGTGGCGCCGATTCGTGGTCGCCAGGACAACAAATGGCAAGGAAGACCAGCTGATGTTCTTGTTGCTCATGTCAAGGACCTGAGTCGCTCTTGCAGGTCTGAGGACATACCCGGACCAGTGGTAACTGCTGAGCAGCAGGTTTTTCACACCGACTCTGGTGATGTGATTGCTTTGTTGTGCCTGGGCGAAAGTGAATCGGGCGGAGAGAGCTACCTTGCCAGTACCTGCCATGTCTATAATACCCTCGCAGAGACGCGTCCGGATCTGATCAAAACTCTCTCCGAACCTTGGCCATTTGATGAGTGAGTCTACTCCTTTCGTATTGGCCGGTTGGGCAACGTCGACCTCGTTGTAAAGATAGTTTGATTAAGATATCTAGCTTTGCCCCGACTGGTGATCAGTACAAGCTGCGGCCGCTACTGTACTACCAGCCCGCTACCGATTCCGAACCGGAGCGACTTATCATTCAATACTCGCGGAGAAACCTAACTGGTTACTGGGATTGCAAGCGGTCGGCCAACATCCCACCATTGAGCGATGCGCAGGCAGAGGCTCTCGATGCCATCCATTTCACCGCCGAGAAACACGCTATTTCGCTGGACTTCCACAAAGGCGACATTCAGTTTGTGAATAATTTGAGCATTTTACACGCGAGAGGAGCATTTACCGACTCAATAAAGAAGCAGTAAGCGCCTTGATGCAGGTGTTGAGCCAGTGGTATATTAACGTTGCCCCACAGACGCCACCTCCTCCGACTTTGGCTGCGCGATCCCGAGTATGAATGGACGAAGCCCAAGGACCTACAGGAGCGATTCGATCGGGTTTATGCGGGTGTGACGGTTGACAATTCGGTGTTCCCGCTAGAAGCCACCATTCGCAGTAGAAATGTGGCTACTTGAATCGGTTATATGAGTGCATCACATACAGTGTAACAAGAGAGCCGTCTGGTACACCCGAATATTCTGCCATGGAGTCCGACAGCAGCATTGCGACTACTAATGTTGGTAGTAGCCTGAGAGTGTACGTAGAAACATACTTTTCTATTGGACTTCAAGGTTCCTTCATTGAAACCGCCATTTTAGGTAGTCCTGATAAAAGCAATGCAGATTCCCAAAGGATTAGGGTTTTGTTCATCTTTACAATAGATTATGATCTTTTCCTTTATACGATCCCATGGCAGATCATCCAGGCACACTCCAGTGGACAGTCTCATCATTCTTGAAAGCAGTCTGATCGCCTTTTCGGCGAACCAAGGTGCCTTTTCTTATATACATATTTTTTTGTTCATTATATAATGAATACCCTAATTGATAATACCTAGTCTTATGTATTCCTTAGTTATTCCAACTCTAATGACAACTACATGAAACTGCCATCCATCTAGTGCCGCAACTACTTTCTGCACATTAGATTTGGTAGGCTTCCTCTTCAAAGATTTCCTGTAGATCTTAAAATTTAGTATGATAAGGTCATAGAGTTTATAGACTCTGATACTATTCCACAATAAATTACAGTCAGTAGTATGTATAAACTACTCCTGGATTAGTCGGAGAGAAACTCGGAAGCTAGCTAATTACTCCGGCCGTTGTCAGAGCAGTAGATATATATTCAAAGAGTACTTAGTAAGTGATCTAGAGTGCTCCTCGAGCACTCACTGATCGCTTGCTGATTACTTATGTGGTGTCTACTAATCACTGAGCAAAAAGCAGCCCTGAGCTGGTCCTGTTAGGCCTCTTTCATACTCGCAGAGATCGACTCGGTCGGTGAACTAGGGTTCGTAGGACCCGTAGCTCTCGTTCCCTGTCTAAGTACCTCACACACTCCTTGCTGAGGTCCTTGATCATGGTGTCGTTACCACAAGCAGGCCGGGTTTGTTTAGCAGATGCTCAAGGATGAAAGGTAAAATGGTCAAAAGGTTTGAATCGAGAAACAGAAAGAGATCGTGGGGGTGGCTGATCGAGGAACGGAACTACGAGACTGGGAAACATAAGCGCTGAGGGAAAACAGGCGACATTGTGGCTGTGCTGCAAGGCTGCCTGACGATGAAACCCTTTAAAGCCTCAACAATAAGCCACTTCCAAGCATCCCGACACAATGGCAAGAAAGAGAAAATCTAGCGGTAAAAGGTCTCGGGCTGGCTGCATTACATGCAAGTGAGTATTTTCTTCAAGAAGAACATTGTAACCATTGTTAACAATCGCCGCAGGCTACGACACGTCAAATGTGACGAAACCAAGCCCATATGTCTCCAATGTCAACAATCCGAACACAAATGCGAGGGCTACGACAACGCATCTCAAGCTCAATTACGCCGGAGAATCGAAACCATACATAATGTGTCGCGCAGGCCTCCCCTTAGTGGAGATCATCACATTGTTCTCCGCCCCGAAACTCGAGAGGAGCGTCGGTGGGCGGATTTCTTCCATGCGAAGACGGCTGTGGCCTTTTCTGGATTTTTTGACTCCGTGCTCTGGTCATATTTGATTCCGCAGATTAGCGAGGGAGAACCGACCATTCGCCACGCCATGGTAGCTATCGGTGCGATCCATGCGCGGCATCATATTGCGGCCGATCGCACAATGGCCCATTCCTCTTCCACAAACGAGTTTGTTTTGCAGCAATACAATAAGGCAATTCGGCATTTGATGGATCGCATGTCTACTGTTGGCAGCCAGAACTGGGAGCTAACCTTAACTACCTGTTGCCTTTTTGTTTGCTTGGAAATCCTTCGGGGAAACAAAACAGAAGCACTAGATCACATAGATGCGGGGCTGAAGATGCTCTACCAACATGAACAGAAAGGAGGCGCAACAGGTCGCACCACAGAATTGTATAAGGAATTACGCCGGTTATACTCCAAATTCAATTTGGAGGCTTCGTTCATGGGTCGCTCCTTGTATCCCTTGGAAACCACGTCCCAGGATGTTACAACTAGCGATTTGGCATTAACCAATCTCTCCCACGCCAGGAGCTACCTCGACAACTTGATGAACAAAGGGCTCGCTTTCATCCGATCTGTCGACCTGGACAGGAAACCCCGGGACCCAGAGCTGCAACACACATTAGAGCTAGAGCAGCATAAGATCTGTGACGAATTTGATACCTGGCTAGTGGGCCTGAACAAGCTGATCCAGAGGATGGGCCCATGGATCCAGCAAAACGACCTACGTGCATCGCTCATTCTTAAGATTTACCATCACACCTCGTTGATCTGGGTAAAGGCAGTTCTGGCACGCGATGAAAACGTCTTCGATCGTTACATTTCAGATTTCGCTGCCGTCGTTGACTATGCAGGAAGAGTAATCCAGCTCACCGTAGAGATTGACAAACGGACTAATAACCAATCGATGTTCTGTCTTGAAGGCGAGGTTATTGGACCCCTCTACTATGCAGCAATCAAATGCCGCAACCCTGTCATTCGACGAAGAGCCATCAATCTTCTATTCCGCTATGGAAAGATAGAGGGTATGTGGAACGCGAAGCGATATGCAGCCGTAGCGAATCTAGTGATGGAGGTCGAGGAGAGTGCATGTTCGGGAGTCATAGAGAGTGAACGGGATGTGGACCTCCATGCTCGTGTTTACGACAGTCTTCAGCCGGAAGTAATGGAGAGAAACCCCTGTCAGGTCCTGTTGTTGTTCAAGTCGGATGGGATGGACTCTGATTTTCAGCAGCGCATTGAGTTCGTGCATTGGTAGAACTTGTGGATACCAGTAACTTTTTTTACACATTCTATTCTTGAGATTTCTGCCTACAACTAACTTTGACTATGGTACCCTGGTCTCGTCATCTTTACTGGGACTTTTCCTAGTGGGTCTCTGATGTCCGGGCCTTTTGTGCACAGCACTCCTCGACAGTTTGCCTCTACATTACCGTCGTGGCACATACGAGACAGCCTTAGGGGCTTGAAAGCTTAGCGTTGTCCGATCAATGAGGGAGACTCATAACTCAAGCACTAGCCCAGTTCTATCTTTAACCCTAATTTAGGCCTGGGCTGTGTTGACCGATCTTCAGGCCTTCAGTTGGGGGCTGAAGAACGTGATTAGCCAGAAGCGGACGCTAGTAGTTCATATCACTTACGGGAGAGCCAATCACCAACCAGCTCACTAGAAGCCTTTCACATCTGGCTTTAAAGGTGGATTCTGGGGGCCAACTTTCTACATCTGCCAGCAGAATTTTTAAAAAAAAAAAAAAAAAAAAAAGACAGGGCCGCTCGCTATTATATCCTAGCATTCATATTTGTCTGTCATTGGCTGTCCCGTAAGAGGTTTACTCATTTGTAGATGTATACGGAGATCTGAAGCTGTCCACTTTCGTAGCATGAATAGTATAAATACAGCACAAATGCGGTGGGAAAGCAAGCCATGACTTTCTCAATTGCATAACATAACAATCCTTGTTTTCACTCATAATGCGCGCCTCACAGTTTATTCTCCTTTCTACTTTATCCCCTCTCGCCTTAGGAAACTTATGTCCCATCCAAGGACCTGCCTTCCCAGCCCCGAAGGATATTACCAGCAGCGCAACTTTCACACAGGCCAAGAACCAGCTGCTCAGCACTCTCGACAAGGCAACCCATGCATCAAATATAACTGAAGTATTAGGGCTCGACCCGGACTCAATCTCGTTCAGTCTCCAGGTTTTCAACCCGAAGAACGATCAGCCATTGCTTGAATACTACCATACCGCTCCCTCGATTCAAAATAGCACGGTGGGCGTGAGAGAAGTTGACGCGGACACCGTATTCCGAATTGGCAGTGTATCCAAGCTATGGACGGTCTTGATGCTTCTGATTGAGAAGGGTGATGCCTCTTTTAGCGAGCCTGTTGCGAAATACGTCCCGGAGCTGCGTGACGCCGCAATAGAGCTGAGCCACAACGCTACCATGCGAGACGATGAGATTGATCATCTTCGCTGGGATGAAGTCACAATAGGGGAGCTGGCAAGTCATATGGCTGGGGTTATCAGAGAATGTACGGTGTCTCGGGGTTTTTCTTTGTTTCCACGACAACTAAACTAACTCATCTGCGTTTCATAGATGCCTCGGTCGACATTGCAGCCCTCTCCGCCTCAGCGCCCGAAGGATTCCCTACGCTTCCCAAGTCCGATATCCCACAGTGTGGTACTAAGGTCGCATGCACTCGGTCCGGTGAGTTCAAGTATTATTACCACAAGGAACCCACTACTAATGACACATCCAGAATTTTTCGACGGCATCCTAAAAGGTCACCCAATACTCCATACTAGCACGACTCCTATCTACTCCAACCCCAGCTTCCAGATCCTCGGATATGCCCTCGAAGCCATGACAAACCAAACCTACAAGTCTCTACTCGAAAGGGACTTAATAAAGCCCCTCGGCCTGTCGCGGTCGAGCTACGACAAGCCAGCAGACGATACAGCCATCATCCCAGGACCCGCCGCGAGCAGCTTCTATGGCGTAGACGCCGGCGGTGAGACTGCGTAAGTGCCTAGCCATTTATATACTAAATAGTCGAGAGTCTAACCACTCACAGTGCGGGTGGCCTCTACTCCTCAACGAGAGACATGTCAACTGTCGGCCGAGCAATCCTAAACAGCACTCTCCTTCGTCCCTCGTTGACAAGACGATGGATAAAACCCCACGCCCACACCTCCAGTCTGGAATTCTCCGTCGGAGCCCCATGGGAAATCGTCACGTTGACCAGCCCCCGCACGATCGACTTATATGCCAAACAAGGTGACCTGGGAATGTATTCCTCCATGTTTGCCCTATCCCCGGAACACGACATCGGCTTCGCAATCCTTGCCGCAGGAGATTCAACAACCAAGGCCGTCACCCTCATTACAGACCTAACCATCAATACTCTCATCCCAGCAATCGAAAGCGCAGCCAGAGAAGAGGCCAAGACACAGTTCGCGGGGGAGTACTCTTCCACGAATGCTACGATCAAAATCACCACCGACGATCAACCTGGTTTGAAAGTTACCGAATGGATCAACGAGTCTATGGATATAATGCAGCTCCTGGTTACGAATCTAGGGTTGCAGAATGTCTCAGATCTCAGTGTTCGCTTGTATCCCTCGGGACTTAAGGCACCAGGGCGAGTTGGCTTTCGGGCTGTCTTTCAGGATGTTTCTGAGGGGGACTCGGGGATTGGGCCTGTTACACGGGCTTGCACGACTTGGCTTTCCGTTGATAGTATTATTTATGGAAATGTGGGTGTCGATGAGTTTGTGTTTGGGGTTGATGGGAGTGGGAGAGCTCTGAGTGTTTCTCCGAGGGCTTTGCGAGTTGAGATTCCTAGGGTTGAGGAATAGGGGTGTGTGGGCTTTGTAGGTATGGCTCTAGATTGAATGTATATAATCACTTAGTGCCTTTACTCGGTGTGCTCCTTTCTTCTTAGCCTTATTGTTATCTTAGATATTGTGTCGATAGGTTATTTACTAAGACGTGAGAAGATGTACACCCCCTTCTGTCATTTGTTATGTGTCTTCAACCAAATAAGAGACAATGACGAAAGTCCATAAGACGATGTCTCTACGTATAATACCGAGTTCTTCATAGAGCCATAGTCCCATATCTAGATTCTTCTTCATATGTGCATTGTGTTCCTTCATTTAAAAATCTACCCTGATCTCAGGGGTGAGTATCTCACGATCAAACAAGCACAGTCCCCTCAACATTAACAATACGAACATTATCCGAGACTCCCTGCGCACTCGCCTTATCCACCAACCCCTTACTATCCCAAGAAAAGTCGACACTTCCACCTCCTCGCAAACGAAGTCCCCGAACACTACCGCCAGCCCAAGCAGCAGGAATAGCAGGGCCCAGAACAACCGTCCGAATATCGTCTTCAGAATAGGTACTATCAAGCGGCATATCAACAACCAACATACTCAGCACAGCTCCAAGATACCCGAAATTAGCATCGATCTGGAAGGCGCCAGACGGCGTATCACCACCACTGTAAAGGGACAGCCCACTCTGGCCAATATTCTGGTCAATGGTCAAACGGAGTTCGTAGTGAGCTTTTTCCGTGTTATTGAGACGAGCCCAGCAAGCGGATCGCCATACTTTCTCCCATCCGGCGTTGGTGTATAAACCCACGCCACGGCTGATAAGGGAGGTGTTAACGGCGGATTGGATCGTAGCATTGTGATAGCCGTTGAAGTACGAGGATAGAGTCCAGCCTGGATACCAGCCGACAAGATGAGAAAGATGGCGATGCTCGTTGCCCTCCTTCTCGTAGTCGTAGCTGTCGGGCAGTTTCCATTCCTTTATTTGGCCCCAGGTGCCGATGTGGAGGCCTTTGTCGAGGCGGGGGAGTTGGTTTTTGATGTCGCTTATGAGGGTGGAGTCGGTTTCACCAACTATGTCTGAGCCTTGGATTGCGTTCTCGTAGACTTGGTGAATGAGCTGTTGCCAGTGCGTGCAGCCGAACGTGGTCGGCCCTTGTTCGGGGGAGGTACACGGGTTAACAACGAGAGAACTGTCATTGCTGAACTGATCAACTTGTAATTGAGAGGCCCAGAACTCGGCGACGCCCTTCAGTAACGGCCACCCCTGTTCATTGAACCATGTTTTGTTGCGCGAATAATCGTAGCGGTCCCAGACATGTTGCATCATCCATGCCGGCGCGGCCGGATAATTCGCTGAGGTTTGATAGGTTTTCATCCTAGTTTATCAGTACTTCGAAGCGAAATTGCAAGTGATGTTTGGCCTACCCAGTGTGTCCGAAAATATTCATCTCGTCGTGAGTTACCCAGCCAGAACCACCGTAAAGCAGCTCGGCGGTTTCGACACCACGCGGCATCCAGTTCTGTTCCATGTAATTGAAGACAGCGACTGTCAGATCGCCTAGTCCTGTTGCCTCCGCTCCCCAAAGGTTCATTTGCAGATTGATGTTGGCATGGTAATCGCCGCTCCATGCTGCATTTTTCGTGGGACTCCAGACGCCTTGAAGATTGGGCGGAAGACTGTTCTCGCGCGATGATGAGATGAATAAGTGGCGACCATAGTCGAAAAGTAGCTTCTCCAAATAAGGGTCTCCGTCCGTCTTGTTGGCGTTATAGTTGGTTATAAGTGTGGAGAGCTCTGTGTCTGTGGAGTCCTGGGTATCCGGCAGGTCCAAAGTAAAAGCGCCCATCAAGCGGCTGTAGTCCTCGATGTGAGCTGTCCGGAGTTTTGATTCTGGCTGTGACAGCGCTGTGGATGTAATTGTCTCGACATATTCTGCTGGGTCCTCCCCCTTGAAGGTGTAATCGGTCGCCGCAGTTCCCTTCGTAGCGTCGAAGTCAGTACCCGCGCCGATTACGATCGTCAGAGACGAGCTGTTTCTGGCGTTGATAGACAGTTTTCCGGTTGAACTGTCACAGCTACCAGAAATAGAGGTTCGCGCAATCGTATCGTATGTCATCCCACGGGGCGGCCCTTCCTGTGTGAGGCCTCGGAGACGAGCGAAGTCCGAGTCGCAGGTGGCATTCCAGAGTGAAGATTGCTCGACAAGTTGATCGAAGTAGATTGTAACGTTAGACAACGGTGCTGTCGAGTTCAACTTGTAGATACAGACCTGAGCCGGGTAGCTACAGTAGATGTCTGCAGTATACTTTCCCTTGCTAGTCGAGTAGGCTGTCGTATGGATACCGGTGCCGAGATCCAGCGACCGAGTATAGTCGCTCACTTTGTCAACTCCATCTATCGCAATAGTAAGGTTGGCTAATGAATGGAACGATCCATAGCCATTTGTGTCTCCGTGCAGTCGTGAATCGTCTAAAAATGTCAGATAAACATCGATGGTGACTTTGACTCAAACTAACTGCCGGTTCCCTTTTTCCAGATCTCGTCCCTGATCTCGGATAGAATCTCCGTCATACTAGAATTAGGGTTACCACCCCGATATCCCTTGCATATTTTAGTTACAAACATATACAATCTACCATAACTCAGCAGGACTCACATCGATTTCAAAGGGGCCACCTTCCCAAAGCTCGTCGTGGTTGAGATTGAGCTTTTCCGCACCCGGCGCTCCGAACGGCATCACTGTCAGGGTTAGTTGGGAATATTTAGAAATTAAAGACATAAACATACCCCCAAGCTTTCCATTCCCTAGAGTAAATGCCTCATTAGTCGTATCCCAAGAAGCAGCCTTCGATGACCACAAGGAAGTCGCCGTGGCAAGGGAGCTCATCCCGAGAAACACCAGGGACCGCATATTTCTCTCTGGCGCTTGACTACACAATTCGAAATATGGACGCCAATCGTGATACAGAAAGATGGGCATCAGACACTTTTTAAATGCTTCGCCGGTCTCGTTTCACGTTGCGGACTGCATGTTCCTCCATTTTGTTTCTCCACCATTGGGCAAAAGTCACGGATAAATTCCCTGCGGGGAAGTTGTAGTTATGCCGGCTAATTTCATTTCTAGGTGGGATGTTGAAGACTTGCTAACAATATCCACATCACGGTTTCAGGATGATCTTGCACCAATCATAGAAGCGCTTGAGTAGTTTTAAGGATTGGTTTGTCTTAAGCTCTGATTAAGTTCTCGGGGGCTGTGGAGTTGGATCTCGTTTATCGTCGCCTTATTTCAAAGACACCGTTTCCGACCCTTTTACAAGCTTAGGGCTTATTTCGAATCCTAATCTAGATAGGAGTCATAAAGCAGTATTTGCAACCATGTTTCCCTTTGAATTTAGAGGGGTTGCTTGTCAAAACCAAGACGTGTGTTGTCGAAATTTTGGATCATACTCTTTTAGACATAAATGTGAGGCCTGTTAAGCATTGTAAAGAGGCATGTATGTATTTTAATAGAATAGACACACGACAAGCGACCGAGCCAGTTTGAGTAAAGACCTCTGTTGGCATCTACAAATCGACACGTCCGTACCTTGCAGTTTAGGGCTCACACATGTGACATAAGGCTTGATTGAAGCCGTATGAATATTCACCCACACACGGAATAGTATATTGAAGCAGTAAAGGTTCTTAGAACTAGACTAGGCTATCCAATCTATTATTTGAATACAAATTGGGTTTGCAAATGCATGCGGACGATAGTGACTCCAAAGAATATAAACCTATCTCCTTTCCAAATATGGACGTTCAATATATCACTGATCGACAGGAATGACTGACAAAAGCGCTGTCGCATCTTTTGTCGAAGCTGCAATTACATCCTCTGATGCCGATGCTGTACGCCACATACCAAGTCCGACGAAACGCCCATTCACGGAAAAGTAGGTTCCAACCATGCGACTTTCTCGAACCCCGCGCTGCTCGTCCCAGAACCAGTCAAAGGATCGTAGTGGCAGCAGATGCTGAATCACATACTGTGGAACGCTGACCTTAGCGGCCTGACTATCAAGGGATGCAAGTATCGTTTCCCATTCATGAACAGATATGTTCTTTCCGAGAAGAATGCCGTTCCCACGGGCATCACGAACAGGTTTGAGGATGTATCCGTTCTTTGTCTGGAGATCCTTCTGGGAGTCTTCGAGAAGGGTTTTGAATTCTGATGACCCCGGAAGAATCGTCGGTATGATCCTTTCCCTGATGATTTGAGCTTGCGCTGGGGAAAGCACCTTGTGTTTGTTCAGCAGTGCATCGAGCTCCTGAAGAATTATGCCTAAGATTCGTTTGTCGTGAGCGATGAACACACTGCGAGGATCGTTGACACAACATAGTCCGATATGGCGAACCATTTCCAACGGGAGAGAAAATAACTCATAGTCGAAGAGTTGGAGTCCGATTTGGTGCACTTCTTCTAGAGCTTCCCCATTCACTTTTATTACTTGACGCATGTCTGACGTTTGGCTGACGTCTGGGTCGGCGCCCCAGACACAGCATAAAATAAAGCCAGTGCGACTGGCTTTGCTGGGTATAAGACGCAAGTCCTTCGATTTGACCTGTCTTGGTCTCATCCCCGTTCGCTTTTCAATCAGGCCGAATAAGGGGCTCGTCCGCGGAAATTCCTTGCCCTCTGATACAAAGTGTATGGGCAGATTGGGATCGAAGAGCGCTAATAAGCTCTCTTGTACTTTCTCGTACCTCGTAGCAGGCTCAAATACCGGATTGTCTTTGAGGCAGCCAGCCAGAGCCTCGTAGACACATGCAACATGGCTGATGAAACTGATGGGAAACCGGCCATTAATTTCACATACACGGAATTCGGGGCCGTTGCCCTCCGCTTGTGCGGGTATCAAGATATCAGGTCTCAAGTTTCCCTGATGGCCAGCATAAGGTCGCATGATCCCTTCATCAGTAGCATGATCTATCCACTTCAGCCGAACTTAGATCAGTCTCCATAGTTAATGCCGGGGATATTATGGTATCATACCTGAAGAAGATCTTCTGCTTGAGGCTCAAGGGGCATTCGACTGGGAAAGTTAGCCTCCTCGTCTTTCCACCACCTCTCAACAATGTTGTTAAGTGCAATGGTCAGGGCTTCCTGGAACACCTGTATATCATCTGGGAACCGCCGTGGGAGTAGAGCCGGGAATGGATTCAATCGTCGTGAAACCGGTGGAAGTTCCCCATAGGGGCTCACACAGGTTACAAGGCTTTGTTCTACCGCTTCTCTCTCAATGACGCGCATCTCTGACCCGATCTCATTCGGAAGAACGGGAAATTCAAGACTTTTGGTGCCAGATAAGGATAACTGAAGTAACCATGGAGGGTTTTGGTACAGAACATTTGGAACCTCTCTCTCCACTAACTTCATGGACTGATTACACTGTAAGCCAGACGCCACATGGGGGAACAATGGCAACTTACAGAGTTAAAACAAGCATTTATCCTCATCCTAATGAAGCTCTTAAATGGCATCAATTCGCGACAAAAGTAGCGATATACTTCCTTTCCGATCGGATTACCTCCCGACACGAGAATACTAGAAAGCTCAGACCGGACAATAGCCCAACCATTGTGTGATCTTTCCAAGTCCAGAGCATCTAGCAGGAATCCAATATTGTTCTGGAGGAGTGCATGGTGGACTCTATCCCAAACAACGTGCAGGTCATCACTACACAGTCCGCTGAAGTTAGTGGTATCGAAAGCCAGCCTCTCAAGGGAGGATCTGTGCAGTTTTATTCCTGCAGCATCTCGAATTGCGAACCCCATGATTGCCTTTGTCTTACGATGGACGCGAACGACAGTGTTCTGCCCATGAAACTCACATCCTATTCCGTGTCGTAGCAAGGGATCCAACGCAAGTCGTAATAATTGATGGACATAGCTGTGCTCAAACATTAGATCTCTGTACAGCAGGCTTCGGGTAGAGAATAACAAACCTCTGAAACCATTTCAATTTCTGCTCCACCGTCGTTAAATCAAAAAGTATCTCGGCATACGTTATACCCCTGCCGAATGGCTTTTCCATCAACGCGGAAGCAAGAATCAGAGTCTCATCCCTGTTGTTAGCCTTGGCTTCCATGTTCTCCCGTAAGATGCAGGTTAAATGGCGCGCCTCGCTCGCATTTTCCTGGCTACCCGTGATGGCGGCCACTTCACCGAATACCCAGAGGTCTGGCGGGAACAGCCTCTTGAGAACAGACGTGATGCTTGGGGCTGCAGCGGCAGACCAGCATGGAAGAACCCGGAGCGCTGACGTGATTAGACATGCCAGAGAAAATTTGATGTCGAATCCGTAGCCGGGGACAGACACCGATCGGATAGACGCTTGAGCCTGTGCACAGTGAGGAACTGACGCCACAATCTCCGCCTCAGGGAAGAAATTCTGCAACGACGGTAGATGCTGCGATAGACACGGTACGATGATTTTATCCTCTGTCGTTGAGAGGTCGACTTTTAGGAGTTCCCCAAGAGGCCGCACAAGGTCTTCGAAGGGGCCAAAAACGCGGGCTGAAGAGCGAGGAAGTATCACGAAGGACAGCCCCGGATTCAACATATCTGGAAGGTCATCAGGACCGACGGACTTCAATAGTTTATCGGCATAGCAAGTCCGGTGGAACTAAACATATGGAACAGAAGTCGTCAGCCATAGAACCCAGAGGAAAGGGACCCGGAAAGGCTTGCCGGATGAGAAGGATGGCCGGTAATAAGAGATTGCTCCCAGTCAATGAATGAGGAGTTCAAGTCTAATAAGGGCTTTTTGGCAGCGATTTCCATCCACTTCGCTGGATGTTTTGCGAGCTGGTTAGTATAACTCTTATATTTCGTCCTGCGCAGTGTCATCTATCCATACCTAGCATATCTGCAGAGTTGCGCAATTCGCGCGCAATCGCTTCCCTTGTTTCCACATTGCACGCGAATCCAATTGATATAAACTCGAATATCGTACCTGGGTTGTCTTCTTGGGTTTCTACATCTTCAGCACAGAGCGTGACAGGAACTTTGAAATCCTTTGGTCGCCAGATAGACCCATTTCCCTGTAGGACATCTGTTTTTATACAACGGGATTCGTCACGTTCTGGTGTGATCTGGCCGTCTAGCTCCTCGGGGGATTTCGTGCCAGGAAACAACGTGAGGTTCACTAATCCTTCATTCACCAATTGCGCAAGGAGGCGTTTTGTAGTCTCTGCCTTGGCTCTAACTCGATACTCTCCGGTGATGGTCATGGCTGGTATTTCATAGGGGACGGGCTTCATGATGGAGACAGGAAGGGGAGATGTTTACTTGAACACCAGAGTGTTGTAGTCTCAATATAGAGCTCCGTGTCAAGTTTCAAAAGCCCAATCTGATCCTTCGAAAAGCAAAGGAGGTTAGAAGGGGAGAATGATTTGGTCTAACACAGCTGGCGGGCGAGTTAATTATGTGCAGGTATCACGCCATGCTACATACATGGGTATCAGTGGGAATGGGGCCATTGTGCATATGAGAAGCTATTCTTGGAGACGAATGTAGGTAGCAATTAAGGAATTGTGAGAAAGCATTCCTGTGCAACCCTTGAATGATACCGGCAATTGCCTCGGTGATCTTCTGAAATGTTGGGACTTCGGACTCATTTGCTCATCACCAAGCAATAGTCCACTCCGCAGTTCACTTGGCAACTTTAAAAAAAAAAAAAAAAAAAAAAGGGTTCCACAAGTTCGTGATGATCCACCGAGTGGAGACGGAAATACGTCCCGGCTCAAGGGCCAGGAGGAAAATGTTTCATGTGGCCATCGCATTGGCCAGTCCGCCAGGATGGGACGCACTAGGACTACTAGTAGTATCACACGAAGCTCAGCTATGCAAGATTATGAGCCCTTTCCTTCCAAATCTGTCGGGGAGGGATCGACACCACTCAATAGCTTCATTCCCTGCAGATGATCTGTCGCGCTAAAACAACCACTTCAACGTGAGCGTGCTCTGTCCCAATAATTCAATCACGTAATGAAAACCATTTTCAACATACCGAGCAGTGATGGACATGGGTGCGCAACCTTCAATCGTTGACATACATATAGACAGACCTCACTCTGCTGAACAGGTCATCCTATATGTCCATCGTGTGTCTCCAAAGCCAGTATCACAAGCAGAAGATTAACTGATCTACACAATCATGGGGGACTTGGGTTCACTTTCGGAGCCGTGGATGCCTCTAGCACCTCGCGCATTCCCTCTGGGGAAGGCCAATGTCTACCCTCTAGATGAATTACACGTAGGCAACAGACCCCATTATCTGCCTATGCGCCATGATGTCTCTTGCTTCGAGTACTGGATACTAAAGGGAACGAGTTCTTTAGGCTGTCAGTGTGTCTCTACCAACTTGGGCCTCAGTTATTGGGCTATCGCGGAAAGAGGAGTGGGTGTTAGAAAATCTGGAGTGGAGTTATCCCCGGTATGATGGCTTTGATAATCGAAAGGAGACAAAAGAACTGATAAATCCCAGATTCTACTTGAATAAACCAGTTAGAGATCTTGCAGATGCCGTTTTGCACCGACTCCAGATCACTGACAAGTCCATCTCTTGCATGGTCTTCCGCTCCGCGAATGCTGCTCGGCTTTGTGCAGCAGACCTTCAGGCGGTTGCTTCGGATAGCCAGTTCAGGGTCTTACAGACCGTCCAATTCGTTATGCCTCTGGAATCGAATTGGGGAAGTTCGGCTACTCATTGGGCCAATTTCACTGCTGTGCTATTCCCCGGCGACTTAAAGAAACAGGCCATGGCGTTTTGGCGCGATACAGGCGCTGGATTGTCCACGCGACATGCCACTTACTGTCTGGAAGAGCTTGACTATCTTGATTCTGACTCCTCGGAACCGACTTTCCGGACCCCAGCGCTCCAAAAGAGAAGCTGTCGCCAAAGTCAGCAGTCTGTGATGCTGACACAGTCTGCAGATAGCAGTATGGGCGAGATAAAGACGTTTCTTGCGCAGCTGGCCACCTCAGAACAGCCAGGGCAGCCAGCTGTGGATCCCGACGACGTTTTTCTATACCCCAATGGAATGAACGCGATCTACGCGCTCTCCGAGGGTGTCGCCTCGTTTGCGGCAGACTCCACTGTAGCTGCTTATGGGTATGATACCCTACATTCCCTACCCCAGAATCCCACTGTCCATAGTTCTAATGTTTGCTCTCTAGGTGGCTTTATCCGGAGACGGTTGACGTCCTCAAACGGGGTCCGTGGGGGAAATTGCTCTCTTTCAAGGATGGCAGCGAAGAGGAGCTGGATCAGCTAGAAAGTATGCTAGAATCTGGCCAACAGATTCGGGCTCTTTTTTGCGAATTACCGAGCAACATTAAACTGTCGTCGCCCAATCTACACCGCATCCGTGCCCTGGCCGATAAACATGATTTTCTCGTAGCGTGCGACGATACTGTGGCGGGCTACGTCAATGTTGATGCCCTCCCGTATGTGGACGTAATGATGTCCAGCCTGACCAAGACATTCAGTGGTTTTTCGAATGTTACTGGAGGAAGGTTAGTCTAATAACACATCCCAATCAATCATAAATGGCAGAGTCTAACCACACTTTCTAGCTTGGTGATCAACCCCTCCTCGCGTCATCGCCAGACTCTTCACAACATCATATCGGCCCAATACGAGAACATATACTTCCCTCTTGATGTCGAAGTGATTGCCAAAAACAGCAAGAATATGTCCTGGCGAGTCAGGCAATGTAGCCAAAACACTCTTCCGCTTGTCAAGCTGCTACAGTCCCATCCTTCAGTTGCCCAGGTGAATCATCCTTCAATTGCACCAACAGAGCCTGTATACAGATCCTTGATGCGCAAAGATGGTGGATATGGCAATGTGCTGAGTATTATTTTCCATCATCCGCGCAGTGCAGAGCATTTCTACAACGTTCTGGATATATGCAAAGGCTCCAGCTTCGGAACTAACTTCACGCTGGCTATTCCATACGTCCAGCTTGCCAACTACTGGAACCGTGAAAAAGTCCCCAAGTACGGCGTGCCGCAGCACATTATTCGAATTAGTGTTGGGCTTGAAGATAGCGAGAGTATTGTCAATGCGGTGGCCGCTGCTCTCCGTGAAGTGGAAATATTCGAGTCTGGAGACGTCCTTATCGGTGATGCGTAAGTTTACGGTGACTGACAGATGTTTTCGTTAGAGAATGTATGTAGCGACTAATTTTACCTTCTCTTTCGCTGGACCTCCAACAGCCAAACTAAAGCCAACCGCCTAACAACTGTCATAAAGTAAAGGGGTTATATAGTATATCCTAATATTCTAGAGATAGTGTAGTGGGATGACACGGGCATTTCGATATCGAGGGTCAAACTAGGAGCGGTGTGACGACCCACCTTCGCCTTTACAAGAGTAACCAGTATTCATCTGGATAGTTATACCTCTAATGTACATACCGCGTGTGGCTGGCTGGCTGACCATGCAGGAGATCCTCTGCCTGATTCAGCTCAAATACGGGGCGCCACCGACAAGTCCCACATATTGCATGCCAGCTGTGGGACTAGGAACCCTAGTTGTTTACTCCGTAGCATTAGACTTCAAGAGCTCAAATCACAGCGAATCATAATTATCTGGGCTGAGCTCAGCTGCATGCCTAGTAATCTGTGGAATGCTGTCAAAATATTTATGTCAACCGGCAATACCCTGACGCGATATCCTATTCCCATCGATGCAATCCCCCTACAGTCACCCCTTTTCGTTTGCCATGACGAGACACCCCTGGGCCATCCAGCCGCTGAAGGTGCCGCCCGGATCAGAAGTTGACTTCGGCGTGGAGATTGACAATGTAGACTTAGAGCACTTGACAGGTACGCACTAGGGTGTTGCTTGAGTAGGGGAGGCCTACTCACCCTTTATAGATGATGAGTTTACCACTATTCGAGATGTTCTCTATCATCAGCACATTGTGGTCTTTAAAAACCAACAGAATCTCTCGCCAAGGGCGCAGTACGAACTTACGAAGCGCTTCGACCCGGACACAGATAATTATGGCCATAAGTCAACAACGAAATATTTTCGAGGCCTGCCATGCCAGCCACAAGTCATGTTAAAAGGGAATGGCTTTCTTGAGTCCTACCGAGGGCTTGAGAACGTCACCCTGAGACATCCTAACCACCGTCAATTCCATCGGGATCATCTTCCAGAGGAGAAAGACCTGAGCTGGACGCGATTCTATCGATGGCATATCGACGCCGCCCTCTATGATTCTTATCCTCCCAAGGTTACAACCCTGATGGCAGTGCAGTTGCCCCAGGGCCCACCGCAGACCATCCAGTACGATGATGGCTCGGGGGAAACCCTCGAAGCGTCTCTGGCGCCGACGGCGTTCATTAGTGGTCAGAAGATGTTCGAACTGCTCTCCGCGGAAGACCAGGAGTTTGTCAAAACAAGCCGGGTCGAATATGCACCGCATCCGTATGCTCCTTCTTGCCCTCCCCCAGAAGTTTCTACCTATCACCCACCAACCTTTCTGCTAACCTGGCTATCATCAGATACAAATGGATCAGCAAAGCGCGAGCCCTCCCCACGGGCCTCGGCCTATACACAGAAGGCCGTGAACTTCCCGACACTGAACTCCCCCCCATTGACCTCTCCAAAATCCAGATCTTGCCCATGCCCTGGCAAAACCCGGTGACGGGCAAGCTATCGCTCCAGATACATCCATCTTGCGTGCGGAAGATACATCGAGCCGACGGCAGCGTGATCGATGACCTGGCTCAAGTTCGTGACATTGTTTATCGGTTACAACGCCCGGCTATAAGTCCACAGCATGTCTATGCCCATGACTGGGCCGAAGGGGATATGATACTATTCAACAACCAGGGTGTTCTTCATACGGTTGTAGGGACTTTGCGGCCTGACCAACTGAGAGTATTTAGGCAGTGCAATCTGGCCGCTTCAGAACCCCCTCAAGGTCCCTAAAGGGGGTTCATATAAGGCGACCCGTCACTCCGATTTAAATTACCGTGCACCGCAAGCGACGTTCATAGAGACTACGCAGGCCTTTTCAATCAATCAATCAATCAATCAATCAGTCACCAATCGAAATTCCCATAATACTTAATAAGTTTAACCCTATTAGAGCCTAGCTATTAATTGTCCCACTATATAAATACTTTGCCAATTGCACCGTAGAACAGGTAACAGGACGCTATAGATATAAGGGTTATACCATTCTCCTCTTGACCCATACAGAACTCACCTAATTCTTTGTTTTTCTTTTTTATACATAATTTCTATGAACTATGTATAAACTATTTTACCTTTGACAATCTGTCCAGATACTAGAATATTTTATCATGGCCGACAGTGAGAGTTGTATATAAAAGATCACTTTTATTGGCTGCATTGCCTCCCGTAAGGCTGACGTGGCAAGGCTCCTTTTCAAGGCGTACGAGCTCCAGAACGTATGTTTTCAAACCATCCTCCCACGCCCATCGTGATCTGAGATCTCATAGCCGTTCAGATGTCAGACCATCTACACGACTATCCTCTTGATTCAGCTCAGAGGGAAATTCGGCTTTTGACCATCTTACCCGCTCTCACGTCCGATGATCCTATGAAATGCTCCCTGCAAGTTGCATCATTGGACGCTTTCCCTACATATGAGGCGATCTCGTATGTATGGGGTGATATCCGAGAGAAGAAGGATATTCTACTAGACGGGCGTACAACCCAGGTCCCAAAGAATGTCCGCCGCATTCTGCATAGACTCCGCCACCGCACGCAGAGACGAGTTTTATGGGTTGACTATGTCTGCATTGATCAAAAAAGCGTGGCAGAAAAAAACACTCAGGTTCCTTTGATGAGTGCAATATATGCCAATGCTACGTCTGTCATCGCCATCATCAGCGTGGATAATCTCACTGACAATGCGGTTGACGCCATTGAGTGGCTGGGGATGTCTGACGTGAAGGTACAGAAAGGGAAACACGCAGACCAGTGGATAAAAGGTGTCTTGAGCCAAATATCGGTGGGACATGAAAGGCGCCTTGCGACCTCCCCGAGGATCATCGAGTTTTGTAAGGGGTTTTTCATGGCGGAGTACTGGACGCGAATGTGGACATTTCAAGAATACCGACTGTCGCAAGGCAAACCACCAATCTGCATCTGTGGCGATGTAGAATTCTCAGTCCCTGGCGACCGGTTACATGATGCCACATTTATGTCGATGGGTCACCGTTTGATGGACTTGGCTCGGGAAGAATTTGAGGAGGGAGTGCCGCAAGCATTGGACCATTTGAAGATGGTCGGTTATATTCTAAGGGTGTGTCATGCACTTGAACGAAATACGACTGCAGAAAACTATAAGTGGGTTAAGGACAAGCAAAAGTTCTCTGTGCTAGACCTCCTGCGCCAAACGAGCGGCCGCGCATGCCACGATGAAAGGGACAAAATATATGCCTTATATGGTCTTCACCCCGCATTGCAGAAGGCATATCCACCGGATTATAATAAGCCTCTATCCCAGATCATGTTCGAAACAGCAAAGTACATGCTGGATGAGGGGAGCGATAGAGATTATTTAGCGAGCCGCGACGAGATGTGGCCATGGCCCAAGGACATGCGCCTGGACAGTCTATCCCTCTTAGATTATTTCTGTCTCCGAAAGGATCGGCTGGAGAACGTTTCTATCCCTTCTTGGGTGCCGGATCTCACCACGACACTCGAAGTGTCCACCGTGACGGAAAGGGTTTGCTACTCTGACATGCTTGTACTCCACCCTGAAATTCACCACTCGTCTCCTCGGTCCTATCCGAAGTTCACAGACGATTCTTCCTCCGTCCTCTGCATATCCGGGCGCCCGATTGGAGAATGCAGACCGGTGTTTCAGTTTGCATCCGACATTCAGGGCGTTCTGGCCCAACTACAGGGGGTGGTTCAAATGAAGGGCAATGGGTGCCATGTATGGGATAATGTCTGGGAGTCTGAGAACATCCCACACCGGTTCCTTCAAGCATGCTCTGCTTTTGAACGATATAAATATGGTGTATCTACTGAAGAATACAAGAAGAGTTTCTTGACCAATCTACATACTGCCGTGAAGTCATTGGACTTAATCCACCAAGATGCTGACACTCTCCTGGAGACGTTACGCAAAGAGGAATGTTATACCCTGACGCGCCTGGTGCCCAATCTTTATGGCATCACGGTTTTTACAATCCACCATACATCCTTGGTCGGGTTTGGCCTCAGTGAACAACGTGTGGAAGAAGGAGACCAGGTGGTGGTTGGCGTTTGCCAGTCTGATATGCCCTTTGTACTGCGCCAGGGCTGCGACAGAGACTGTCATAGTGGTCAAGCATACCATCAGTTGGTAGGTTTTGCGTATGTGGACGGACTCTGCAAGCGGTCCACGGTGCCTAATCCATATCTTGACCATCTATGTACCTTGCCATACGAGGAACTCCTTTTGAATTGACAGGGCCCTATCGCTTCGAGTACTTATATATAGCTATCAGACCTACTATTTAGCATCGATTTAGCTTGGTAGGTAGTTCAGTTAATATACATTTAAATATACATTTATACATCAATAAACCCCATCACCCGATTGGCCGCCCACCACATTTAAACCCACTTCCATTTTATATCACCGATAAGATAAAATCTACCGATTTTACTGCCCCTCCCTGAACAACTCCTTGCCCTGACCCCTCCTACCATAACCCCCAGACCTCAAAAAGCTAAACTGATAAAAACAACCTTAGAAAAGCAACATGGAGTGGGATCCAACCCAGTTCTTCCGTGACGATCACACCCCAAACCCTTTTGCGCTGTTGATCCTCAATCAGCCAATCAATGAGCGCGCGTTTCGCGTGTTGAGGAAACATGGTACGTTCTTCCTTATACATACACCCTTTATATATATTATATAGATCTATATCTGTATATAGATCCCAACACGATACAATCTTCATCATACACCCAAGACTAAAACGCAAAAAAGCAAAGGTAATGCTCTGCGCCGACGGCGGCGCAAACCGCTTCTACTCAATGATGAAAGCGCATGACCGGGAATCAATAGATGTAAGTTCCTCCCATCCCTCCAAATATACTATATATATATACATATATGTATGTATGTATGTATGTATGTATGTATGTATGTATGTATATACACTGTATGCATATATACTAATAAAAAGAAAAACCAAAGCTCCCCGATCTCATCATCGGCGATCTAGACTCCATCACCCCCGATACAAGATCCCACTACGCCAATCTAGGGGTTCGCATTATCGAAGATGAAGATCAGTATTCGACGGACTTCACTAAATGTTTGGATTATTTGCGTGCGCATGTTGGGGAGTTCCTCTCCCCGTCTACGTCTTCCTCTGGATCTTCGGTATCGAAATCAGAAGGACAAGTAACGAAGGAAGAAGTAAAGACAGAAGAAGACAGAGAACTAGACGTCCTAATCCTCGGTGGTCTGGGCGGCCGCGTCGACCAAGCTTTCTCGCAAATTCATCATTTATATTCCATGACTCAGTCTTACAGCTCTTCATCCTCTGCGACTCCGACCACTTCTTCTGGTGGTCATTCGACGTCCAATCAAGAACGGACAGGGAAGATAGGGAATCTTTATCTCATCTCCGAGGAGAGTATTACGTTTATTCTGCGGCCGGGGAGGAATACGATCCAGACGCCCGGGACGAATCGGCCGGGGAGGAATACGATCCAGACGCCCGGGACGAATCGGCCGGGGGTGTCTCCTGCAGAGTATCTGCTCGAGGAGAATGTGGGGATTATACCGCTTTTGGGTCCAGCGAGGATCACGACGAGTGGATTTCAGTGGGATGTGGTGGATTGGAAGACGGAGATTGGGGGGCAGTTGAGTACGAGTAATCATATTCGGAGTGAGGTGGTGACGGTAGAGAGTGTGATGCCGGTGCTTTTTACGCTGGAGTTGGCGGGGAGGTTGAAGAGGGATAGGTAGTTTTGTTTCTCTTTCTCTCCTTCTCTCTCTCTTCTCTCTTCTCTCTATATGGGGTATTGTTTGGGTAGGGGTAGGTTGGAGGGTTTGGTTTGTTGAGACAGGGGCTATAGAGACATACAACCTAGGAGAGACCAGTAGCTATAGTGTACGATGAAAAAGGATCTGTATTGGAACATCCTATATTGGTTTCACAAGAGTACATCCAGAAAATCCAAATAAACGCCCCTCGAAAGATCAGATCAAGTCAAAGCAAGGAACGCACCACACCATTCTCACGCCGAATATCCCGAGAAAGGAGAGAAATTGAAGATCACTCAACATTTGAACAATACCGAAGCACCATCGCACTGCACACATAGAATCCGACGATCATCCAGAAAAGACAACCCTTCTCACAACCCCCTCCTTCAGGCACTCGCATGCCTTGCCCCGGTACGGAGCACCTCGTATATACACCATGAATTTACTTCCGCAGGATCGCCTCGTAGATAGTGCCGATCAAACCGATCGCAGACCCGGTCACCAAGCCAGCCCATTGACCAGGGACCGCGGCGTTCACCCGGGCAATCGAGTATTGGCTGTACAGGTTGAAGAAGTCGAACTGCTGGGCATACACCAGGTATGCAAGCCCCGCCTTAGCAATGTTGAAGCTGAGCGGGTCGAAGTTCGCAGGCGACGCGCGGCTGCGGCGCGTGTGGGACGCAGCACTGCCACCTTGTGTGATATTCAGGCTGATGTTGAAGAAGTATGCGGCCGTCAGCGGTAGGAGAATGCTGGTCAGCAGCCATAGCGAGAACGGGGCCCAGAATACCCCGTCGACGAGAACAAAGACGTCGGGGACCTTGATGGAGATCTCAACCGCCCAAATCGAAATGGTAGACACGAATCGCAGCGGCAGAATTTCATAAATGATGGAACATCCTTCGAGCAGCAATGTCAGAATCTGGACGGCCTTGACACTGCTGAGCAAGGAGCGCAGAGACTGTGTGCCATCCGGCACCCCGGAGCCAGTCCACCAATCGCTAGCCTTATTGCGCCACGCGACGGATTCTCGGTCGACTGCATCAGCGATGAGGGCCGGCGATGCCGGCAAGGCCGATTGAAAGTTCAGCGGGGACGGCCCGGGCGTCTGGAAGACAGGTGGTGGGGACGCGTCGGAATCCTCTCTGCAACAAGAAATCGATCAGCTTCTGTCGTCATGATCACTGCGGTCGCGCGACGGCGCTTTTGGCCCATGCGCGCACAATATAAGAAAGAATACAGGACATACGGGAGTTGCTCAGTCTCCTCCTTGGGTTCGGCCTTGGGCTGCTCCCTGGGTTCCTCCTTGGGTTCCTCCTGCGTCTCCTCCGTCGCCGCCTCTTCCTTCACCTCTTCCTCCAGGGCTCGTGTCTGCCTGCGACGCGCCGACCGGAGCACTGACCGCGGTGTTTCTTTCGCGAGCGGCGAGACTTCCACTCGGGGGTCTCTCTTGATCGGCGACCCCTTGCGCGGGGTTTGCGACAGGCGTCGGTAGTAATCCGTTAGTCGCGCATCCTTGGCGAAGATGGATTGGTTGGCCTGGAGATGTTGATCCAGCAGCGTGGCGAGTTCGGGCTTATTGTATTCCTCGTAGCTGTTCAACAGTCAGCCGGAGGGGTTGTTATCGTGGTGGGGCGATAAACAACGGCACCGACACTTACTTGTGAAGATCAGTCGCTTCCGCCCAGTCCGTCAGTTGGGACTTGCGCAGTTTCTGTAAATAAGGCAATGCGGCAGACATGATGCGCGGGCAAAGACCATGCGACAAGGGGAGGTGGTGAATTTGAGAGTAAGGGGGAGAATGTGGGCGGTTGGAGATGGGATGATAAAAGCGCGCGCAGGATTTCGGGGACCAAAAGGATTCTAAATCCAAATAAGAAGAGGGAAAAACAATCCCAATAAATAATAAAAGCGAATCAAATAAATACCCAGTGAGGTCACAGTCCGGGCAGGCGGAATCTGATTGGTCCATTGGGTGGCGCTTGACCGCATTCGTTTGTTTACATTTCCACCTGACCTCCAAATACCCTCCTGTGTAGAAAAGACAACTTCACACACAATCAGTGAGATTCCTGGGCTCTATCTTTATATAATAATAATATACATCGTGGCGTGGTTCACCATGTCTAAATAACCAAATAAAAAAGAAGAAGAAAAAAAAAATCTATGTAAGCCATACCAGTCCGGAGCAGGGTGTCTAAAACAGAAACGAACGGCAAGAACAAACCCCAAAGGAAAAATGCTGCCATGCCCCAGACTGATCCAAGCAAACGGGTGATAATATAAGAAGAAGTGAGAGATCATGCAACATCCCTGTCCCAGAACGCCCTACCCACATCGTTTCCCATGTGGTGATGATTCAACATTATCTACAAGTGTTGCCCCGTCGCAACACTTCCATCCCCTTCATTTTATGCAACAAAGGAAGCCCATTCGATCAAAGGGGGTTCATCTCCCCCAGACTGTCGTAGTATTCCAGCTGTTTCAACAAGTATTGGTACATGACCAGCATCGTTCCACTCTGGATGCTGGTCCACACTCCACGAGGGACAACGCCGCGGAACCAGCCACCGAGCCCCTCCGTCCGGTAGATCATCTTGAGGCCCGTCAAGAAAGACGAGGTATCCAGACGAGGTGCTCCCGGTGGGGCCACTGATGTCGACGCACCCCCAGTGGAGATCGGTCGCGAGTGGGTCCGCAGACTCGACGTAGTTTGAGACGATGTATGCTGCCGGGGGCTCTCCTTGATCGACGCATGTTCCGCGGCAGGCTTCGACGAAGACGCGGGACCCTGGACATCGGGGTTCTGCTGCGTCTGGATGCGGGTCTTCACCACATCCATGGGGCACGTTATCACACCTGCCATTCCGCCGGCGGTTGCCGCAGTCAGGATCTCCAGTCCAAGTCCAATGTCTCGAGATCCGACCCATTCCTTCGCCAGTCGCTGTTCCTGCTCGTAGAATGCGAATTGTAGGGCAGAGAACGGAAGGTCACGGTATATGGTAGCTCTGTATCCATGGAAGAGCGCGGAAAATCCTTCCTGGCGGATGATCGTGCGGAGAGCATCGCGGGTCGAGCGGTAGTTGTATCCCGAATTGAAATGAGGGTTGTTATAGCGTCCCTGGAGTTGCAGTCGTGTCTTCAAGACCTCTGAAGGGACATAGACAACGGACGCGGCTAAGTCCGCAAAGAAGCCTGGGCAGCTAGGTCAGCGTCACTGAACCCAAGGCAGATTAACAGAGGCCGGATAACGCTCTTACCTCCGGACAGGTATGCCACATTGGCATTGATGCCAGAATCGATCATCCGTCGCTTGGTGAACTCATACACACCAAAGAAGATCAGAGTGCCTGGAAAGGAGCCGAAAAATGCAGGAACAGCTCCACCGTACAGACCTCGTAGGAAACCTTCCTGTCGATAAATCGTCGCATACGATGAGGTCATCGACGTATATTTCGGAGGGAAGTGGGGATCGCCTTGCTGCCTCGTCTTCACCGTATCCAGGGAATGCATGAGCATATCGCCGCATGTACCACCGGTCGCTCCGGCAAGCATAGCCTACAGAAAACGATTCATGTCAGCCTGGGATAAGAGATTTCTGCGCACATCCCGCGCGTTCGCATCACCATCTGTATTTCCCGTCTGGCTACAAGCACAACGTACACGTAGATATGGCGGACGAGGCTCTTCCTCGTCCTCAAGCGGAGTTGTTTGTACATGGCCGGAGCCTGCCCTTATCGGGCCCGTCGCATGGAAGACATGGTCGCCGGTGCTGGTGGTAGTTGAATACGAAGCGGCCGGAGGAGCGTCCGGAACGGTTGTCTCTGTCGTAGAAAACAGGCCAAACACGCGCGAGGTCAAACTCATGGCAAGAATACCGCAACCCACCAGATCCTGGTGCGGGCCAGACCACGGGGGGTTGGGATGCGGCGGCGACGTTTACCGGACGGATGCCACCCCAATTCAGGATGACGGGGGGAAAGAAGGAGGTGAGGGGAAAGAGGAATCGGAGAAGATCTCTGCTATACAAACGTCAAGGAAAATCGAGAGGTCAAGTAACGGAACATGGCACCTCTCCAAGTCGGTAGTTTACAGAAATGATTATGGGCCAGCGCTCAGCATTCAGCCCAAAATTTTGGTCGGTTTTCCGCTTTCTCCGCGTCCGAGGCCGAGTCTCCGCCTCAGGCACACCACGCCGCCTTAATAAGCTCTCGCTAGTTTAACTCGGGCCCGAAGGAACAAATGACAGTGGACAGAAAAATAACTCGACTTGCCACAAGCATATTTTGAGAACCGGTGGAACCCAAACTAGATTACGATCAAGAACGTGACCAATGGTCTAGACTTCCCACCATTGGACTACGTAGTACTAGTAGGACACAAGCTTATGCATCAACAACAAACATGTGTAATAGGAATGCAATGGAATTCGTCCGGGCTCAACATCCCATCGGAGGTCCAGCATGTGCATGACTTCCTAACTGGGCGCTGCCCGAGTTCAACAAAATGGCAATACAAGGATTATAATACGACTCTTCTCTCCCCCTCACGCACTAAACATCCACATCCACATTCCCTCCCACTGCAGCATGTAAACAATTTTTGGCTTATCGTAAAGAAGAACCACTTCCCAACTCAAATATGGTTAGGATCAATGGCACATTATTCGTTATATGCTCATCACTTTACAAACGAGAGCCCACACGCCCATCTGTGATCCCGGGCCCTTCGCGAATGGTCTAAGTCCGTCTAAAATGCGTCGCAATCGGATTGGGCCTGTCCCACGCGTCTCGGCCGGTGATCGTTCATCGCCGAAGATACCATTTATTGCGGCTTCTTGCCCGGGGCTCCAGAGGTCAGACGGCCCAGATCGGTGCTCTCATAGGCCTGGCGAACAACACCCTTGAAGGTCTCCCATCCCTGGCGCACCGCGGGGGGAGTGCTCTGGTGGGAAACCGAAGCATCCACGCGGGCGGTGAAATGGCGCACGGCCTGCTGAACAAACGAGCTCTGGGTGTATCTCGCACGGAAGAAGGCCACGTAGATCAAAAAGAGAAGGATGCCTCCTTTAGAGAAGGTCAGAACTCCCAAGGCCAGACGGAACAGGAGCGCCATCTCGAGTCCAGCAACGAGATCCATGCTGGCATCATAGTACTGCTTGACGAATCTTCCAATGGTGTCTGCCAAAGGACTGGCCGCGGGCTTGGCAGCACCAGGAGAAGAGGGCGACGCGGATCCGGCAGCACCCTGGGCGGGAGGCTGCAAGGTGGGGATCAGGTGGGCGCGAGAGTATGTCGCAACGTGGAAGATCGAGTAAACACTGAAGGGGAGGAGGGCCAATGGGACCTGGCGGGAATAGAGCCAGACAATTGCCATTCCTAGTGTTTGGTCAGCCCATGCCAGTTAAATTTGACCACCTGGCAATTCTACTCACCAAGATACTGGACATTTTCATCGCCAGCGAGCTTCACCGCAATGTTCGGAACGCTACCCTGAAGACGACCACGGGCGATGTGTCCCTTGTACACCACGATACCGTATGTCGCAGCCGCCGAAAGGAAAGCCAAGCGGTAGGACACCTGGGCCGAGGACGAGTAGTAGTTGAAGGTGATGTAGGACAGGAGATAGCGGAAGACGGAGAGCAGCAGTGTGACGTGCCTAAAGCCAGTCAGCGGGTTTTTTTTTTTTTTTTTTTTTCGCCCATCCGTGACTTGCGAATGTCGTCCGATGGGACAACATCTGGTATGTGGATGTCGCAAATTGCTCCAAACGGGTACCATCTTCCGCCGGCCGAGGCAGCACACAATCACAAGGGAAACCTACCCAGCAAACCAAGCAAATCTATTTGAGAATCAAACGGTCAGTATCCACATTGTGAGCTGGGGGAAAAGGCCAGCGAAGCACATACTGTAGGGTCTGAGCCAGGGCCTTCAGCCGTTCGGCCAAAGGCAAGTTCGATGAAGGAGGGGGAGCCATGAGAGCTGAGGGTGTCTGGTGTACTCGAGAATGAGGGAGGTGCGTAACGATAGTGAAATGGAAGGCTCAAGAGAGCGAGAGCGGAGAGGTAGCAATGCGCTAAGTGGCCGGGACGTGAGAGAAAGAACAGAGAATGGTCGAGAAAAGCTGGAAGGGGAGCGAATTGAGCGGTAGAGGCCTGCGGACCTGCACTATTTTGGGGAGGCTGGGCGGGGGCGGTCGTGGGTGAGTGGGTTTTGGACGATGCCTTTTTCGCTGAACTCAGGCAATGTTCGTCGGTAGTAGGGATTCTGTTCGTACGGAAATCGGGAAGGAGAGAGAGGTCGGGAGTTGCTGCTGGCTGACGACAGTGTCCTTAGTCGTCGAGGAGCTGAGAACCTGAGGCAGACCACGCCTTGTCCAGTGACGTTGAAGGGCACCTTCACTGAATGACTCGGCATGATGCAAGTGGCCGAACCTCACCCGACACGGCTATACTACCAGTCGTAGTTAAGGGTATTTTACTTCTTGCGATCGTAAATCAATCGGTTCCTGTCATACTGTATAGACGTGCTTCCATGGAGTTTATTCTAGTCGAAATTTTTATTTATTTGGTTCTCTTTTGAATACTTCCTTGATTTCCGAGTGTTCTACCAGTGACGGCCTCCATGCCACCCTCTACAAAAACCGACACCCCCCGTCGTTGGTTTCGTCTGGTCGGAACTTTTCAAGAACATCTGAGATTGACAACTAACGCACAATAAACTGCAATAAGGAAGAGAGAGAAAAATAGGAAAAACGTCTTGAAATGATGGTCGGAGGGTGGGAGAGCTCACTAAAAGGTGTAGAAGTGGACAAAAAGTGCACGAAGATAAGAAGGGAAAAGGAGGTTAGGCCACACTGGGGAATAGGAAACAGGCGGGAACAAGGTATAGCGTAGGCAAAAGTACATTAACAAGAAGCGAAAAGAGGACGTGAGGGCCACCGCATATCATCTTGCAAAACCATGGGCCAGACCACGCGAGCAGGCCGGCAGCGCTGCTCCGGTGTCCCAGCACATTTCTCCTAGTCCAAGCCCCCAATTGGTGTTCGCCCGATCGATGGAATGAAGCACAAACGAGTCATTCCACTGGGCCCGGGTCACCCAATTAGAAAACAGAGTCATTACTGGCAGCAGAAACGAGAAAGTAGAGGTTGAGAGAGCGTGGGAGAAATCGAATAAACACAGAAATAGAAGGGCAGTCGAAAAGAGCGCTCGGTCAATCAACAGTCGTGGGGAATCCAACACCGAACCGCCAACGTGCCTCCAACGACCATACATTACCTGGGGCGTCCGTGTCATTGAATTCCAGTCATCTAACGAAGGGAGAACCCCTTTCGCTTGCCCTTCTCTTCGATGGGTCGACCACTTTCGAGGCGACCCTTCTTCTCGTCCAGTTCCTGGCGTTGCCGCTCCAGTTGATCCTTCATCTCGCGATGTCGAGCGTATAGTTCGTCTTCGCTCTGTTTCAGCTTGCTCTCCTTCTCGGCTACCTTCTGTTGGAAGACCATCTTCATCTCTGCCTCCATCTTGGCGAGCTTCTGCTCGTGCAGGGCACGCTCCTCCTCCTGCTTGACAGCTGGGTTGACTTCCTTGAACACGCTCGGGTCCTGGGCGACACCCATCTGGGTCAGCTTGTCGGAGCGGTAGTTCTCGTACAGCAGGTTGTTGGTGTGTTCCTTGAGCTCTTCCATGTGGGTGCGGATCAACATCTGGCGCAGCTTGACAAAGTCGCAGTGTTCCTCGTTGTCGACCTCAATGATACCCCAGGGGTAGCTACGGCCCCGGACCTTGCGGCCGTCCGCGGTGGCAACCTCAGCGTTGGCACCGACCACAGCGAAGGGGACCTTCGACATGATCTCCTGGTTCTCGGCGATGGTTTCTTCGTCGTCGAGTTCGTAGCGGGGGCCCTCGAAGATCTGGATGGAGTGGTGTTGGATATCGGCAAGGATCTAGATCACAATTAGCATTGGATCAGGACCATCCCATTCGGGACAGATGACATACTCTCTGCTTGAACTGAGAAATCTCCTCGTCCGTCAAGGTATCGGCCTTGGCGATCACAGGGATCAGGTTGACCTTGGTGTGCAACCGGCGCATGACCTCAATGTCCAAAGGCTTGAGGGAGTGGCCGGTGGGCTGGATGAAGTAGACACAGGCGTGGATACGGTTGTCAACAATGTTAGTACGGTTGACCTTGTTTTCAGCCTCCAAGTAGGCATCGTATCTCTGCTCAATGTTCTCTACGATAGGGCGCCACGAATCGTCATTGTTCACGAAATCACCGAATCCGGGGGTGTCGACCACAGTCAGGCGAAGACGAACGCCGTTCTCTTCAATATCTGCGCTGATCGACTGAATGGCCACGGTCTTCGGGATGATGTCGTGGCTGGGGCCGGTGCGCTCCTTGGGCGGGTAGAGAGAGGTGTTAAAGAGGGTGTTCACAAGAGTCGACTTTCCGAGGCCCGATTCACCTAAACACCAATCAGTCACGCCCAGCCAGTATCCTTCCGTCGGGGAGGAGACTCACCAACAACCATTACGTTGAAGTTGAATCCCTTGCGAACACTTTTGCGGTGCCATTGGTTGGGCAGGTTGGCAAAACCGACGTAGCCAGTCAACTTGCGGCGAACAACGTTCTTCATGTCGGTGGCAGCTTGGGCCACAGCCTTCGGGTCACTGGAGCTGACGGTTTGAGCGTTTCCTGATCCCATGGGGTTGCTGCGCTCAACAAAGGGGGAACTGGGCTTGCTGCTCTCAGGAGACTCCACCGCCGGGGTGGGGGAGCCGTTGGTGGGGGGGGGTGAAGCTATCACAGGCAAAGTAAAGTCAGTAACTGGCGTCATCTCGGATTCATTTTCGGTAGACCAAGTTCCCCGAGTTGGCGAACATGACGTATGGCTTTTGCACCTATGGTGTTTCAACGAAGGAGAAGCATTGAATCGTTGAGAGTCTACTTGCGAGCGACCCTCTGCACTTCGGCGTCTGGCATGTCCCATAATGTTGTCACCAAGCGCAAGAGCTTCAGAGATACACGAATGGAGGATGGTCCGCCAGGTCAAAGAATGGGAAGAGAGCAAAACCGGTGGAATGGGATGTCGCTGGTCGCGGTAAGCTTACCCATTGTGAATGTTCAGGGATTTGTTTAGGAAGCGAGCGTGGACGGTTTGAAGGGAAAAAAAAAATGTCGAGGTAGCGAGCGTTGATGAGGAAGTTCCCCTGAGCAGGTCGCACCTTCTTAGTTAGCAGACCAACACCCTTACAGAGATAGAAATTTAGGCGAGGGGTTGATAATAGAATCCGGAAAGCATCTAGAACCAGGCTATTCTTTTCCAAGGGAGAGGCGGAGGGGGGGGAAGTGGTTATGAGGGGGGGAGGAGGGAGGGAAGGAGCGCAGGCAAGTAAGTGCCACCATACCTTTGGAATCCCGAACACACCTGAAAAAGGGTGAGGATCAGATGGTTAAACAATCAGGGGACAAAAAGCTTCTCGAAGAACACCGATTCTCAGGGCAACAGGGAGGTGTGCGCAAGATGTAAGGTTCAAACAAAAATACAAACAGAAGAATCGAAAATGAAAAAGAAAAGACGAAAAGGAAGCTGAAAGAGAGAACAGAAGAGCGTAGAAAGAAGACAGGAGAAGGCGAGAACGATTGGGCCTGCGGAGTTGATTTGGGGTGGAGAGTCCGTTGGTGGTGCAGTTGAATGTCGGCGGAAAAGAAAGGGGGCTCTTTCTTCATTCAATGGGAAGCTAACGCTTCCTAGGGATTAGTCCGGCTCAGAAACAACATCAATTTTGATGATCGTATTTTAATTGATCGCGTCGAATTGAACCACCACCTCACAATTCACTTGGAAATTCATGGAAAAAAAAAAAATATCTTTAGTCAAAGACAACTCAAACGACTGAGGATGATTTTTCCCTGGCACCCTTTTCGTACAAGTCAAGCATTGCGTTCTTACAATAATCCTATTCCAATTCGACATGTCAAACATATCAGGCGGCGATCTCAAGGGAGACCGACAGCCCAAAGGGAAGGATGAAAAAAAAAAAATAAAATAAAATAAAATAAAATAAAATAAGGAAAACCGTTCTCCAATGCGAATATACTACTGCTACTTCCGACTCACAGCATTGACAGAGGACGACTGAGTAGTACCTCCAAGATGACTATCAGGGTCAGATTCCCAAAACATTCCCCTTATAGAACCATTCCAATCGTTTCATTTAACCCTCTAAATTCGAAGTCCATCCATGGATCCTCCTTCACCTGATCCAAGTTTCTCAATACCCAATACCTCCCAATACTCATCCATGGTGTATCATTAGCACATGCCGCTTACAGAAGTAAAAAAAAATATATAAATATATAAAAAGAAAAAGAAATATTGCCCAGTTGACAATACGATATCTTCCACACTTCCACTAAAACGCTCCGGTTCTTGACTATGAAATGTTTATAATGAGCTTCAATTTAGGTCAACGATTCGAGATCGCAAGTTGGCTACCATTTTCAGTACACCGCTTCGACCTATTGTGTTGTATGGAGTACGGAGTACAGTATCTATGTATGTATCTCCATACTATTCTCCATCGCGACGGTATTACGAGGACCGTTATCCGTGGTATGTGTACCCGGTAGGGTATCCTCTGGTAATCTATCGACGTTTTCTCGGGGTAAGAAGACAGCATCTAGGCAGTTCAGGGGAATAAGATACTAAACCGACAGGAAAGAGGTACCGAATACCTACTACTGACCACTAGTGCCTGATCGTCCGTAAGCTACCACAGGTAATGAAAAGCGGAAACCAACTTTTGTCCCGTGGTTAAGAATCAAGGGAATGGATTCCAAACATTCGATCTGAATGATCACAGCATGAGTCAGGAGTCAGGTTAAACAAGCCACAAATCTCTCCCAGGATGCAGGGGGACGGGTAAATCTCTTATACTAGCTCTCTGCTCCATGCCTTGCCTTGATTCTGTATGTATCAGATTGAACCGCCATCGGGTACTCATACCGACATATAGATCTCCCAGAAGAAGATACATTGTGAAACGTAGAAGTACATACCTTCCATGCATTAGCACACCCTCCCAGTCAGGACAAGAATAGTGACATTCCACTGGGCATGAGACGCGACGTTCGTTACCCGAGGCACGCAGAACAATAGCCATTGGTTTGGTTTGACACTTGCATCTAGACCGTGTTCCAGACATGCTGTAATACCATCTGATACCTTGTCCGCGGTACCGGTGGTCATGCATCAATATCCAAGTTAAGATTTCGACCCTGTGAGGAATGAGAAGCTAGAAGTATATACATGTATAAAATACAATACCATAAATAAATAAGGATACGATGAGTTCAGTCGAGGTGGCCTTCTGGTCACAGAGTTTCTATCATTGCCGTGAACCTCAATAGTACAAGTACTGTATATGCATATTCGGTCGATTTGAGTCCACTCCCGATGCCAGCATGAGGGACGAAAATGCAGGCGGGACTCAATAGTGCTGTCAAAAACAAAGTCAATTCAACTGACGTGTTCATCGTATGATGCATCAGAACGCCCGAGGTTGTCTTCCGTCACATATTCTGAAAAAAAGGATTATGGAGACACCTCGAAAAAAGTTACTGGAGGGTAAAAAAAATTTTTTTTGATAAGAAAAAGATTAAGAATGTTGTTACACTAATTGTAAACTATGCTAGAAAACTTTAATGATATCATTTGTTGGCCTTATTCATTATACAACCATAACCATTATTCCGGAGATAACCAGATAATTCAACTCCAAGGTATTTATTTTCCAACCTTGGATTTCTTTTTGGGCCGTTCCTCCTCCGACATATCCACGTCGTCATCATCGTCGTCGTCGTCGCCGCCAGCATCGTTCATTTCGGCATCGGTCCCGCTGCCACTGCTTTCATGGGCCGAGTCGTACTCCTCCGCAACGTCAGACTCGGACTCAGCCTCGAAGTCCTCGTCGATAGATTCTTCATCCTCGTCAGCCGATCCACGATCGGCACGTACGCCCTCATCATCGCTGGAACCCATTGCGTCATTGTCAAGGGCGGCAGCAAGTAGGGCCCCGGCATCATCAGACATTTCGTTCTTGAATCGGATGTTCTTCGCTTTGAAGAATTCTTCAAGAGGTTGTTGCTCCTCACTGAGCCGAGTTAGCATCAATACATCTTAACTCATCGCATTCGGGACACGTACCGGTTAATGTTACTAAATTGGTGCTCTCCCAGGCCAGCCTTCAGTTTGACTGTAATATCGAAGGTTCTGCTGGCCGACACAGCACCACCGACACGGGACATTGTAATAATGGCAATGTTCTCGACCTGAATGTACGTAGCAGGCTTCGGGACGAAGATCAAGCTCTTGTCCAAGAAGTACAGAAGACCTTCGTTGGCCTTGATGGAACATTTCACCCCACTGTGACCATGATGACTACGCATCGATGTCAGCATTTGTGCATCGTCGTGCGGATTGTGAAGGGGTTATGACAAACCTGACAAAGTCCTTCGATGGCATGATGACCTTCTTGCCCGAAAGACCGCGGAAAATCTTGGTTACGACCTGATGAATCGGTTCCTCATAACGAGGCTCCAACTTGTCCTTGTAGCGAGTCTCCATCAATTCACTGCATACGATGTTAGAAAGTCCCCGGGGAGGGAATCCCGCTTAGCATCACTTACTCTGTCATGTTGAGCTCCAGGCTAATTTCTTCGTCCAGCTTCAATTGCATAACCAAGAATGGGTACCGAGTTTGACCCTGTCGCAGAGGGGGGTCGAGTCCAAGAACAATGAGCGTGTGTGTATCGTCATTCTTAGGAAGCAAGAAGAATTTCTTGATAGAAGAGTACTGAATCTTGTAGTCGTATGTTTTGCCACGGAGTCGAAACGAAGACTCGTACATGTCGATATCGAAACGACCTCTGAAACACAGGTTAGTGCCGCACTGGTATGATGAGAGCGAAAGTAGGCGTACCTGGGCGTAAGATGAAGAACATCCAGGAAAGTAGCAAACGTATCGCCAGCCACATCTCCAATCTCTGCTTTTTCCATAAGCATCTCGTAGAAAAGGTTGGCCGCATTCTGTTCTTCGCCTTCCTCCTCTTCTTCACCGTTTTCTTCTTCGCCATTCTCCTCCTTGATGCCCTTCTCGGTCTTTACGACTGTTCCAGGGATATAAAAGCGCATCTCAACCAATTCGTCGGGCCCCGCAGCGGCCTTCTGGCCACGGTTCTTGGTGCTACCGGCTGGCTGGGCATTCGCATCGGCGCCATCGGTGTTAAGAGCAAGTTCGACAGCAACTTCGTTCTTTCCCGCAAGGTTCGTGTTCGAGATTTCGGAATAAGGGACTTCGAACGCAGGTCGGTTTTGGACGTTGAAAGATAGCTCAGCCTTGGTGAATTCTGCCTTGCCCCAGTTCCAGCCTCGGAGAGCGTGCTCCCTGCTTTCCACGTTTATCCCATACCAGATCTTGAAGGCCTTGCTTAATCGCTCGAAATCCTAAGAGATGACGGACCAAAGTCAGACCACCATACGCATAAATATATAACAGCCGGGGGGGCCTACCTCTTGATCAAAGCCATCCAGTTGGATGACACCCGACGAGCGCGACAAAATTTTCAGTTCGTATCCCTTTGCCGCTCGACTCCATTGGGCTGCGCCGACATTGCTGCTATCGAGTGTGAAAGTCTCACCTCCACCAGAAGGTTTCCACCCCAGGCCACTTTCCGCAAGCTTGCACTTTCCGGGCTGCTTGGAGAGGTCGAGGTAGATATTATCGAAGCTCTCCCTGAAAAGAAAATTAGAGTCATGGACAAATGGCAAGGATC